TTAAAATAACGGAATATTAACTGAAACAGAGTAGTAAATAAAATAGCGGAATATGAGCTAAAAATATTAACTTAAAATAACACAATATAACATTTTTCTTTATCCTGTTTTAGTTAATTAGAAAACTCTACTTTTAGATAGGTTTAAATATAGTAACTGTTAAATATAGTTATAATTATATTGTAGAGTTAGCCCCTCCCCTTACATTCGAATACAGTACCTGTCAAATCTGGTTTTAATTGCATGGTAGAGTTACCCTCTCCCCAACTTCCAAATACAGTATATTATAATTAGCCCCAACATATGATCAATGGCTTAGTGTAAAACAGGTTTTTATATACCATACATTGGCTTATTATAAAAGAGTTATTTATAGAAAGAGAACTGTATCGACATAATAAGTATTGACCTATTTCTTTACACCTTTTGTTATTGGTATAATGTATGTCGTGTATCTTCACATTGGTTTATATTTTTGCAATTTCTTATTGGTAGCCCACCATAAAGGTTTGGGGTCAAGTCTAATTGAAAAGAGAATTCATATTAAGCAATAAACAAGTAGATTATGTAAGAAACTCATAAAATTGTTCTGTATGTGTGGATTAAATGACGTCAGAGGTATACCTTTATTTATCATAATGATCACTAAATCCCCCTTTCTCGAGGTCAAAAGAAAAGCGTGACATTTTATCCAAGAATATATATTTGAGGATTTTAAAGCGGTTGAACAAACGAAATCTGTTGAAAATCTTATTAATTATTATTGGTATGATCCATCTGGTTATGATCATCTATGTTGTCTGCTCTGACTGTGCTAAAGAATACGGCCTATTGTTAAATTGAATTCCAACTGTCAAGGGTTCTTTTACGTCCCATTCGAACAACAATACATCTGTCCTTGTCAGGTCCTACACCACTGACAAGGGGAGACCGCCCCAGAAAATCCAGATGGCACTTTCTCGACGAACACCGGGAGCGAACCAGAGACCTCCGGGCTAGTGAGCCAGCGTCATACTCACTTAGCCACCACGAACCCCATTCATTAGGTAATAAAATTTACATTAAATTATAACCCCCATCCCATTAAATTATTACCCCATCCCATTCAACTATTACCCCATCCCATCCCATTAAACTATTACCCCATCCCATCCCATTAAACTATTACCCCATCCCATTAAATTATTACCCCATCCCATTAAATTATTACCCCCCCCCCATCCCATTAAATTATTACCCCATCCCATTAGATTATTACCCCCCATCCCATTAAATTATTACCCCCCCATCCCATTAAATTATTACCCCCATTCCATTAAATTATTACCCCATCCCATTAAATTATTACCCCTATCCCATTAAATTATTACCCCCATTCCATTAATTTATTACCCCCATCCCATTAAATTATTACCCCCATTCCATTAAATTATTACCCCCATCCCATTAAATTATTACCCCCATCCCATTAAATATAAAAATAAAATAAAACCAAGTACGAACAATCCAAACCATTAGACAGAATTCGAAGTCCTAAAAAAACGGTATAGTATAGGCAAAATAGTGTAATAAGGCAAAATAGTGTAATCAGCATATGGACTGTTCACCGTGTACAAAATACACGACAAACAGTGGTAACAGGTGTCCGGAAGAGTTAGCTTACCCTGCCTAGCGCCACACCCGCCATAGCTGCATCCAAACTATTAGGCTAATTCCATTAAATTATTACCCCCATCCCATTAAATTATTACCTCCATCCCATTAAATTTATTCACAGAAATTGAAACCTGTTAAGTAGGTCTATCTACCACCTATAGGTCCACTCTCCTACGTCGTACAGGTCCTGGAGTCGAAATACCAACTATCCCACGGTCGACAGATCTTTAAATCATTTAGCGATAAACATCCCTTGGCGGTTGGAATTCGATAGAAGAGTAGACCATAGTGCCGCTGTCCGGGTAAAATATCCCTCATAGCGCACTGTATGGCGTATGCTCGTCTTCATTAGCACTAGGGACCGGGTATCATTCGGATTTGATGAAAAAGAAAAAAGAAACTGAGCTTACCATCTATAATCTAATACACATATTCAGTTAATAGATTGCCATGCAGAAAGTATTAAATGCCATCAAGATTCATCAAATAACGCCTGTTTGTGCGTGATTGTTTAATTAGCCTAATGACGTCGAAAACCACTTTGATATGCGCATAGTGGAAACTTACACCCGAAGTTTCACACGTGTTATTTTGTTATCAAACTAGAATGAATGTTTACCAAGTTATAACTCTATTTTTTATGTATCAAGTTATCAATCATTCATTTTAGTGCATGAGATCTGAATTCCCTACACTACATATATGTTAAGCCAATAATTATTTAAAGATATAATATAATGCTATTATTAATGTAAAGAGCTAAAATTCTACCAAAAGTGTTATAATTCCAGCAACTTCAGTGTGGTCCAATATAGCCTACCTTATAGGTGGCTGACCTGAACCCCAACTAACCAAGTAATCGTCGTGGGGTATGGGGATCTCGCCCTCCGGGAGAAAATTTTGAAAATCTAACCGCCGCAAATGCGTTTTTCTGCTATTCTAGCCCGTCAGTCAAGCAAATCCAAAGTTGCCCAATAGTTTTGTAACCGAAATCCCACTCTATGCCAACCTGAATTCCAATCATATAGCCAGAATGTTGCAGCTGCATTCATGATTAATAGAAAGCGGCTCCAGACAAAATGTTTAAATCCATAGTCAATTCAGTACAAATTCGTAATATTCAATTAAAATTAGTGTTTTATTAGATTTTGACACTTTATTTTGTCATTGCCATCTAGTTGAAATACCCGTCTGCCCGAAAAGTCAAATTGCCCGAAAGTTAGCGGGCAGCTGCCCCCGCCCCCCTGGCTCGTTCATCTATGCCGCTCTGAAATTTCTGCTATACTTAATACTAGAGATGGGACAAAATAACAAAAAATAAAATCTGTAGGGGTGTTTCTTAGGCGAAATTGATTAAAAAAAAACGATTTGGGCAAAATTTTTGTTCTATTTTTCGGTCGGGTAATTTGCATTTTCAAAATGGCGGCCAAAAATTGTCTTTTTCCAGAGTTGTGTCCTCTAGTGGGCCAGATATGTGTTCCGATGTCAAAAATTATACTCCAATGTCTTTCGAGCAATGGCGGCCATCTTGGATCCAATATGGCCAAAAATGGATTTTTTTGGAAATTTTGTTGTCACATACGGTACTAATTTGGGCGGCCATATTGGACTCAAGATGTTTAACCGTATAAAACCGTTAAAGCTACAACCTCTCATGGCCGCGGAGAATCGTGGTGGTTAAAGCTATAACATGCCATGGTCACTGAGAACCGCCGTGGTGGTTAAAGCTAAAACCTGTCACGGAGAACTGTGGTGGTTATACCACACCCTGTCATGGCGACGGTGAACCGTGGTGATCACGTGGTTATACCACGCCCTGTCATGGCGACGGTGAACCGTGGTGATCACGTGGTTATACCACACCCTGTCATGGCGACGGTGAACCGTGGTGATCACGTGGTTATACCACACCCTGTCATGGCGACGGTGAACCGTGGTGATCACGTGGTTATACTACAACCTGTCATGTCGACGGTGAACCGTGGTGATCACGTGGTTATGGCCACAGATCAACAAAGATTCCCCATTGACTTTAGTGTTAATTCTCGTCTCTTAGACCGGTTCTAACTTTCCACCTAATTTTCGTTGGGTAGAACGCAGAGGGAGTAACATGTGACAACCTTTTGCTTAAAAGCACGTATGAGGTTCATCTTGGAAAACTTGTATATTCAGTAATATTTACCAAAACCTGACTGAAAATGAATTTTCAAACCCTCTTCTTCAATTCTACAATAAAAAGGCAACAAAGACCGCCATGCAAAATAGGGAAAGGAGAGAAAAACTAAAAAATAGCTCTGGGCCTAGTTTCGTGAGTGACGGCGTAGGAATAATTGATCAGTTGTGTCCTTATGCTACAGTCTGTCAGCATTGTTGAAAACCGTAGTGGTTAAAGCTACAATCTGCGGTGGTGATCGTGTGGTTACGAATCGTTGTCATTCAGATAGAAGTAAAAACCGAGAACTGAAAATACATACGTCATCCTTTGATGTTAACGTGTTGTTTCAATATATTACTTAAAGGAGCTAAATCGCTGATATTTAGGACCTAGAAATTGACCCAAATGGGTCGCAACGCATATAATAATGTAATCTGATTGTATATAAACTGATTTACATTCAATTGTTTCCGTTTTGACTCTAATTTTAAATCAGTTATGTCCAGCGAAATACATCATGTGTCTCAACCCTATAGCAATTTCTAGCGTCTGGTTATTCCAGTCTATTGAGCAGGCTCTCCAGTTGAATATGTCTGTTCTTTCTGGTCACTTGTTACAAATGACGCTAAAACGCACTATGGTACACGATTCGTGTACCAATTGTAAAATGTTTATTTTGTTTTAAATATTTTGGTATCAGAAGTCTGCCTTTTCCTGGTACGATCACAACATCAATGTTGATTTGAATTGACAAATAATTCGTATTTTCAACGTGTAAGACTTTGGATGATATTGAGTTAGAGACTTGGTTACTTTAATGTCTGGCTCTCCACCTTTAAAGTACACATAATCATCGTACGCCCATATCAAAACAGTGAAATACTGAGGCAGAGAACACTTATACGCATGTATACATCCAACAAAATGAAGGTTATCGCTGTTTCTTGCAGTATTTTCGGGCAGGGAATATTTATAATAATTTATTACTAATGTCGGATGGATAAAATCGAACGATATACAGAATTCAACAAAATCAAATCAACTAAAGACCTATACTATCGTTCATTATACCATTGAAACATTGTAAAATAACCTAAAGACCTATACTATCGTTCATTATACCATTGAAACATTGTAAAATAACCGGGAGACCTATACTATCGTTCATTATACCATTGAAACATTGTAAAATAACCGGAAGACTTTATTTTGTTAATTAATTGATTTAAAATAGCAAATACACATGCATGTTTTATAACTACATGTCATTGGAACTAGAAAATAGAAGTATGTACAATATAACAGATATTTTAAAATATAATAATTCATCAGGGAAAAAATCAATCTGATTAAAAGATAGATCTATATTTCGTTTCGTTTTTTTTTATACTTTCGATGGCCTACATTACAATCATGAAGATCTGACCGGTTGTAACGAGAGGTCGCTTCCGATGTCATACGAGTGGCTTTTGACCCTATGACGTCAGATATTTGATTAACTAATCAGCATTGATGTTAATAATGGATTACCCTCAGTTCCGTGCAAAACACGCCTAAAGCTAGCCGTAACAGACCGTTTCATTGATTAAGCCCTCACACCATTCAGAACACGTCTATGATAACAACTCTTACAGATCCTAGTGTAGTAAAGACAAGTCAAACGAAATTTTGAACTATAAAAACGAAACGAAATAGGATCTGTGTTTTAATCTGATTAGGAAAAAAAGGATGGTACGAGAAATGTACATTTCAAGATAGAAGGTTACAGGGAACACTCGGTGACGTAGGCACAATGGCGGGGACGTATAATTATTGTCTTATACACGTTTATTGGTCCATGGTGGATTTTAGTTGGAGAATAATTTGGCAAATATTGTCATGACGATTAGTAGGGTGGAGGAAATCAGGAGTCCAGCTGCACCTGTAAATATAAACACATATTGTAACATGGACGGGAAATCTTCCTTTGTTCTTTTCAGTGCCGGATTAGCCTTGTGGGGGTGGGGGGGACATACCAACTATGCGGGGGCACCGTTATTGTTTGTTCAAATTGTTCGTACTGACCGCGGATCGTACTAGTATGTACTCCGCCCCCTTGAGTGCCTGGGGTGTTTTCCTCCAGGAATTTTTTTTTTAAATTAGGATTAATTTCAGTGCATCTGAGACAATTTAGGCAGCGATTTCCTGGGCCCCCGAAAATCTGTTGGTACCTACGTCCCGGGGCCCCCAATATCCCTTACTGTCCAGGACCCAAATCCTCCCCCCCCCCTCAGCCCAGGTACTGGTTGGCTCCATCCGGGATAAAATATTAGTATGACCCAGAATTGTGCAATAACTAGACATGTTCAATGTTATTGCACTCTTTTGCTGGTTTACTCTAGTTTTAGTGGAAATCATATAGAGAAGTGGGGTGGGTTTTCTGTGCAATAACAACAAGCATGTTGAGCAGGTGTCAATGTTACAAGTAATTTATACCACGCTTAATTCGTTAACAGGTTTAACATCTGGGCCTACGGCCTCGATGTTTAAACCTGTTAACTCATGAAAGTCGTGCTATAAATATAACTTGTAGGACGTAGATCCTATTTTATTATGTGGGAGCCGCGGCCGCAAACGTTTCTGGGAATTTTCCGGCGCAGTCCCCTATTTTCAGTGGCGCAGGACAGAGGGCCTGGCAAGGAACAAAGAATAGTCGTTCGGATTGGACACAAAAATCTAGGTTCCTGGACACATTGACGTGAACATACAATAACACTTAACAATTGGAATTCGATATAAGAGTAGGTCATAGCGCGCGAAACCAGACTGCACAAATTCCAAGGAACTATATCTGCAAACATCGGGCTTGAACCAGCGCCTTACTCATTGAATCACCGTGGTTATAACATAATAAAACTAGCTTATGGGTGTCTTAATTAAAATCCAAATTGATTAAACCTACCACATTTTCCATAATCAAAAGCTGTGACCTGAGCTGAATAAACCGTACCCGAGTTACAGTTGTTATCCTGTAAACATTTGAAATAAGGCCTCTTTTCACTGAAATAAAATAATATAGTATTACATACAGTTAGACAGGTTGTAATAATATAGACATATTGTAATGATATAGACAGATTGTAATGATATAGACATATTGTAATGATATAGACAGATTGTAATGATATAGACATATTGTAATGATATAGACAGATTGTAATGATATAGACAGATTGTAATGATATAGACAGATTGTAATGATATAGACAGATTGTAATAATATAGACAGATTGTAACAATATAGTTAGACAGATTGTAATAAAATAGACAAATTGTAATAATATATAGTTAAGACAGGTGTTTCACTTACGTGCATGTACTGGATTGGGTGATATTCGTAAGGTGACTACTACATGTGGCTGGTAGAATGGTACAGGCGATGTCACCGAATAAAAAACATTCGGTGCGCACTGATAGACCTTAAAGTAAAACAAAAATAAACACACATTTTAATTGTTTGAAATGAAATGGGGGTTAACGTCCTACTGTACTGTTCTACTGCGAGTAATTCAGGTAACAAGTTGAAACTTGGTAGGAGTGAGGAACACATTGATGCCTTCAAAAGTGCATATTACAAATTCTGTGACGGCTTCCTGAAATTCCCTAGGTCTTTCGATTTTTAAAATAGACCAAAAAATGACATATGGTGGTGGATGACCGAATGGTTAGCACTTGCGCGCTATATCATAAGGTCAACCGGTATGGTTTTGAATTATTGAAATAAAAATGAACCACGTGTTAGTCCCTAAATGACCTAGGTTGTGTCGAGTGGACATTACTCTCTCTCTCTCTCTCTCTCTCTTTCTCTCTCTCTCTCTCTCTCTCTCTTTCTCTTATTTATATTTATAAACTGAATAAAGACTATTTTGATTGTTATAACTAGTGCTTATTTTTTTTTTTTTAAATTATTTTGCTATGATCATATAAAGTCCGTCGATATGATACGTTAAACGCCTCCATTTTGTATTTAAAGATACATTATGTAAGATTTAGATGGGGAGTGGATCGTTCTTGCTCTAATAGTTTGAACATGGATAATAAAAAATGAATATATTAAAAATTTCAGTCAAATTACTTTAATTTTATCAATGTTTGAAGTTTTGTCAAGAATAGCGTGGTCTCACTTGTCATTGCTGCAATGTTATTAAATAACAGATCTATATTTCGTTTCGTTTATTATTATACTTTCGATGGCCTAAACGAAATTTTGAACTATAGAAACGAAACGAAAATAGTATCTATGTTTTAACCAGATTGCCATTGCGAGGTAATAAACGAAATCTAGATTTTCCATTAACTGAGTAAATGGCGCGAATGATCCAATCCAATTAACATCCAAGCCATCCGATGTTCTAGAGTGTTGATTATGGGCTTGCCCTCGGTGGGAGAGAGAGAGGGTGGGGTTTAACGTCCACTCGACACAAACTAAGTCATTTCGGTACTAACACGTGGTTTAATTTTATTTCAACAATTCGCTTGCGCGTAGGGGTCTTTAGCAGTGGGATGAAACCGAAGGACCCGGAGAAAACCCACGAGGTTGAACAGGCGACCCTACTCCTTGTCACATACAACCGGGGATTAGAAACCACGCCAGTTGACTCAATGACAGGCCTTATGATACAGCGCGCACGTGCTAACCATTCGGCCCTCCAACACCCCCCCGAAAGACATTAGACAATTTATAATCATTGTACTAAACATGTAAATTTCACCATTTTTGATTATCCTTACACATCTTTTATGTAAAAATTAAATTGTTTTTATTTTTAGGACAGGAATTACATCGGACTCTTCTCCAATCCCACTTATTTATGAATAAATATTACTTTTAAAAAATTATCAAAATAAATTAATTTTTTCAAAATAAAATAAAATTATCAAAATAAAATAAAATTATCAAATAAAATTATCAAAATAAAATAAAATTATCAAGATAAAATAAAATTATCAAGATAAAATAAAATAAAATTTTCAAAATAAAATAAAATTATCAAAATAAAATAAAATTATCAAAATAAAATAAAATTATAAAAATCTTCCATACTTATCAAAACTGCAAGAACTAGGAAAGCCTTCATTTTGTGAGTGTCTGTAATGTTTTCATGGGTCAGGAAAGTATCGTTGTGATATAAGGTCGGTAATAATTAATATAAGTATAACAATTCGACACTGTCGTATCAATAACAACCAATCAAAAGCTATGTTTTGTTTATTTGTAACCAGTAACAACATTTCGAAATACAGAATCTATTCTATTTCTCTTTCTTTGATGTATTTATTAATATTATCACGGTTCTATAGACTTGAATATAAGGGTGTAATAAGGTATATAGGTCAGTATATTAATTGTTGACGCCAATGACTAAGTATTTTATGCTTTTCAATGAAATCGCGAATAACGTTAATATTGTGTAGTAAATATTGGGTTCTCTGAATTAGGAGTTTTTATTACTATTGTCCATGGGCCAATTGATACACGTTAGATATTAAAAGTACTTTTTACCCGTCTATATATGCCCATTTCGTTTCGCTTAAAGATAAATTCGGCCATTAGACTAAATGAAAATGGAATTAAATGGAGTTTAACCACTCGGCAAACCACGGCAGATTACGGTACCCTACCTTTAACCTCGGCTGTATGATAGTCATTGATATGTACCTACGCCCATACATTTGCGACGCGGCTACCGGTTTACCTACGCCCATACATTTGCGACGCGGCTACCGGTTTAAAAGGAAAACGTGCCGCTTTTACAAAAAAGTCCCAAAATGGCGTCTTTTGTCGAGTGTATATAACTAAACGAGCAGCGATATTGTCTCAAGGCTGCTGGTTTGATATAATTCCCTGGTAATTCCCCAAACCAAATGCCAAACTTGACGTTTGTTGATATAATACACTCTCCACAGAAATCTCCATGGGCGCAGCCATTTTTCATCCGGGACCTTTAAAATAGTTCCAATATGGCGGAATTCGTCATACAGCCGAGATTAGATGCGTAGAATCTGTCGAGGTTTGCCGAGTGGGAGTTTAACGGCTTCTGTTATGCACCAAGTGGGCTAGTGAAGACAGGCGCACGCCATACAGTGTGCTATGATTGAAATTTTGCCCGGATCGCGGCACTACGGCCTACTCTTGTATCAAATTCCAACTGTAAAGGGTTTTTTCACGTACAGGCTAATGTTTACACATTGACAATGAAGGACCCGACGCCGTAAAATCGCGGTAAACATTATCGGTAAGCACAGGGATTAAACACGGTACCTCCAGGTTATCGCGTCTACGTATAACTCATTTAGCCGCCGTGAATCCCCGACCATTGGACAGGATCAAATATAATTATAACGTCCAAGTGTGAGTGCGAACTTCAAATGTTACTTTACTTGTGTTCTGGAAGACTTAATGATGGACATTCAGTTCTGTGATCACAATATTTTAAAAAAGGTTCAGTACAATGTATCTATCTTTAATTCTCACAACTTCAACTATACACCATACAGGACATATATACTATAATCACAGGGAATGTTAATGTACAACAATAATTTTCTCTAATTCTCTAAATGTTTAAGGATATTCTCAATGTAATGCTTTATGGTCAATCTGGTTAAAACACAGATCCTATTTCGTTTCGTTTTTATAGTTCAAAATTTCGTTTTACTTGTCTTTACTACACTTGGATCTGGAAGAGTTGTTATTTAACTCCTGTTCTGAATGGTGTCAGGGATAAGCCAATGAAACGGTCTGTTACGGCGAGCTTTAGGCGTGTTTTTCACGGAATTGTGGGTAATCCACTAGTAACATCAATGCTGATTGGTTAATCAAATGTCTGACGTCATAGGGTCATAAGTCGGTCTTTTGACCCCTAACGTGACCTATCGCTATAACTTGTCAGATCTTCATGTAGTGTAGGTCATCGATCGAAAGTATAAAAAACCGAAATGAAATATAGATCTGTGTTTTAATCATATTGCTTTATGGTTGACTTATGACTGACTGATTGATTGATTAATTTACTGAAAAGATACAAAGATTGGCATAAGCACACTACTAAAATAATAACTCATATCCTACATGTAAGTACTAAGGGCCTTAACTAATTTCCACATGCAAAGACACAACTAAGGATAATCTGAGATGCTTATGGTTAACTACTAAAGGTAGGCTATATTGATGCAAAAATCTAATGCAATTGTTAACATGTCTTGCTAACACTGTTATATAGATATCGGAAATACATTTCTAGAAATGTCGACAGTCACTTTGTAGATATTCTGCGAGTTTTAGCAGATCAGTTTTCTTTTAGGCTTACTTATCAATGACTTAGTTTTTTCCGTATAATTGGCTCTATTAACATTTTCTGATGTTCACATTTCCTAGTTTTTTTTATAGGATTTTGGGTTTTAATATTTTATTTTTAAAATGGACAGATGCATATATAGGACCTTTCGGTTGAATCATATCATAGGAATATCTTATTTGCATAGTTTTACGTATTTGTCGACATTTAGGTGTACGTGTTCTATTGTTCTATTTATAGCCTATACATTTTCTTGTTTCACTTGACTAAACAAAGCATTGTGTAGGAATGTAGGCTTTTATAGATTGAACAAAAAGCTGATAAATGTTGAGATGTGTGGAACATGCTCGGGGCGATTTGTAAAATATCTCAGGCACGATATACTCTTCAAAAAAAGTAGGGGATATTAAAATGCAAATACCTATGCAGGTTGTAATATGATAAATAGTCATGGACACTTGACATGCTTTGAGAGTATGTTCACAGATGAAGAACTTATCGCCCCAACAGAACCACTGAGCTGCACATGCGACACGCAATAGCGCCATACATGTCAAATTTGACACTTCAAGGAAGGGTTAATGAAAACTGCCGCGTGCTGGTTTATCTATCCATGTTTGCTTTCCTATCGGTTCTTGCATAAGATTTACTGTTTAGCGTATCTTTGCTAAACGTGTGTTACGTTTAATTTGATCGGGAGACATGTTCCTCGACGTCAACGTCAACCGACAACACTGCAAGAATTGACCGTGACACTGCAAGAGGAGTGGGTCAGATTGACCTAAATCGTGATTGAACGGTTGATAAGGAGTATGCCACGACGAATTGCTGAATGTCTGAGGATTGGTGGAGCAATTACTCATTATTAAGACCAAAAATCAAAAACGTCTATTTTCATTTTTGACGGTGTATCTATTTGTGAATGAAATGGGGCGGTCAAATAAGCCGCCCATATTAAATGTTTATATTCATGTGTAGGGAATTGGCCTGTTATTAACATACACTGGTTATTTCTAATAAAAACAGCAGTGCATTTCCGCAGTTTTGTATTGTTTCTGAATATCCCCTACTTTTTTTGAGCATCAAAACAACATGATTATTTCATTGGAAATGGGCGCAAATACCCAAAGGTGTCGGACAAACTCTAAAGCATCTGCGTCTCCTTCCTTGGGCCCCTTCATTATATGTCTACCTGTGGAATAACAGGTACATTATTTGTATCTGTTAAATTTGTGAGGTTTATATATTAGATTAATATTATTATTTACTCATGGGCGGGGAGAGATAACGTCTTAACCCAAACAAATTGCAAAAGACACCAGGAAGTTTCGTAGAGCGATATCTCGTCTCACATGTCACTGATGAAACCTATGCCCGAAACACATGTTACGCTAGACACCTTTTATTTAAAGGAGCTAAATCGCTAATATTTGGGACTTACAAATTGACACAAATGGGTCGCAACGTATATAATAATGTAATATGAATGTAAATAAACTGATTTACATTCAACGTTTCCGTTTTTACTCTAATTTCAAAGCAGTTATATTCGGCGAAATACGCCAGAAGTCTCAATCCAATGGCAGTCACTAGCATCTGGTTATTCCAGTCTACACCGATAGTATTTATTGCGCATGCTCTTCAGATAAGAATATGGCGTCACTGTTTGACAAGACTTGTGGAATATGTATAACCTCGTTTTTCGAGTCCATTGTTACAATGTTTTATCTAGTCAATTTAAAGAAATTTCTATTTTCGAAAAATTGATGATACAATTAATGATTGATGACCCAATTCGGAATGGCTCCAGACCAAAAAATAATGGAATTTCAGGTATTTATTTTGCCGGCTAGAAGGCAAAAAGGTTTTATCTTCCAAATTACTATATAATTTAAATTTTAATTTTTCACTTTACCCGTCTGCACAAAAAATCTGATTTTTAAAAGCGTAAATTATGTAAATAAAATTAAAACCATATGTTAGTCCCGAAATGACCTAGTTTGTGTCGAGTGGACGTTAAACCCCATTTCTCTCTCTCTTTCTTTCATTTATTATAACAGAGGAAGCCAATCACAACATTCACGCAAGTGCTGGAAATCCATTAAAACCAAGCATCGGCGTAATATGGAACAGGAACCAACCATGACGCCATCGCCGCGTTCTTGGAAGTACGCAAATTAATTGGTAATGATGTTATTTCGCTTGTACTTATATAGGCGGAGCCTTATTTTTTTTTCGAACTGTTTATCCTCCGGTTTACCCCAACTGCTAAAGACCCTTACGCACGTGCGAATTGTTGAAATATATCATTGAACTATAAGTATACCAAATGTTACTCCTGAAATAAACTACAAGCTGTTTTAATGGCCTCTACTGACTACAAGTTGTTTTAAAAGGTTCTGTCGACTACAAGTTATTTTAAAGGTTTAGAGTTTTACAGGTTGGACTGTCCTAATGACCCAGAAACTAATGTGATCACCGAGAACTTTCCACTGATGTAATATCTTTTCAATGACGCGAGCATGAATGGTATCTATACAATATAACTACTATGATACAGTAAACGTCAATAACTGGTGTTTGTACTAGAAACCATTCTCTTGTTAATCCACCTCTTGTTGTTGGTGGGGTAGACCAACATTTGTGTCGATAATAGAATACAATTTATAGGCATAAAGAATATCATTCTACACCTAGAGACCCATCTACTTCATACTTCGAGAGTAAATCTCTGTCCTAAATGGCCGCCATATCCAAAAATTAGTATATTGTTTTGTAATGCGGTTTTACTCTGTTTCACGTCTGACATACACACACAGACTCAATAAACCTATTCAGTTCCACTAAATGGAAGCAGAATAAATACTTCTAAAAATTCTCGAAGTATACTTAGTGTTTTCGACTAAAATCGTTGATTTAGGACATAAAATGTCGGTCAAGTAGCTTAGTGTCTGTTCTCAAGCGGGGCTAACTGTAGACAGACAGCCTAAGTTTAGTATGAAAGAATATAATACAAATACAAACCATGTGACTTGTGGGGTAGTGGAGTGTATGTATAGGATATTAACCTACCCGAGGTTGATATGGACTCAGACTAGCAATTATTTGCCCATTGACTTCAATGTTAAATGGCTGTAACATCACAGGCTGTAGCTTTTTTCTCAACATTCCGTTGGTTCCAATCTTTATAGGCACAATGGGGACAACATTTGGCAATCTCCTCATCATAATTTTGTAGGGGGTTGACCATTTAGATTTTTTGCTACACGGATTTGAAGTTGACTGGGGTGAAAATCTCACTTCCGACACAATGACTGCTCTGCAGAAAGACACTTTACACCCCCTATCCCTCCGCTGTAATATCATCAGTATTACCCAAAACTGCTATGAAATTGCAAATTTGATCCCTTTTCTCCAATTCTAGACCAAAAAGTCAACCCAAAAATGCAGGAAGAGGGGAGAAAAAAATTAAGGGAAAAATTGTCTATTTATAACTCGCACTACATTCGTCCATCATGAAATAAGGGGAAATAATTACTAGTCTTAGTCCATATGGTAGAGAACGCGCGGGCGACAACGCCATTTCACCCTTAAATTTAATGGGCTCTTCCATTAAAAGGCAACAACGATTGGATAATTGCTCGATAGTTTCCGCCAAATAGCGAAAATTACCGAAGTAATCACGTGCAATTACGTGCATGTTTTTGTTAATACGTCGCCATTTTGGACTATTGAATTGAAAGCAAAAACAAAATGGATAGTAATACGAAGTCAGACGAATAATCAATCCTTTTTAGCCAACATATTGACGATGGAATAGATGTGAATGCAAATATCGACGAGGATCTATCCAAAGCCTGCAGAAAATTTGGACCAAAAGGCATTCTTTTCCAAGAATTCTGACAGTGAACCATGATTGAAGGTTTTCGGTATGTTCAGAGAAGGATTTGACCGACTGTTGAAGTGGACTGTACCCAAAAATACTTTACAAAGGAACTCTTGGGCGATAAATACTTTCAAGTCTTATAGTGTGTGGAGAAATAATCGCAATGTGAACGAAAAGAAAATTCTGAAGTATGTCTTAGACATGGATAACCGATCTAAATACATGTATGTCGACAAGTACATCGTCTATTTCGGTCCTGTATGTTAGAAACTGTACCATAACAAATTTTAATTGTCAAAAGAATAAAAATTTATTTATGTGGTTTTTGTTGTATTATTTCGATCATCTACGTCATCAGCGGTTGATATGAGCCGAATATATTGACCTGAGATGACGTCATTAGCGGTTGATATGAAATATCAACTGTAGCACCATGAGCCTTCTGTCTGACGCGGAGAGCGGACCACACAAACCAGTCGCCACATCCTACATACGACCCATGCATCTATTCTTACTACATATTTCTGTAGCCTCCTTGTGATCGTCTAGAATTTGTTTCTAGCTGTATTTACTTCTTCCAGTTTCTTAAGACGTTTGTCTTACCAGGAATAATAATGCATAGTTCGCTTCTACATTTTATATAGCATATAACTGAATACAGGTATACAAGCATAATAGATAACAATACTAGTTAAAACCATTTCTCTACCCTAGCCAGCCTCTCGGCTGTTTAGGAACTCAGATGTACCCTCGATCTCTGGAATCTAATGCAAGTCTGACTTACAGGGTTCCCCGGTTTCTTTTAAAGGTAAATGAATATCATGCACCATAAAGCGTGATCATGGCCCTGAACTTGTGTAATTAACAAAATGATTGGTTACTTTAAATCAAATGATGCAATTAAAATAATTCCACTCACGTGTAATTCTGGTGGTAAATAATTGACATATGTTTTCGATAAAGAGCTCTTTTTTATATGTCAACTGTCAATTACAGACTAAGTTGATTTAGTGCACACTATATATGTGAATATGTTTGAAATTACTAACTTGCCAAAGATATTACTTAATGAAATATAAAGGCATCTTATTTCAAGAGCAAAAATTCTAGCAATATTATTACACAGCCTGTCATGACGTCATCAGCGGTTGATATGAACGAATATATCAACCTATGATGATGTCATGACAGGTTGTTATGAGATATAACTGCTATGGATATCAAAGTAAAAACTACCGCCAGTTGTATATTATGGATAGATAGACAAAGTAATTTCTTATGGTACAAATAAATTAATAGATAAATGAATGAATGACTGAATATAAATAAAATTCTAAAACAATTATTTAAGTTATCAAGAAAAGGAAATATGTTTAAAGTATATCTAGATAAATACTATTTCCTATTTAGTCTAGGTGGGTGTATAAAATAGTACGCGAAGGCGTAAAATGAGTAAAAGGCACTAATTAGTTCCATCCCTAATTTAAATCCGTCGGGAAATGAAATGAAATGAAATGGGGTTTAACGTCCTACTGTTCTGCTCCTATGCTGGGCTAATGAAGACGGGCATATGCCATACAGTGTGCTATGAGGGAAATTTTGCCCGTGCAGCGGCACTATCGCCTACTCTTATATCGAATTCCAACTGCCAAGGGATCTTTTACGTGCATTCCAATGTATACACGGGACCTCGGTTTTTTGTCTCATCCAAAGGACTAGACAGCTGTCCTTGTCAGGCCCTCCGTCCTGCATCACTGACAAGGGGGAACCACGCCGGAAAATCTGGATGAACTTTCTCGGCCAATGCAGGGATCGAACACCCGACCTCTAAATCCGGCGGGATTTTGTCATTAAACATTAAAACCTACAAAATAAAGCTTATTCCACGATTTCTACCTGAAAAGCCGACGGATGGGAATTATGCAACAAACCGAATCGGACTAAATTCTGCTCGTGCTATCGAGGACGTAGAGAGAGAGAGAGAGAAATGGGGTTTAACTTCCACTCGACACAACTAGGTCATTTCGGGACTAACATATGGTTTAACCTTATTTCAATAAACCCCATTTTTCTCTTTCTGTCTCTTATACAACAAAAGTGAGGTAATTAAGGTGAAATAAGTAAAACGATTAACACAGCGTATTAAATATTTACTGAAATAAAAAAACACTATGGGGATTAACACGTGAGATAAAATGACATGGGGTTTAACGTCCTACTGTTTTGTTCCGAACTGGGCTAATGAAGATGGGTATACGCCATACAGTTTACCATGAGGGAAATTTTGCTGCGCTAAGGTCTACTCTTAAATCGAATTTAAACTGCCAAGGGATCTTTAACTGACACACGGGACCTCGGTTTTTTCGTCCCATCCGGACGACTATATGTTGTTCCTATAACACAACGTGTTAAACATCTTATTGAAATAAGGAACACTGTGGGAATTAACACAAGCTATTAGAAATGTACTAATGGACAGAATTTATTGTGGGAATAATAATTATTTGGTTTGAAGTCAAATTTTCCTCGGTTTTTCGCCCCATCCGAACGACCTGACAAGGACAGCTGTCCCGTGTACACATTGGCGTGCACGTAAAAGATCCCTTGACAGTTGGAATTCGATATAAGAGTAGGCCGTAGTGCCGCTGTCCGGGCAAAATTTCCTTCATAGCACTCTGTATGGCGTATGCCCGTCTTCATTAGCCCAGTTCGGAGCAGAACAGTGGGACGTTAAACCCCATTTCATTTCATTTCTTTTTCACTGTGGAATGATATTGTATGTAATGTATATGGACTAGTGGTTTGCACTATACTATCAGATCTTCAATCTTCACGCTGTGTTTTCTTCCGTGACGAAGTTACAGCTACAGTTCAGGTTCATTTCTTAAATATTTTATTTCTATAAACTGGAAGCTTTATAAAGAGAGAATGCTATTTCCGTACCTACTTGTATAGGTGCGTGTTCCTTTGTCTGAGGTGTTAATGTAAAAGACTGATAACAGCTATGTTCCAAATATGGAATGGACATGCACCCTACCCTTGATATCGACAGGGGTTGTTACCTAATTTGGTCAACAAATATGATATATGTTTTATAACAAAGAAACATGTAAATGACCAACATGTTCATTAATCTATAGCTCAGTTAACGTATCAAAATAACCAGCATATACTTTTTATATTTGTGGTTATGAAGTTAGAATCAATAATATGAAAGATAACACTATTGTTCTAGCCATCATATCTCTACATTCCTTGTCTTTAGACCCCATGTTCTGTTATTGTCACAATATTTCATAAACAATTTAATTTGCGTTTCAGAATTAACTTATACCATAGTTAATATTTTGGCAATGGCGACTAATTAATCAAACCATGATATTATTTTACATATTATGTGTTCTTCAGCACAAATCCCTGCCATCCATATTACTACAGATTTTGTGAGCTGCTATAAAGGGCTATTAAAAAAATCTGTTAAAAAGGTCTGTTTAAAAAGGTCTGTTTAAAAAGGGCTGTTAAAAAAGCAAAAAAGTCTGTTAAAAAAATAACTATCAACACCGTATCAAAACTAAAACCTCATCTAAGGACATGCATAGCCAAATAATAGTCGGATCATGTTTGACAACATGGGATTTGGCGGGTGCATGTTTGTATTCGCATAAGCTGACGACATATCCCAAAAGTCCAAATACACAATTTGCTGCCGGAAGTCTTTAAATTCCTCCATGATAATTTGTTTAATAAATAAAGCAGGATAATCATTTACAGCAATGATCCAGTCTTGGACGAACCAGTGAGGACTTTTAATGACCACATACAGATCTTTATTCCTAGCTAAAGCTCGACGTAGTCCTGGAATCAAATTGCGGAATTTTTCCCGACTGATGTAATAATGGTGCCTTGTTAAATGGCCGTATAGATATATGACAAAGATTGTTTTTCCCTTACTTGGAACCTTATCTAACACCATGCCGATAGCATTAATCCTCATTCTTGTTTGATCAGGACGTCGTTCAACCAAGGAAAAGGGCAGGTTATGGGGATGGAGATGAATAGTCATGTTCATTTGTTTATTTTTACACTGGGCGTATCTCTGCCATTTCTTTGTATACCATTTTTCCGATGTTAACGCACAGTTTAAGTAAGATGTAAGATAGGTAAACCACTGTCTGGTCGTCGAATCACCAGTAAAAAACAACGTGGTATCCTTTAAACATCTCTTGATATCATCTCGAGTTTGTGTAATCCTGCAATACGATGGATGATATTCTCCATTCAAGGCATAACCGGTCGGTGATGAGATATCCCATGTTTTTGATTTGGGTAATTTATTACACGTAGGAAGCAAGTTTCTGTTGTCAGGAATCGCCTTTCTTGAAAATAGACAATAAGACATCAACAACAATAGGCAATGAAATGGAAATGTAATGTGGTTTAACGTCCTACTGTTCTGCTTCGACAGTGTGCCATGAGGGACATTTTGCCCGAACAGCGGCACTATGGCCTAATCTTATATCGAATTCAAACTGCCAAGGGATATGTCACGTACATGCCAATCTATACACGGGACCTCGGTTGAACAACTAGACAGCTGTCCTTGTCAGGCCGTCCGTCATGCACCACTGACAAGGAGAACAGCGTCGGAAAATCTCGATGAACTATCTCGGCCAATGCAAAGATCGAACACTCGACCTCCTGGCTAGCGAGTCAGCGTCTTGCCCACCGTGGTTCCCCAGTAAAATAGGACATTTAAGATCATTTCACTTCATTTCGCGAGGACCACCAATCTGGGCAAGTTTTCACAAGGGTCAATTTTTTAATAACTGACATGTTGCTAGAGGTCCAGAGGAGGTGTGGGGGGGGGGGGCATATATTTCATTGAGCACCCAATCTAGGAGTGAAATAAAAATAAAGTTTCTATTTTAATCAAATAATAATTTACTCAAATTGTTACCACAGGGCAAAAAAAATCTACAAGAATGTCTCGAAGGAGGTGAGAGACAAATTCGGTTTAACGTCCACTCGACACAAACTAGACCATTTCGGGATTAACATATGGTTCAATAATTCGATTGCGCGTAGGGGTTCATAGCAGCGAGAGAGAAAACCCACATCACCCACAACTCTTCCATTTTGTGATTCCTAAATCAAGAAGATACTTTTACCTACCTTTAACTTCAACTGTAATTTCTTTAAATACACTCATCCACCCTCTTCTGAAATTAGCATAAACAGTAGCATCATAAATACTTGTTTATATACAGTATAACCATAAATACTTGTTTATATACAGTATTACCATAAATACTTGTTTATATACAGTATTACCATAAATACTTGTTTATATATAGTATTACCATAAATACTTGTTTATATAACATACAGTATTACCATAAATACTTGTTTATAAACAGTATTGCCATAAATACTTGTTTATAAACAGTATACCCCATAAATACTTGTTTATATACAGTATTACCACAAATACTTGTTTATATATAGTATAACCATAAATACTTGTTTATATACAGTATTACCATAAATACCATAAAGATGGAGGGGTTTCGGGTGGGTTCTGTCCCCCCGGCCTCCAGAAAATTTTAAAATTTGACAATTCCAAGAACACTGTTTAGAGCGCATCTAGCATTCCAAATTCCAACATAAAACTCTTTAAAATACACGATAATGAAAGAGACAAAAGCCTGATTATTCACAATTTTTGTATCATGAGCAATTCATCTCTAGACATCTGGCCAAGGCATGCACTGATAGCTGATAATGAGAGTGCGAGAGCCGGTTCGCGACCGACCAGAGAGCAATTAAAAATGAATAGACTAGTAAAAAGGTTGAAAACTTTCACCATCAGGGCATGGGTATACCCCAGAAAAGGCCAGAGTACCATTTGTATACCTTGGTACCCTGATTGTTTCTGCCCATAGAAAACTGAGATACACAAATTTTCTCTGCTGCCCGTCCGATTAACAATTATGAATATTTATCAAAACATGTCGGAGAATGCTAAATCGAACAGTCCTCGATTACGAACCAAACGGTCGATAGGGGAAAGGAAAGGTCTTTAGTCTTTAGCAGTGGAAGGAATTCGGGGGTAGAAAACCCACGGGGTTAGACAGGCGACCCTACTCCTTGTCAGAAACAACCAGTAAATAGAAACCACACAAGTTGACTCAGACCTTACGATACAGCACGCACCTGCTAACCATTCGGCCACCCCCCACCCCACCCCCACGCCCTCGGACATACAAAGGTTATACTAGATTGAAATACATTTTACCTCTTAGCTAAGAACTTTTCACCTGGCGTGATACCAATATCAATCAGGCTGTCATCATGAATGGACATCAGATCTGCACAGCTTAAATTCTTTGATGGCGGCGATCCACAAAACCATAGGTCGTCGCCATTTTCATAAGTAATATTACAGACAAACGTCATATCCGGGAATATTGGGTCGCGGTCCACACAGTGTTGACTGGGTTTCATTGCCTTTTTTATAAACTGATTTATAATAGAATATGGTGTTAAAATGTCGCAACCATCTGAGATATGTAGACCACTCCTCCCGAAAATGTGGAATATAAACTAAAACTTTTATTTTTCCAGGAAATGACGTACGCACGGTTATCAAATAAGTACCGTTCTTATAATCTGTAACGCGCCCAGCTTGTGATAATTTTCTGACGTCATCGACCAGTCTCACTCTGATGTCATCCGCACCTCGCAGGACCTTATCGCCGTAGGAATCGTAGAGTTGTAATTGTATTTTGATGTCCTCGCCAACAATACCAGACGACATAACAATAGTTTTAGATGCTGTGGAGTTCGGAATACGTTTTTCATCGGATATGGGTTCATCATCAAAAGTCTGCAGCTCGTCTGGTAACAAAGGTTCTTTTGCAACTACGCTATTATCAAAATATTTTGGAAAATTCATTACAGGGTTGAGTTTAAAACAGAGACATGCGTCGCCTTTACACGACGACAATTCGTGAAGCGAATGTGGACATTTTACTGGGCAGCGAATACAGCCTTTCGTAAAACTAATCAACTCCAGATTGTCCGGTGCACGATAAACAAAATACGAAGTGTAGTTCGAATGCTTCAGTTTTGGTGCGTTCACACTGACTTCCGGTTCTGCAATTAGGCTGATAATGTGGTCCGGTACAGCAATTGCGCTATATAATTTCTTGACGGGCGTCAGATTTCTGTAAATAAAAAAAAGAAAATAATATGTTCATAAATGAGGATCAAGATATTGATCTCGCCATTTCATTGATACTCGATTAGCGCTAACCCTAACCCTAGCCACAATCTCGTCATTATTCACGTGCCCTAACTCTAATTACATCTCACGGCCTTGACGAAATCTGCGGGAGTCACGGTGGCTAAGTGGGTAAGACGCTGGCTCGCTTGCCTGGAGGTCGCGTGTTCGATTCATGCATTGGCTGAGCAAGTTCATCGTCGATTTTCCGACATGGTTTCTCCTTGTTAGTGGTGCAGGAAATAGGGTCTGACAAGGACAGCTGTCTAGTCATTCGGATGGTACGGAAAACCGAGGTACCGTGTATACATTGGCATGTATAACTCGCACGTAGGTTAAAGAAAGAAAAACCAAAACAAAACAAAACAATTTAGATCTAATTTTAAGATTGGATTCAAACGACCTTTCTAGATTCTCTAGTCAAATTATTATTTATTGTATTAAAAAAAATCTGACAAATTTACAAGCAGTTTCGGTAGAGCTCTTCGTTTTTTTCTTTTGGAAGTTTGTTTTTTCATAACAAAAGTGGAAAATTAACCAGCATGAACCCCATGAATGTTTTAGGTCATCGCATTTGTGCGGTGCCCTCCCATTTCGACAACAGCTTATAACAACAGATTATATGGTCTGGTGGTTTTATTATCCCTACTTATATACCCTCTCCATACCTAAAATAGATTCTTCCATAAAACATCCTAATACAGCTTATAACAGATTACATCAAAACAAACAGAAAACAGAATGAAAAATTAATTATTTCTTCTATACAATGTTATTGTTAATAAATAAATAAACAAATATTTCTACTTCCAAATTCCCGAATTTGAAAATAAACGCAATATTGTTATAAAGGAATTCTAATAAGAAAACAAACACTTTTGATTGAATGATAGTGAACGTGAAGAATAAATGAAAAAAATCATCTTATATAGATAAGCAAGTATTAAACTCAAAATAAGTAAGTAAGGGTTATCGACTGAGACAGAGGGGTTCAAGTTAGATGAACACCCGAGCTCGTGCAAGGTTGTACACTGAGAACGCGTTAGCGTTCGAAGTGTTTAATTGCGCGAGCTCGGGTGTTCATCTAACTTGACCCCGAGGGTCGAAGGTCGATAACTCACTTACACACTGGATTCTTTGTTTTTGTAAGAAGATGAATGAGTGAATGAAAATGGACGGATACGAGAGAGACGAAAATTAGAGGCCCTTTATCACACAAAATAATTTTACCAATTCGTCTATAAAAGGTATCAATATATTATTTTGACTGTCACGTATTGTCGTTTATTCAGCAGATTGAGGGGGCGGGGCATAACCTGAATATAGCCAGGGTATACCTGTTTATTTACGATGCATACAAATCAGATCATTCAAATGTCAGGTTTTTTAAATACAACTTTAAGTAATTTGGATTGGTATATGGATAAATGTATTTTAAGCCTATTTGCTGATTTCAGGTTTTCGGCACTTTTTATACGTCAACATGTCGTATATTTATGTCGCTCCCGTCCGGTGTCCACGCCCTGGAGGCTGAACAATTATGGTCATGAGACGAAGAATCCTATTGATTTTCAATGATTTCCGATAATGACTTCCAGATTTGTGGCCCTTGATATTTAATGTTTTGAGTACTCAACGTCAGTATAGGGCAGAATTAGAAGCCAAACAAGTATGACAATTACTTAATGGGTTGTTATTCGTACTTATATTGTAATGTGTTGTAAATGTTTTCCTTACCGACAAGGGGGGTTCGATGGCCGAATGGTAAGCGCGTGCGCGTTGTATCATAACGTCTGTCATTGAGTACGTGACAAGGTGCAGGGTAGCCTGTCCAACCTCGTGGGATTTCTCGGGGTCCTCCGGTTTTCTCCCACTGCTAAAGACCCATACGCCCAAACGAATTATTGAAATAAACTTGAACCATGTTAGTCCTGAAATTACCTCTTTTGTGTCGAGTGGACGTTAAACCCCATTTCTCTCTCCTTCCCCACAAAAGAAAAAATATGCGACACCCTTATTGACTTCCCGGACGACTTAGCTGCTGTGGGCGTATGTTTCGTTGTCTGGCAACCTATCTTTAAAATCCACAACAGGCCAATGAATAATATAATAATTATTTGGTGTGTATGGGGTATGCTGCATTGACTGGAATACGTTTTACATTCACGATTTGTCAGCCACAGAACACAAAATAACCATGTACGAAACAATAGCATGTGCGATGATGTAGGAAAGGTATTTTACAAGATTACAAATTATCTAAAACATGGCCAAACAGAAATTTATCCCAGTTCGCTAGGTTTTGTGTATTTGTTCCTTATACTATTGGATGCGTTTTCTAGCTAATGATACTATTTCACAATCTACATTGAAAAAATATTTATTTATTGTTTTAACTGCATGTATTTATATTTTGTAACTAACACGGTGTTTCTTGTTATTTATAATACAGTGCACGCACGAAAATGCATGGTCTGTTTTGACAATCACCGGGTTAGTATGTTGGGGGGTTCATTTATATGAACACCTACTTTTCTTCAAATGATCACCTGTGCACGTGCTAAAACAACACATTACAGGTTGATCAGTAACTTGACAAGTAGGGTGACCCGTGCACTTTACAGAAAGTTGGTCTCGACACGGCTAAATGTGCACGCTTCAGTTGCGTGTCTCGAACTGATTTCTGACTACCCCGCACTCGCTTTGAGTCGATAAATAGCCATGGCACGTGCAATTCTCTACAAATATATCAACTATTACAGCCGTAAAAAATCTATTGTTGACGATTTTGAATAGCAGTAAAATTTAGCTTCTTGGTTATTACAGCAGCTTTAGTAATTACGTTTGTTTTATTTTTTAAATAGCTTTATTATTAACTGTACCGTTAAGAGCGGCATCTTTTGGTTTAGTACAAATACTATCTCTGAATCACTTTCTTTAGCAGGAACATGATACTAGCAGTAGTTTCATTTTACTTTTACAAGTTTCTTAAAACAATTGTTGAGTTGTCTAAAGTGCTTATTTCTAAATTCAATTTCTTGTTCTAGCTTTCTGTTATGTTTCGTAAAAAAGTAGTCTTGATTATCCCGACCTGTCAATCAGACGTAGAATGGTCGATAGACTGGTTAAGCGAGACTAATTTCAAAACAAGGGCACTTTTACTCAAAAGTGTCTGGATGTTATGGACGCAACTTGGAACCAGTTTTCAGTCTATTATTTATAGATGATTAATGATCATAGCTTATTAAGTACAACATTATCGTTTATTTAGTGACTATAATTGTGTGAAACTGATTTGAGGCTTGGCATATTTATAAATATTGTGGCGTAATTGTCAAGATATTTGGAGATATTTATTTATGGTGGGTCACCCTAAACTCCCGAGTCAGAACAAAGGGTCCAGTGTGTAAGGCGTTTTTATCGACCACTGATTAGCCAAGGTGATTTGCATTCAATCAGATTTTCATCTTTAACGTCCATCTAATTCAAATTGGTTACCCTAATCAACGAATTCATCGACACCGATTTCCGAAGCGATTACATCAAATCGCCAAATCACTTCAGGGTGTCCAGCCACAACAATTGTTTACAGCTAATCGGAGCATTTAACGAACTCGCCAAAGTACTTTGAAATCGACTATACTGTCACATGACATCTCCACTAAGTTCAAATCGATTTGGGAAGTCGATAAAAAAGCCTTAATCTCTAAATATTACAAATACTTGTCAAAACAAAAATGTACTCCGAGATGATATTTTTGCTTTGGTATTAAAGAAAACAAGCTATACTATATAATGAATAAGCTATTTCAGTAATCATTAGAAAAATTACATTTCTTAATCAGTGGAACAGTTCAGTGCTGATTAGTTGGGGGCCAGGTTTTTGAGGGTAATAAAATTTGTTGTCGAAATCGAAATGGGGTGTAGTCGAAACGGGAGTGAACCATATGTGCCTCGGGCGAATTTTTTAAAAACTTTTTAACTGTTATTTTAACTTGATTGTAGACGTGACCTGGCGTGACAACACGTAGCATGGCGTGTTAAGACGTGACATGACGTAACATTCGGTGACATTATGGATAGCGTATAATCACTCGGCAAACCTCAACAGATTCCAGTACCCTACATCTAATCTCGGCTGTATGACAAAGTCCGCCATTAGAACTACTTTCAAGTTCCCGGATTACAATGGCGTTGTCCATGACGACCAATGACGTCATTGATGACGACGTATTTGAAGAATGTTTTATCTTACAAAATTTTCAAAATTTGAAGCTGTTTTTCTTTCAAGTTTATCCGATTTTCTTTAGACAAGGACAAATTTGTATTGAAAATTCTACACACTCTTCGAACGACACAATTTTGAGAACTTCTTTCTAAACGCGGACAAGTTTCCCTTATTATAAGTAAACCGGTGCCGCATCGCAAATGTATAGGCGTAGGTACATATCACTTACTATCATACAGCCGAGGCTAGATGTAGGCTACCGGAATCTGCCGAGGTTTGCCCAGTGAGCGTATAATATACTGTAGCGCTATTGTCTACTAAAGAGAAATTCAAGTTTTGTTCATGCAGTGTGCTATAAGGGAAATTTCGCCCTGGCAGCAGCGGTATGGGCTATTGTATTGACTGCCAACAGTCAGATGGTTCTTCCACGAGTTGCTGATGTGAAATAACCTTTCATTCGATCACTGATAATATATAAAAAGTGTTGATTTTGACTAAAAACCAATCAGGCCATTTGAGGACAATTCTACGAACACTTTAATTATGTTCAGCGCATGTGCAGTGTGTTTGTTGTTGGTGGAAATTTGATTAAAATTTGACACAATTCACGGAAACACATTAGTACTGCTTCAAGGAAGTTCTAGTTATTATTGTATGTAATCATGTGAGTCCAAGGGAAGAACGATCTAAGTCACATTTTTGTCTTTTCGCATAAAAGGCAAAACAGACTTTTTGGACAAGAATGCTTGACGCGAACAGAACAACGAGTGAGTTTAATTACAACTTCAAAATGATGTTTAATACGAATTATAATTACCATTACAACTGACTTCCACTTTTTAGCCAAATTAAGGTCAAATAAAGGGTACGGTGGACGTATTTGTCCGGGAGGCCATTTCAGAAGGACCTTGGTACGATGTGACTCCGATCGTTTTTACTCAAAATTGATTGTTCCACAAAAAGCTTATACAATTTGCTACCAGATGGCGCCATTGACTGCGGTTCGTTAAAAAAGTGACTTAGATCGTTCTTCTACGGGGCTCTTTGTGTAGTAACTTACTGGAAACAGTAGAAAATCAGGCAAATAGCGGTAAGAATCATCAAAAAAATATATCCATATTTTGCCGTCTTTAACTGAAACAAAGAAATAATTCATTGTTAAATGCAGATCTACTGTACTGGAATGGGGGGTCACGGTGGCTAAGTGAGTAAGACGCTGGCTCGCTAACCTGGAGGTCGGGTGTTCGATCCCTGCATTTGCCGAGAAAGTTCATCCAGATTGTCTCTCAGTGGAGCAGGATGGAGGGCCTGACAAGGACAACTGTCTAGTCATTCGGATGGGACGAAAAATTAAGGTCCCGTGTACACATTGGCGTGCACGTAAAAGATCCCTTGACAGTTGGAATTCGATATAAGAGTAGGCCGTAGTGTCGCTGTACCGACAAAATTTCTCTTATAGCACATTGTATGGCGTATGCCCGTCCTCATTAGCCCACCATAGGAGCAGAACAGTAGGACGTTAAACCCCATTTCATTTCTGTACTGGAATCGATTGTGGATGGCGCCCTAGCATCGGAAGCAACCCTCTCCCCCTCTCCCCGGCTCCCATATACAACTTCTAGATCCGCTACTGCTGTCTGGTACAGAACCTTTCACCAATTTCCATGGTTTCTAGATGTTTCCATGGTTTCTAGAAGGGGGGTTGGATGGCTGAATGGTTAGCGTGCGCGCGCTGTATCATAAAGTCTGTCATTGAGTCGACTGGCGTGGTCCGACTCCCCGGTTGTACGTGACAAGGAGTAGGATCGCCTGTCCAACCTCGTGGGTTTTCTACGGGTCCTCCGGTTTCCTCCCACTGCTAAAGACCCTACGCGCAAGCGAATTATTGAAATAAAATTAAAAACCATATGTTAGTCCCGAAATGACCTAGTTTGTGTCGAGTGGACGTTAAACCCCATTTCTCTCTCTCTCTCTCTGGTTTCTAGAAGTTTCCATATGACGATTCCAGAAAGTTGGATCGCCAAAATGGTCACGACAGATTCTATAGTTTAGAACCCACTTTGACTCTAAGGGGAAATGGGAAGAAATGCGCACCACGTCTGAATGAGATTGCTCATTTTCAACAAGGTTTCCATAAATCTTAAATATATATTGATAAATAATCTCTCTGTAGCACACGCAAAAATGTTTTTGTAAGCGAGAAATTAATTTTTATTAAAACAGGAAGTGACATAGTTGGTTCAACACGCTGACTGGGCTCTATAGTAAGCATACAGATTTGGCATAAGTTTACTGCTGTATTGTGTTCACGCGTCGTCAGCGTGTTGAACCAACTATGTCACTTCCGGTTTTAATAAAAATTAATTTCTCGCTTACAAAAACGTTTTTGTTTGTGTTACAGAGGGATTATTTATCAAAATACATTTAAGATTTATGGAAACCTTGTTGAAAATCGTTGATACCCCCCCCCCCCTCTTTAAGACAATGTTGGTTGATTGGTTCTTTGAAAAATTGTCACTTCACTCTGTCTATAGAGTCAAATCACACGTACTTAAACATTTATTATGCAAGAGCTAAATCTAGGCCTATTGCAGGTCTTTCTTTAGGCCTGAAATGTTATCTAAATTATTAATTAGACATTAATTAACCTATCCAGACCATAATCAACTCTAGATGGCATCGCTAGCCTGCGATCTTTAGTGGATTATGAGCCGATTTACTGCATACCTCTCCTTCACGATTTAAAGATTAAGTGGATAATCGAGACTATGCTGTTTATCGTACTGACTTTAGTAATGATGATCGGGGCTAGGCGGAAATTTCAATCGCTTAGCTCTCGGTTCATAGTGGATCAATTTGAATGAAATTTTCAGCAAATTGCCTAACTCCCATAATGTATCTTTAATGAACGGGAATATACATGTATATTTATACATTAAAAACAGTGATATTTTGGTAAAATCATAACCATTTTCAAAATATCCATTAAATTTTATCTGTTTATTGACCTATGGTTGGCAGACCAAAATAAGGTAATGTTTCCTCCTCTGGTCTTGTGAAATAAAGAGGTTTATTCCATATTTGGGATGGAAATTAACGTCAAGGCTATCTAAAGCGTGAAGAAATTATGGGGTTATAAAAGAGGGTGTTGAGCGGGACTGGGCAGAGCTCACCCAGAAATTACAAGCAGCTGTTATTATTGAGAACGAGGAACCTTCAAAGCCATTACAGCTTAGCAATAAAGTTGTAAAACCATTGATTCTGTAGTGTTATTACGATCACGAAGAAAACAAACACAAGGAAAGAAGTCCGATGGTACTACACTCCTACAACTCCGCATGCGCTAAACGATAATCACACACTGGGGATTATCTCACACCGTCACACGGACCCTGGATTTTTCTCAATGTCATCACAAATTGTTGATAATAAAAATAGGCGAACGAGCAAGGGAGCCAGTGGGGGCGGGGGGTGGCAGCTGCCTCCCTAACTTTCAGGCAATCCGTCCTTTCGGGGATACGGGTAAAGTTCAAACAAAATTTATTATTTCATCTAGTTGGCAAAATAAAGTGTCCGAAATCTTATAAAACACTAATTTTACTTTTCTTTCAATTGAATATCACGAATTTTTCCTGAATTGATTATGGATTAAAGCATTTTGTCTGGAGCCACTCTACTTTGTGCGACATTTTTCGGGCATCGATTATTATTTGTGAATGCAGCTGCAACAATCTGATTGGTTGTTTGGAATTCAGGTCGGCATAGAGTGGGAATTCGGTTGCAAACGGATTGGCAAGTTTAAAGTAGTCTCGGTCACCGAGGACCTCCTAGTCGTCAGCGTACGGAGGGTCAGGGATCGTTGTCAATATTTGACGACAAGTCTATTGCCCATGCGTACCGGGAGTTCGGTTTTTAATGTGGTTGAGTATCCAGTAACTTTGGCGAACTAAAGGAAGAGTTGCGCCCCTTAAAGCAATAAATCCCAAAAATTTTGCATTAATATAAACAAATATGAATTCGTGTCGACGAATTAGGATTAATTTAAAAAAAAACATAGATACGGCCTATGACTGGTATGCAATTGAATGGATTTTTTGAAATGACATTCTTAAATTAATTTCATGGGCGTCAACATCTTGTTTTAGGACTAGTTACCCCCCTTAGACTTTGTTTATGACAATGTAAAAGACCGGATAATCTAGTCAATGACCTATTATTCTCAAATTATTATGGATGATAGAGGCTAAGTTTGAAGTTGCTTAATTCACGGGCTAGAAAAGCAGAAAAAGCATTTGCGGCGGTTAAATTTTCAAAATGTTCTCAGGGAGCGTGAGACCCCCACACCCCGCGACGATTGATGTTTGGGATTCAGGTAAGTTACTTATGGACCAAGTAGGCTATTTTGGACCACATTGAAGATGCTGTATTCATGAGCTGGAATAGCAGGTAAACGCGTTTGCGGCAGATAAATCTTCAAACATACATCTCGAGTTCGTACGCCTATGCTTCACAGGACCATTTTATGTATAAATTTATCTGATATTGCTAGATTTATCTTGATGTGAGGATACCGGTGAACCGCTAAACACCCTTTATAAAATTGCATGGCGTACACCCGTTGGTGCAGCGCCTTTTGCTGCCTTTTCCATGAGAAAAATGAAATGAAATGGGGTTTAACGTCCTACTGTTCTACTCTGACTGGCCTAATGAAGACAGGCATACGCCATGTAGTGTGCTATTGCCCGGGCAGCGGCACTATGGTCTACTCTTATATCGAATTCCAGCACTTAAGAGATCTTTGACATGCACGCCAATGTGTACACGGAACCTCGGATTTTCGTCCCATCCGAACGACTAGACATCTGTCATTGTCAGGTAATCCGTCCTGCACCACTGACAAGAGGAAACCACGCCGAAAAATACCGGTGTTGGCCGATTGTCCGGTGTGATATCCGCTTGTCAGTTGAAGCACCGATGTCCCGTGTATGGGCAAAATGTCCCTCACAACTCACTGCATGGCGTATTCCTATCTTCATTAGCCCAGTCGGGGGGTTGGATGGCTGAATGGTTAGCGTGCGCGCGCTGTATCATAAAGTCTGTCATTGAGTCGACTGGCGTGGGTTTCGAATCCCCGGTTGTACGTGACAAGGAGTAGGGTCGCCTGTCCAACCTCGTGGGTTTACTCCGGGTCCTCCAGTTTCCTCCCACTGCTAAAGACCCCTACGCGCAAGCGAACTAAGGAAATAAAATTGAACCATATGTTAGTCCCGAAATGACCATGTTTGTGTCGAGTGGACGTTAAACCTCATTTCTCTCTCTCGCTTCCGTTTCAAGGCCATAACTAGCTCAGAGCAACAAGGGGGGACGGGAAGTGTTCTCAGTGGGGCTGTAATATTGACGGACAATGTATATCTATCTTTTCATGGTCGAAAAATTTTTCAAAGGGGGGGGGGGCAAAACTTTTTGCCGGGGGGGGGGGGCTTAGTTACGGGCCTGTTCTGTTTAATTAAAATTTTAAAAGTCACGTCATGATCCAGATTTATAAACAATGAATAACACTAACCATTTCGTTTATATATAGTTGTATACCTATTCAACAATGGCGTTACTCAAATATTTAATTTATCTTTACACGTGACGTTATAAAACGTCTAACTATTTGTTTTATTCGTGCAAACCAGTACTTGATTTGATATTTTTTTATTTGGTGCAATGTCTATTTTCTATCTTGTCCGCAGGTTTATCTTGTAGATTTTTGTTTTACGTGTAGTGCGGTCCTCCTGCACTTACTAATAGAACTATATACAACCGTCTTAAATGTAGCACCATGGGTCTTCTGTCTGACGTGGAGAGCAGATTTAAGGGAACCGGTCGCCACATCCTACGTACGACCCATGCATCTTTTCTTACAACATATTTCTGTATATTTCTGTAATTAGAATAATTCCACTCACGTGTAATTCTGGTGGTAAATGAGTGACATATGTTTTTGATAAATAACTCTTTTTTATGTGTCAACTGTCAATTACAGACTAAGTTGATTTAGTGCACACTATATATGTGAATATGTTTGAAATTACTAACTTGCCAAAGATATTAATTAATGAAATATAAAGCCATCTTATTTCAAGAGCAAAAATTCTAGCAATATTATTACATAAATGACAATATTGGTGCCAGTCATTATCACATATGTGATAGAACTGGTTAAACACATTCCAAATATTATTTTAACACAGATAGAGGCGTAATCAATGCTTCAGCAATCGGAAGTGACTAACACAAAAGGAAAACACGAGTAATCCCTCTATATAACTGATTGAAGTGACGGGTGATAACAGGTACAGGGGCGAATTTCTGCCTACTAATAATTCCTTCGAAGACCAAAAGTTCTTATATGAGACTGTAAGAGTATATCTGACAATTCAAAAAAGTAATTGAATGTAGCCTGAATTTTTTTCGGGTATTTCAGGTTCTTTTCCCCTAACATTCATCGAGCCCGTGCGCCTATAATAAATAGATAGAACTCAATGACCATTGAAAACCGGTCGGGTTATTCAATGGTTCAACAGAGTGTATCCCTGCGCAAGTATACACTCGAGTGAACTATTGAATAATCCGAGCGATATTCAATGGTGATTGAGTTCTGTTTTTATTCTATACAACATGTAAATCCCAAAATACACTGTACTATCCAGATTATCAACAACAATAAAATCAAATGTTACGTTTCCTTGAAGGGATAACCACGTTTGGGGTATGGGGAGCTTGGTATCTCTGCCACCAGTGACCAATTCCTGGCTGATCACGAGCCACCGGTAAACGGAGCTTCGGAATGGTGTGTAAGGACCAGCTAAAAAGTGGTCATTAACGGTGTTTTGCTAAAATTATGATAAGCTTCACCGTAGGAATAAGACAGACTCGTTCAGTTTTCAAACCTTTCTGTAAAAAAAGCCGTACTTGTTCTTGAATCTGCCAATTTCTCTTGAAACTGCACTTGTCTTTTTCGGGCAATCCTAGATTGCCGTACTCTCTGAAACAGAAAGACAGTGACCTCCTTCGTAAGAGGAGGTTCAATGCCTTCAGAACGTAGCTGGCCAACATCAGCAACGTATTTAGTTTGCAAAAAAACTAATCTTCCATAGGTCCCTCCTAAGCTACAAAGACATATATACATGTAATATCAGGATAAATTTAAAATCATTAGAAATGCAATAGCATTTTTAAGTGGGAAGTTTGATAAGTCACTCCCAAACTACAAAACATATACATTATACAAGTAGAATATAGGAAGAACACTATAATTACACACAAAATAAGATAGAATGCAGTTGCAAGTTAAAAATAATATGTATGTCATCAGTTGAATATTATGCTTTCTTCAGTGCTCAATATAAATGAGTTTTCAGTTTAATCTTAAAATTTTCAACATTTTTACACATCTTTATATCAAAAGGCAGATTGTTCCATAAAAGACATGTAGAATAATGAAAAGTGCGTTTCATGGATTCCGTTTTGCATTTTTGAAGAAAAAGAGATTTACTGGTCTGTGAACGGAGCAAGATATCCGTTTTGGAAACAAGAAATTTTCAATAAAATAGGAATTTAGATAAAGTGGAGTATTAAATGTAATAATTTTGAATGATAAGACAATTTTATTGTAAAGAATCCTCTGTGTAAGGGTAAGCCAACCTAGTTTAGTAAATAAAGAGGTGGACGGAGTTTCAATCGGTGCATTAAGAATAGTTCTTGCTGCCCTCTTTTGTAATTTTAAAAGAATGTCTAATCTACTTTTGGTAGCATTTCCCCAAATAATAGAGCAATTATCAAATATTGGTAGTATGTAACTGTTATAAAACAAAATTCTTGTCTCGTAAGGTAAATGATCTTTTATCTTATTTAGGAGAAATATTTTTGATGCAAGTTTTTTTTAGACATATCTGCTATCTGTGCTTCCCAATTAAGGTCTTGGTCAATTTGAATTCCAAGTAATTTTGCGGTCGTAACCGTCTCAATTTTCTCACCATGGAGTGATAAAGTTAGGTTTTTCTGATTTCTTTTGTGTTTTGATGAAATCAGCAGTGATTTTGTTTTCGAAGGATTGACTACCATCCCATTGTTTTCACACCATTTAGCAACCAAATAGAGATCATTTTGGAGATTATTGGCGATGGATAAAATATCTTTGTGTGAACAATGCAGGGTACTGTCATCAGCAAACAAATCTATCTGACTGGATTCAAAATAGAGTGGGAGATCATTTATAAAAATAAGCAGTCTTAATAGTTAGCCTACAGTGTAAATTCCAGCCATCTTAATGTATCTGTAAGAGAATTTATTCCTACTGGCGGTTTACAAATATTACATTCAAAAATTCAAATCATAAGAACATAAACACGACTAATACACAGTATCATATTGATTATAAAAGTACAATGTATATATTGGTTACACTATATATATCACAATACATCAATTAAGTTATTGGTTAGTGGTTACACTATATATGTCACAAAACATCAATTAAGTTATTTAAAGAAGTGATTACGAGAGAAAATAAAATGAAATGAAATGAAATAGGATTTAACGTCCTACTGTTCTGCTCCTATACTGGGCTATGAGGGAAATTTTGCCCGGGCAGCGGCACTATCGCCTACTCTTATATCGAATACCAACTGCCAAGGGATCTTTTACGTGCATTCCAATGTATACACGGGACTCGGTTTCTCGTCTCATCCTTGTCAGGCCCTTCGTTCTGCACCACTGACAATACGGTAGATGTTTAATATAGAAATGACAATGTCCTACGCTAACAAATAATGAAATACAATAGTATAGTATCAGGGTATAAATCTAAAAAAAAACCATGGAGATGTATATATTGACCTCTGTAAAAGAAACAAAGTAGTCGCGAACATCCTGGCTCTTGACTGCTTCACCAATAACGTTAAAATTCCTCATAGGTTCCGCCATTTTTTCTGTCCTTTTTTATAAAAATTGTGGTTACCTAGTGGTAACGTAATTACAGTTTCACGTAAATATGAAAATGACGCCGTTCTGGACAAAAGTAGTTTGTGTCCAAGCCATTGAATACAACCATAGGTTATTCAATGGCTGTATTGAATGGCTATATTTATTGATTTTTGCTTGTATTTGCATGTAGTTATAGAATAATATGACAATCCTTACCGTATTTACTAGGCTAGATAATCCACACATTTTACTGTTATCAAAATCTATTTCCTTGCCTGTCACTCCCTTTCATATGCATGAAAATTGTTAATGTTTGTTGTGTCTTCGGGTTAAATAAAACCGATATGAAAGAAAGAAATTATAGCCTAGACTGCCCCAGGTAGACAATATTTTCGCTATTCAAAGCTGTACATGCCACAACGAATGCGATACTTCACCTTTGTGACGCAAACAGGTTTCTAGTTAGTCACGTATGGAGGGATAACATTGCCAATTGTATATAAAACTTCGCGGTGCAAACTGCAGGGAGAGAGAGAAATGGGGTTTAACGTCCACTCGGCACATACTAGGTCATTTCGTGACTAACATATGGTTTAATTTTATTCCAATAATTCGCTTGCGCGTAGGGATCTTTAGCAGTGGAAGGAAACCGGAGGACCCGGAGAAAACCCACGAGGTTGGACAAGCAATCGTACTCCTTGTCACATACAATCGGGGATTCGAAACCACGCCAGTTGACTCAATGACAGGCCTTATGATACAGCGCGCACACGTCGTGCTAACCATTCGCCCCCCCCCACCCCACCCCCGTGCAAACTGCATATGTCAGCAGTTCAAAGTACGTATTTTAGTTTTCCACAATACCATTGCCACAGTGTTAAAATACAGAATACAGTATAAAATTTATTTTGCACATTACACTTGTCTATCAATTTCTAGCCTTGTCTTTCTCCATTTTCGCTCAGTCTTGCGTCTACGCTTTCGAGATTTAAGTAAAGAAGAGATTATTTATCCACGGTGCTGGTTTGTTGATTAGCACAAATTTGGTTTTGAGTGGTGAAATACAATTGAACCATATGTTAGTCCCGAAATGAAATAGTTTATGTCGAGTGGACGTTAACACCCCACTCGACACAAACAAGGTCATTTCTGGACTCGCATATTGTTTATTTTTATTTCAATAATTCGCTTGCGCGTAGGGGTCTTTAGCAGTGGGAGGAAACTGAGATACCCCACGAGGTTGGACAGCCAACCCTAGTCCTTGTCACGTACGACCGGGGAAAGGAAGACAACCTAGTCAATGATATCACCTGACTTATGGGTGGGTAGTAACACAAATTGTTTTAGGTCTATAGTAATACTGTTGTTAGTAATATCAAAATGTGCATTAAAGTCTTGTTGAACGAGGATATCTGTCCCGAGTCGAAAATTCTCTTGTTTCACTTGGAGGGTGGTGGTTTGTAAATACATATAAACCTCAAGGACTTGCCACAAACTCTTATTACAGTTCAAAATAATTGGAATAATATGAGAGAGAGAGAGAGAGAGAGAGAGAGAGAAATGGGTTTAATGTCCACTCGACACAAACTAGGTCATTTCGGGACTAACATATGATTTTTAATTTTATTTCAATAATTCCTTGCGCGTAGGGGTCTTTAGCAGTGGGAGGAAACCGGAGGACCCGGAGAAACCCACGAGGTTGGACATGCAACCCTACTCCTTGTCACGTACAACCGGGGATTCGTCAAATGATAAGAAAGTCTAAACTGACTTAAAAGGTTGTAGTGTAAGGCTGTCTTTAAATATCATTACTATACCCCCCCCCCATTCCACTGGCCCTATAAGGATGAGCTTAATGTGATAGCCCAAAGGAATCATATCCCTAACTTATGCATCAACACAATCTGGTCATAACCTTGTTTTTCGGTAAGAAATAGGACATCATGTTCATTTTCAAAAAGTAGTTCAATAATGTCTGTTGTATTATTTTTGGCTGCTTGCGAATTCCATTATCCGAACTTACACAAGTGCGTCTGTTTAATAGGATTGTTACCACGATGAAGTTTTAAGTTGATTAACTGAATGGTTTCTTCTCCCCTTACTTTCCACGCTTGGTTGGTTCTTCTATGTTTAGACCATACACAGACAATGTTTAGACCAAGCGGTTTGATCCAATTGAAAACTTGATTATCCAGCCTGTAGTGACTTAGTTTTGAACATAGCAGTGGTATCCAGTCACGACTGGAGAGAGAAATGGGGATTAACGTCCACTCGACACAAACTAGGTCATTTCGGGACTAATAAATGATTGAATTTTATTTCAATAATTCGCTTGCATGTAGGGGTCTTTAGCAGTGGGAGAAAACCGGAGGACCCTGGAAAACCCACGAGGTTGGGCAGGCGATCCTACTCCTTGTCACGTACAACCGGGGAATCGAAACCCCCCCCCCCTCTCTCCCCCTCTCTCTCTCTCCCCCTCTCTGTCCCCTCTCTCTCTCTTTCTCTCTCTCCCCCCTCTCTCTCTCTTTCTATCTCTCTCCCCTCTCTCTCTTTCTCTCTCTCTCCCCCTCTCTCTCTCTCTCTCTGGTATATATTGACTTGATAGGGAATCGTTATACGTATCCTATTGTTACTGCAGTGACAATACTCAGCTTTACAAACACCCATCATACTTTTCCTAAATTTAGTTATTGTCAAAACGTTCATCTATACTTGTAACATGGACGATAAATGTTCCTTTGTTCTTTTTGTTGAATAAGCAGATTGTTTTCCCTCTAGTAGATTGGGTGGAGCTTAACCATGTTCAGTGTTATTGCACACTTTTGCTGGTTTACACTAGTTTTAGTAGAAATCGTCAGGTGTCAATGTTACAGCCTCGATGTTTAAACCTGTTAAAGGCTCAATACCACTCTTGTTGTAACTGAATAATATGTCCCAATCTTTATTCTGGTCAACAAATTGCACTATTTTACAATATTCCAATTAATTGATGATAAAAATTTCATCTTAACACACCTAATTTAAAAAAATTGGAAAAATTCAAATAAATGATTTGAAAAGTCTGACGTAAAGCTTTTCAAATGTGACTTGGATTTAAAAATATTTTTGAACCCTCTGGACAAGTAAAATAGGATTTAATGGATAATTTAGACAACAGGTAAGACACTAACACATCTAGTACTTAGAATAAGGCTATTTTTTATTTTCTGGGGCTGTCAAGCTAGCAAGAGTGTTATTGTCTCTTTAACTCATGAAGTCCGTGCTATAAATATAATTTAGCCTAAGCAGTAAATGCTCATGATCGAACTTGGTCAATGTTTTGGTGCAGTGAAACTATACACCAAAACAATGACCAATCAAATCGCTTATCTCTACTTATCCTACGCAGAAAATGCTCATCTTCAAACTCCACCCAGACATTGACCTAATAAACACCTACACCAAGTTTGAACATTCTAGCCCGATTAAATGCAGAAATATTGTGTCCCAAAAACGTGTGACGGACAGACAGACGGACGGACGGACAGGCCCTTAATATTAGCACGCTGCTCTCTGAGAAAGACGGGAGACTAAAAACAGCATAATTGAAAACTGAAGCAAATAGTTTATATGATGTCGGGCCTTTCTGAAATATTCTCTGTCCTGGTTTATTTTTTTATTTTTTTTATTTTTTGTGTGTTCCTTGTTTTTGATATCGGTAATTACCTATCCTTAAACATAGCCATAATAAATATAATAAATTGAACTTGTATAGCGCCAAAATCCAGTTTGTAAAGCTGCTCATATGATTATGAGTACACAATGTAAAACAATATAGATAGAAAATCTTAAAATTAAACTATTGGGTAAAACAAATAAATAGCATGAGCGTACGGATAAAATATAAAACATTAAAATAATGGGCGTCCTCGCTGAAGGAATTCCCAGCTGTTGTCGCTAGTAAAAACTCGGTTCCACGTGACCTTATCGATGGTAAGAGAACCGTATCGGTATTAAATTCCGTATCAACGACAAAAACTAACGTTTGTCAACACACGAGTTCGTTATGAATGTACAGGAAAACTGTGCTATAAGGTAAACAATGAGGTCACGTGGGACCGCATCGCCTATAAATTATGTCCCTTTATCTCTAGCGAGGACGCCAATTGATAAAATGAGTTTGAGAGGGTATAAGCTTTTTGCGGGAAGTCCAACAAGCAACGGCTTACAATAATCGAGTCTGGATGTAATAAAGGAGTTGACAAGTAGTTTACAGGTTTCAAAATTGATATAAGGACGGATTCTACCAATGCTGTACAGGTGGAAATTGCACGATTTACAAATAGATGAGATATGGGATTTCTTGTCCAGTGCAGAGTCGAAATTTACACCAAGATTTCGTACAGACGTTGACAAAGGGATATTGGCATCTCCAATTTTCACAGAATTGTGTATTCCATTTAGGTTTAAAAAGTTGTATCACTTCAGTTTTATCATCTTTCAATTTTAAAAGATTTAGTTTCATCCAGGATCTTACATCCGCAATGCAGGCCCCGAACTTTGTTATGTTTTTGGTATCGTTACTCTTATTCAACGCGATATACATTTATGTATCATCGGCCTAAAGTTGTTAGTCAATTTTGTGTTTTCTTATGATGTCGTCTAAAGGAGAAGTGTGTGCTGTGAATAAGAGTGGGCCCAGGACCGAACCTTGCGGCACACCATATTTCAGCCTTTGTGTAGGAGATTTACTGTTATGGATACTTACTGCTTGCTCCCGACAATCCAGATAACTGGTGAACCATGATAGTGCACCGTCTTCGATCCCAAAAGTATAAAAAATAGTATAAGAAAAGCCATTAAATGCATGACAGATATAATTGGAGGGAGAATACTAAATTATTTCAAGGTCCAAAATAGGATGGTGTCCATATTCAATTCCAACGCTCTTACAGACATTACCCTAAAGTTTGAAAACTATAGGGCGTAATTTAAAACCTCTGAAAATAATGTCCCTACAGGTTAGGATTCAAACTTTGAACTATACGAAACGAAATGGGCCTACAGGTTAGGATTTAAACCAGCCTAATTAAAATTTTGACCAATAATAGTTTCGTTAAGTATCACTGTAATAATGATGTCATTTACTAAGGAAATGAAATGAAATGAAATGGGGTTTAACGTCCTACTGTTCTGCTCCTAACCTGGGCTAATGAAGACGGGCATACGCCATACAGTGTGCTATGAGGGAAATTTTTCCCGGGGAGCGGCGCTACGGCCTACTCTTATATCGAATTCCAACTGCCAAGGGATCTTTTACGTGCACGCCAATGTGTACACGGGACCTCCGAACGACTTGACAGTTGTCCTTGTCAGGCCCTCCGTCCTGCATCACTGACAAGGGGACACCACGCCGGAAAATCTGGATGAACTTTCTCGGCCAACGCGATTTATGAGATTGGTCGATAAAATAGCAACCATCAAAGGCGGATAACTTGAAAACGTGTCTCCCCCATAGATTAACCCAGGTGTTAGTGGAGTGAGAGAGGGAGAGAGAGAGAGAGAGAGAGGGGGAGGTTCCTGTTCAATATTACGCCGATGCTTGGTTTTAATGGATTTCCAGCACTTGCGTGAATGTTGTGATTGGCTTCCTCTGTTATAATAAATAAGAGAGATAGAGAGAGATGGGGTTTAACATCCACTCGACACAAACTAGGTCATTTCGGGACTAACATATGGTTTTTAATTTTATTTCAATAATTCGCTTGCGCGTAGGGATCTTTAGCAGTGGGAATAAACCGGAGGACCCGGAGAAAACCCACGAGGTTGGACAGGCGACCCTACTCCTTGTCAAGTACAACCGGGGAATCGAAATCCCACCAGTTGACTCAATGACAGACCTTATGATACAGAGCAGCGCCCATGTGCTATTCATTCTGCCATCCAGTTAGTGGAGTAAAACGGAATGAAACCCCTGGGGATACCGAGGATGGTATTGTGATAGCCAAATTTAGTTGATCCGAAATATTAAATGCTTTGGTCATTTTCTACAAAATGGCCAAAGCCCCTTACGTTCTAGTCATTATAACGTTATTACCGTGGAATCCACATTAACAACGTATGGTTGAACAAGCGGTTGCCTAGAAATGGTCCCACTACTGATGTCTTCCGCCTTACTCCAGTCACAGTAGTGGCTGGTCCTACGGAGTGCCTTTGCGCAAGTTTTTTGTCATATGCTATAGCCCCCTTAATTTACACATAAAATGACCCCAAACTGTACTGCACATAGCTTATCACACTGATCCGCAGTGAATATTTGCTTGGCCGCGACAATCACTGATAAGGATGACATTGATGCGGCTTAATGAGCTAGAAATATTAACTTTTTTCCTGCGACAAATTAAATTCTAAAACATTTTTTGTATATATTGGAAAAATAAATTAAGGCGTTTGACGTATTTGTAGGTAAAAATTATTTCCTATTTAGTGTAAATGGGTATTAAAATGACTAAAATGCAGCATTATCTCCGAAGTAGTTATGTCTTATGTAAACAATGCACGCGCCATTCAGCCAATGATTCACACCGCGTGCTGTGACAGCACGTGTTAAGGCAGTCATCTATGACAGAGATATTATACTAGACTCGTAATTCTCTGTGAAACAGATTGATAGCTTATATAACACATAATGAACCAATTTAGGCGCGGATCCAGAGTTTTTTTTGCAAAACAACATTTTTTATGAGAAAAGTGTCATCATAATTGTGCTTTATCCTTTATCGTCAGATGGTGGGACAGGATGGGCACTCAAAGTGCGAGATAATGATATAGACATATGTGATATCACAATTAATGCTTTGCATCAATAAAATTGAATCACAATGTCATCGTATTAATTCATAATATAAATTCACGTCAAACAGGATATTGGATTTCTCTGTTTAAAAAGATCAATGCGTATGTACATATACGCCAAAATGACGATAGAGACCATGTATTTCTCAAAAAAATTTCAAGCCGAGTGGGGGGGGCATACCTTTTCTCAGCAAACCTGTCAAACCCCCTCCTGCAAAAATTCCTCGACCCGCCCCTGCAATTTCCATTGAAATAAAGGTGAAGTCTTACCGCATATTTATATCATTTGATGAAACCCAACTGTTATGTAATTTGGCGGGATTTCATCTGGCTGGTGTCATGGCGGCTTACATTAAAAGAAATGTCGCTTTGAAAATGTAGAACGCCTTACCACAAAGAAAAACTGTTCAATAACTATTTTAATGGTCCAGGGTCTTCACTATATGTGATAGAATTACCTATGTCAATACAAACTGTTATGACATGTGTTGACATGCGTTTGAACCTATTTGTACTTGCGTAAGGGATTTCAGACTGTATCAATTGTAGAGTTAAACGCAGTTTAACTGTACGACATTTGTAGCTAGCGGTTGCCATGCAAGATACGCGCACAATTTGCAAGAGGTACGTGGACAGAGAAAGGGCTATCTGGGGCCATAATCCAGTAGGCTATGATTCGGCCCGACATGCCACATTATCAAAAAGGACCAAGATCTTTGGCATGTAACTATATATTTTTAGTTTCATCAAAATCAGATAAAAATTGTGAACTCTAGAGGGTCCACACGGTAAAACTAATTTTTAATTTGTTACTTAGTTTAAAGGGAGGTTACTCTCTTTTAAAACTCTCGGTTATTTTGTAAAGGTGAAGGTCGGTAAACATGTGGTTATGTGTTGTGTAAAATCGAGTAGGAAAACGTGAGCTTATTACAATAAGGTTTGTATGTCATTCTATTACATCACTATACTGGCTGGCTATGCAAGGTCTTCTAGGCTAGATAAGAAAAATTGAAACAAGAAACAGTTTTCAACTTGGAACAGGTTAGAAAGAGTGTGTGTAAGACAAAATGATGAAGGAGGGCATTCATTCGACAACTATACTCTACGAATACGATGGCGAATCTCCGTTTATCGCACTCTTAGTTTAGATTAGCCGTTTCTAGCATAAAAATTTCGAGATATAATGACCGACTGAAATGGTTTATTTATTTAAAAAGTATCTTACGCCAAGGATTTAGGATTTAATCTTACTAAAATGTAGATCAACAATTGAAAAACGGGGATTTCATTTTCAACGGATTTTATAAATCATAATAGTGTTACATGTAGGAAAGGCCAATTTGAATGATGGCCATGTTGATTTGTTTGGTATGGAATGACACAGGCTGTCTGCTCTTTAGTTTAATTTTTCATACGATAGATAGATGAAATGAAATGGGGTTTAACGTCCTACTGTGATCTGCTCCTACTGGGCTAATGAAGACGGGCATAAGCCATACAGTATATGAGGGAGGTTTTGCTCGGGAAGCAGCACTACGGCCTACTCTTATATCGAGTTCCAACAGCCAAGGGATCTTTTACGTGCATTCCAATATCTACACAGGACCACGTTTTTTTTCGTACCATCCGAATGACTAGACAGTTGCCTTTGTCAGTCCCTCCTTTCTGCACCACTGACCAGGGGAAACCACGTTGAAAAATCCTGATGAACTTTCTCTGCCAATTCAGGGATCGAACACGCAACCTCCAGGCTAGCGAGTCAGCGTCTTCGTTAGCCTAGATCGGAGCAGAACAGTAGGACGTTAAACTTCATTTCATTTCATTTCCAGAAAATGCTTCAGTGATATCATTATTCCGTCCAGTGATTTGATTAGCTCGTTATTGTTGTACCAGTAATATAATTTTATTTTACAAGGAAACTCTGAAAAATGTTTTTTGTTTTTACTATTTTACAGCATTATGTTGGAGAAATTATTGAAGGGTTTCTCTACAACTGCCTGGACGGCTGTCATAGCAACAGCCTGTGTAGCATGGTTTATATACAAAAGAAGAAACCCCCCAGTGAGTAATTATATTATTATTATTATTATTATTAACACTTATAGAGCTACATGTATATTCCACAAAACGTGTTCAGATGCACTGTACAATACAATTCAATAAAATAGGTAACAAAAATAAATATACATATAGGAAAACTGAATAAATATATAGAAGTAAAACATAACATGGTAGCGTAAAATAAAATCTGATATCACAAATAGGTTTTAAAAGAATTATAAGTTAAAGGTTTTCTTAAACAAAAATGTTTTAAGAAGTGACTTAAAAGAGATTAAATTTGTGCAGCATCTTATATTAAAAGGTAAAGAATTCCATAATTTGGGTGCCTGTAGCCAAGCCTGTCACAAACATTGTCGGACACAAATTTAGGATTTATTAGTCCTGAGGGGCGTTGGTGGGTGGCTGAATGGATCATAAGGACTGTCTGTCATTGAGTCAAGTGGCATGGTTTCGAATCCCCACTTGTACATGACTAGGAGTAGGGTCGTCTGTCCAACGTCGTGGGTTTTCTCCGGTTTCCTTCCACTTCTTTCTGAAGACCCCCTATGCGCAAGCAAATTAATGAAATAAAATTGAACCATATGTTTGTCCCGAAATGACCTAGTGGACATTAAACCCCATCTCTCTCTCTCTCCCTCTGTTAGTCCCGAACAAACCCTCTGTTGTCATGTGTCTGACAATATCTGTTACAGGTATCTGCGTCTAGTCACAATACTCAAAAAATGTTACTTTACAGTGTGGGTGGTCGAATAATCTAACTTGTGCTTTATATCACAAGGGGATCACGTGGCTAAGTGGTTAAGACGCTGGCTCGCTAGCCTGGAGGTCGGATGTTTGATCCCTGCATTGGCCGAGAAAGTTCATCCAGATTTTCCGGCGTGGTTCCCCCTTGTCAGTGATGCAGACTGGAGGGCCTGACAAGGACAGCTGTCTAGTCCTTCGGATGAGACAAAAAACGGAGGTCCCGTGTATACATTGGAGTGCACGTAAAAGATCCCTTGGCAGTTGGAATTCGATATAAGAGTAGGCGATAGTGCCGCTGCCCGGGCAAAATTTCCCTCATAGCACACTGTATGGCGTATGCCCATCTTCATTAGCCCAGCAAAGGAGCAGAACAGTAGGACGTTAAACCCCATTTCATTCCATTTTATATCACAAGGTCTGTCAAGGGATGGTGTTTCTCTGTCCGTACAAATTTTCCCTCAAAGCACAATGGATGGTGTATGCCCGTCTTCGTTGGCCTGGTTGCTTCAGAAATTTAGGACTTTATATTTTTCATTTATTTTTATAACATTCCCTCTTGGTTTATATAGGAGCCATGGTAGGACACTGGCTCACTAGCCTGGGGTTTGCACTGTATGGCGTATGCCCGTCTTCATTAGCCCAGTTCGGAGTAGAACAGTAGGACATTAAACACCATTTCATTCCCTTGTTCTTGCACCCCTGTTTTAAGTCGTAGCATGTAGGCCATAATGTCGCTGCCCGGGCAAAATTTCCCTCATGGCACACCGTATGGCGTGTACCCGTCTTCATTAGCCCAGTCGGAGCAGAACAGTAGGACATTAAACCCCATCTCAATTCTTGGTCTACATAGGTATCAAACTATTTTATATCTAGGTGTATTACACATCTACATGAACCATCTACATGTCGAATGTATAAAGAATGTCATAATATTATGAAAATAAAAGTCTAGAACATGTATATGAATACATCACTGACCTATATATTTATGTGTAGATATGAGAGCTATTTATAATTAGCAGTCGTAGATCATAATCAACATGTACTTATCTCATTCAGGAAATATAGTTCATGTTAAATACAAAAAATACAAAGATAAGACTTTATTTATTTATTTACATGAAGTTTAAATTCCTTTTTATTTGGGTGTTGCTCTGCACATGACCTATTTGACCGTGAGTCAACTTCTCGTCGGATATAAATCGCTTACTTTTCTGCACCGACTGGGCTAATGAAGATGGACATAATGCCATGTATGAGGGAAACTTTGCCCGTACAGCTGCACTACGATCTACTCTTATATCGAATTGCAACTGCCAAGGGTTCTTTTACATGCATGCTAATGTGTGGACAGGATCTCTGTTTTCCGTCCCATCCGAATGACTAGACAGCTGTTCTTGTCAGGCTCTCTTGTCCTGTATAATTGACAAGAGGAAGCCGAGCTGGTAAACCTGAGTAACTGTCTCGGCCAACACCGGCAGCGAGCCTGTGACCTCATAGCTAGTGAGCCAGCGCCTTACTCGCTGAGCCACAGCAACTCCCTTGTCTGATATGACTTGGTGATTTATTACAGATTTCATTGCATTCCGTCGGCCATGTTTGATATAAATATAGCCTGGGTAATCATTGGGTTTTCAAAATTAACTCGATTAGCCGGACTCTAGATCTGACTAGCTCGCATAGATTAGTGAGAATGGCTCTTGATGGGAAAAATGATAAAAAAAAAACCGAGGCATTGATAGCTCAAAATGTTAAGATTTGGTCTCTATGGCGAGGTATTGATAGCTCACAATGTTAGATTTGGTCTCCATGGCAAATTATCACCTTAAATGTGTATTCACTAGATTTATAAAGACTGGTACATGTAGCTTTCTAGTGTTGTTGTGTGTGATGTTGTCTTCCCAGGCAAAGCAGAACAGTAGGATGTTAAACCCCATTTTATTTTATAGTTTTTTTTAGTAATTTTAAGTAAATTAATGTTAAATCATAGTAAAAAATCCCCGGTAACAAAATTAATATTATGTACGTATACTAAGCAGCAACTACCTGTGGTGACATATCTACAAATTGAATAAAGGATTTAGATTTAAGCCATGTACCTTATTTAGCGAGACACAGTCACATATTTTAAGGAAGAGAGATGTCTAGAACAGTTAAGATTATCTGTTATAAGTCATAAAGATAAATAAACTTTTGTATTTCCTGAAGTTTTTATAGGTAAATTTAGATGTATCATGTGATAAGCATGTGAATAGAAATAGTTTGCTTGTTGTACAGGTATTTTTTAAAAGAGATTTATTTTGTTATTTCTACATCTTGTCCTGTCTTAATTGATCTAAATCTTGTTGTAAACAATCAGGCCCCGGTTGTAAACAATCAGGCCCCGGTTGTAAACAATCAGGCCCCGGTTTCACAAAGTATTCTGATTTGAACATACATGATGCAAGAGTTAAATCGGCCTATTGCAGGTTTTTCTTTAGGCCTGAAACGTTACAGTTAATTAGACATTAATTAACTGATCCAGACCATAATCAACTCTTGATGTCATCGCTAGCGTGTGATATTTAGTGGATTTGAATACATTTTATGATGGATAATTTAAGGTAAAAATGGATAATCAAAACTTGGATTATTGTCACACCAATGACGTTCGAGTCTAGCCTAAAATTGAATCGCTAATATCTTGGTTCAGAGTGAAGCAATTTTCAGCATGTTTTGTTGTCATTATCTAGTTTTAAGCAGTATAGTGAGAACTGTCAGCTCTTTGCCTAATCTTATCTAATGTATCTTTAAGTTAAGAATTAACTCAATTTTCAACCAGTGTTTATGAGAAATAACTTTGATTCAGAAACACAAAACTTTGTATATAGTTTCTTATTGATGTATTTGATACAAAAAAACAACAAAAGTTTTATAATGTTAAAATACTGTAAGGCGAACAATTTTGAGTAAATTCTTAACTTAAAGTAGCCAAGTCTCTAACTCAATATCATCAAAAACACGAATTATTTGTCAATTTAAATCAACATTGATGTTGTGATCTTACCGGGAAAAGATGGGCTTCTGATATCCAATATTTAAGACAAAATAGACAAAATAAACACTTTATCATTGGTACACAAATCGTGTACCAGAATGTGTTTCAGCGCCATTTGTAACAAGGGGCTCGAAAGAACGAGGCTAGACATATTCCACAAGTCATGTCAAACGGCGACGCGATAGTCTTATCTGGAGAGCATGTGCAATAAATATTATCGGTTTAGACTGGAATAACAAGACAGGCCTGAAATGTTATCTAAATTATTGATTAGACATTAATTAACTTATCCAAACCATAATCAACTCTCGATGCCATTGCTAGCCAGTGATATTTAGCAGATTGGAATACATTTTTGGGAAAATAATTAAACATAAAAGTGGATAATATTGACTTAAGTAATGATGATCGAGGCTAGCCTACAATTCAAAGGCTAATATCGCGGTTCAGAGTGGATCAATTTGACTGAAATTTTCAGCATATTCTATTTCTGTTATCTATTTTTTAATTATTATAGCGAGAACTGACAAATCTTTATCTAATCTCCCATAATGTATCTTTAACAAGTGCACGATAGATCATAAAGTCTGTCATTGAGTCAACTGGCGTGGTTTTCGATTCCCAACTTGTACATGACAAGGAGTAGGGATGCCTGTCCAGCCTCGTGGGTTTTCTCTATGGGTCCTCTGGTTTCCTCCCACTCCCAGCGAATTATTGAAATAAAATAGAACCATATAACTTAGTTTGATTTGAGTGAACGTTGTTTTTGTTTTGTAGATCGAACCTAAAATATCACCAGATGAAAATAAAACATCCAAGCAGACAAGAAAAAGAAAAGGAAAAAAGAAACTTAAAATATTTTATGGCAGCCAAACAGGAAAAGCACAGGTAATATTATATTTAAAATACATGTGACGGGTTGCTTTGTTGGGAATCAAATCTGCGACCCCAGGCATGGAATCCACACACCTCTACAAAATTCCCATGTTCTAGACGGTAGCAAGTCTATTTAAACTCAAGCCACGGTGGCTAAATGAGTAAGATGCTGGCTCGCTAGCCTGGAGGTCGCTTGTTCTATCCCTGCATTGGCCGAGAAAGTACATCAGAATTTTCCGATGTGGTTTACCCCAGGATTGAGGGCCTGACAAAGACAGCTGTCTAGTCGTTCGGATGGAACGAAAAGGCGAGGTTCCATGTAAACACTGGCGTGCACGTAAAAGATCCCTTGGCAGTTGGAATTTGATATAAGAGTAGGCCTTAGTGCAGCTGCCCCGCCAAATGTCCCTCTTAACACACTGTATGGTGTATGCCCGTCTTCATTAGCCCAGCATATAGTATATGTAGCAGAACAGTAGGACGTTAAACCACATTTCATTTTATCTCATTCAAGACTGAACAATCTATTTATGTTAATTTTATTATGAATGTTTATTTTATAGAATTTTGCTGAAACCTTGGCATATGAGTATGATTTACGAGGATATGGAACAGAAGTTGTAAATCTGAAAGATTATGATCCAGAAGATAATCTAGTTGAAGAGGTAAGGTACATGCGTGTTGTTATAGTCACTGTATTCCAGCTGATTTGTTTAAAGAGGTAAGGTACATGCGTGTTGTTGTAGTCACTGTATTCCAGCTGATTTGTTTAAAGAGGTAAGGTACATGCGTGTTGTTGTAGTCACTGTATTCCAGCTGATTTGTTTAAAAATTCTGTCATCATATCAGTGTTTGTGATAGGTCGTCCAGTCGAGTGGGTTTTCTCCGGGTTCTCCAGTTTACTCCCACTGCTAAAGACCCCTGCATGCAAGTGAATTATTAAAATATGATTGAACCATGTGTTTGTCCGAAATGACCTAGTTGTGGACATTGAATCTCTCTCTCTCTCTCTTAAGATCGATTTGCTAGTCCCATTGAATTTGATATTCCTGACTATAAACATGTAATATTATGGATATAATAAAGATCCCTTGACAGTAGGAATTTGATATAAGAGTAGGCGGTAGTGCCGCTGTCCGGGCAAAATTTCTCTCATAACACACTGTCACTGTATGGTTATGTCCGTCTTCATTCGTCTAGTTTGGAGCAGAACAGTAGGACATTAGACCCCATTTCATTTCATTTCTTGCTTTTTTAAAAGATATTTTTCTTGTTGAAGGCATCTTAGTGAAATACGGGTTTAAACCATTTGTTCTGTTGCATGTAGTTTATAGATGATCTTATAGCTGATAAATTTAGTAATTTGACTCTAATTCGTCTAATTGTATGTTTTAATATTTCAGAATAATAATGGCAATATTTGTGTGTTTATTATATCAACCTATACAGACGGTCAGCCACCAGAGGGAGCTACATGGTTCTATAAATGGTTGACAGATACAGCGGCAGATTTCCGGGTTCAGAAAACGTTATTAAAGGGTTTTTATTATACTGTTATCGGACTAGGAAACTCCCTTTATCAAGATAACTATTGTACAGTAAGCTTAGTTTATTATATTGAGAGGATGCAAGAGTTGCCTCCCTTTAGTATTTTTCTTTAGGGGAACCACAGTGGCTCAGGTAGTAAGGTGCTGTCAGGCTGACCTGGACACCCCATGTTCGATCGATGTGTTGGCTGAGATTTTTTACCAGGATTTTCCGGTGTGGTTCTCCCTTTTGGCAAGGAACTGTGTCTATTTATGTCCCATGTACACTTTGACGGTGATGTGAAAGAACCCTGGATTGGAAAGCAGTGAAGGGTAGGCTGTAACACCGCTCGTTTTAGTTACCCTGAACGGAGCGTAAAACTATTGCGACAGACAAGAATTACCTCCCTTTAGTTGTAGATTAATGCATAAATATCACCATGTAAGAGAATAGAGAGTTCCAATGTACGATAGACCATAATTGACTTTTTTTCTTATTTTTCAGGTTGCTAAACAACTAGATAAGAGTCTACATGAATTATCAGGAACTCGTTTTTCTGAAACTACATTTTGTGATGAGAATACTGTACTTAGTAAACATGGAGGTTAGACATTTAAATAAATATAGGGAAATAGAATGAAATAGGGTTGAACCTTCTACTTTGCTTTGCTGGTCCAACTGGGCTGATAAAGAGGGGTTTGTGTGTGGGTTTGGACGGGGGGGAGATGGGAAAATGGTAAGCGTGTGCGTATTGTATCAAGGTCTGTCATTGAGTCAACTGGCTTGGGTTTCGATTCCCCGGTTGTACCGGACAAGAAATAGGGTTGCCTGCCAACCTTGTAGGTTTTCTCCGGGTCCTCTCGTTTCTTCCTACTACTAAAGAACCCTACGCATAAGCAATTTATTGAAATAAAACTGAACCATATGTTAGTCCCGAAATGACCTAGTTTGTGGACATTAAACCCCATTTCTTTCTCTCTCTCGATTAATCTAGGTTTAGAAGCTGATTTTGCCGCTTGGAGAGATTGGTTCTGGAAGAAAGCTCAGCCGGCTTTAAATGGACGGAAAGTCCGGGAATGTAGTAAGAAATGTGATGGTAAATGTGCGTGTGTAAAACCAGGAGATGGGGAAGATGGAGAAGGGGGAGCGTGTAGCAGTGACGAGTGTAGCAGTGATGACGAGGTAGGGACGGTCAATTTACATACATACAGTTTCTCTCAAATTTTTCGGCCCCAGATTGCGTGAACACTGCAAAAGAAACAAATGAGAAATCGCTAATTCACTCAATTACACCTCGATTTTCCGGCAGGATTCGCTCAAAAATACCATGTTTTCCTGGCAAAACTCTGTGTGTTGACATGCTTTCCCGCAAGGAATTCTTGAGCTTTTCATCGACTTGAAATGGTAGCAGGAGTGTTGTTATTTCTCGAAGTATTACAAAATGTTCACATTTATTGATGGCCCAAAGCTCTTCACGCTAGGAAATAGGTAACACATGTATTCAACTTAAATAAAGTACATTTTTCTTCAACAAGCTAGAATAGAGATGATTCACTGTGTTCCGTCGCAAAACTCTAAGATCCACCATGAAAATCAGTGATCCACCGACATTTGGCAGTCTAGTGATTTGCTAAGGATACCCTGCGAAATTCAGCACTTTTCCACTGTTTTCGGCGATTCTAGTCGTGTAAGAGAATACTTATCAAAACGTCATGCTATATGTGTATACACCAGTGATTGTTTTCCATAGAAATTGTGTTGTTTTTTTAATGTGCTGAATCACTAAATGCCACAGAAGGAAAAATTACATCAGTACTTGTGCCATTTGTTAATGAAGTATTTTCATAGTTAAACATACATTATGCAAGAGCTAAATCTGCCTATTGCAGGTCTTTCTTTAGGCCTGAAATGTTATCTAAATTATTAATTAGACATTATTTAACTTATCCAGACAATAATCAACTCTCGAAGGCATCGCTAGCTTGCGATGTTTATTGGATTAGGTTCCGATTTCCTGTTCGACTTCCATTCATAATTTAATCATGAAATGGATAATCGAGACTATGTTTTTTATCGTACTGACTTTAGTAATGATGATCAAGGCTAGGCGGAAACTTCAATCACTAAATTCTTGGTTCAGAGTGGATCAATTTAACTGAAATTTTCAGCAAATTCCCTTTACTTTATCTAGTTTTTAACTATTTGTGAGAACTGCCAGCTCTTTATCTAATCTCCCATAATGTATCTTTAATAATTAAGTGTTTCCATAGCAACAAGTTTGAATTAGTTTTTGGTAATTAATAGCGTGTGATTTTGATGAATGAGATCTGTTGTTTGTAGATTTTATTTGAATCCACGAGTGAAGAAGAGATTGAAGTTGAAAAAGACGTGGAGAAACCAAATGAAACCAATAAAAGGAAAATACAGACAAAAACAAAACCCAAAACGTCTCCGAAATCAGGTGTGGTTGATTTAGAAGATTTGGGTTTTATTATGAAAAAAGCTAAGGTAAGAATAAAAGTTATTCAGTAGATGTTCAGTCAGGGCTTGCCACGAGACGCGAGCAACTGCTCGCGCTCGCGCTGTGCTCGCGTAAATCTACATTTACGCGAGCGGTTCGTTGCTCGCGCAAAATTTTAAGAAAACCCTGTAAAAATAATCAAAATATTGACAAGTTTATTGCCGAAACTAACCCAACAATGTCAATAACGTCATAAATTCGTCTGTCAAACTGAGATTCACCCAGCTGCACGCGACATTTCCTCCTGAAATTTGATTGGCTAATAAAGTTACTCGCAACTTGTGTTACTAAAAATACACTTTAGACCTGAACGTCATGACTGGTTTTCCTACGAACACCAGTAACAAACACGTGATAATCGAGTCTAAAGTAAAGAATGTTAACATCCGGCATTTGGCATTGACGCTAAATGAACACGTTTCAAACTAATATTTATCGGTATTTCCTATTTTATCAGAACTTCGGTTTTTATTCCATTGTTCCATTGTGCAGTCGTATAATTTTCAATCTAAGCGTAATAATGGCCAAAGTGCTTTGGCGCAACCTGATTGCCCTATCCACATTTATTTCGTGGGGTGAAGAAATCCATACGGAAATTGGTTTTAATAAAGAAGAGTACATATGACTGTCAAAAACAGAAAGCGATGGTCACACATGTTTACTGCAAACTTTGTGCCAGGAATAGCAATTTTCTTATGATTTTAAATTGAAACAATGTTACAAAATGTGTGCTTACGCAAACAACATTTTGCGTGAGCAATTTTTATTGCTCGCCTTGCTCGCCCAAACCTAAATTTGCGTGAGCAGTCATCTGCTCGCCATCAATTTATTCGTGGCCAGCCCTGTTCAGTGATTTTGGTTTTTTTGTGGACCAGGAAGGGCAACTCATCTTCTTGTTCTTCTTTATGGGAGTGGGGAGCCATGGTGGCTAAGTTAGTAAGACGTTGATGTAAAGACCCCCATGCACAAGCAAATTATTGAAATAAAGTTTAAAAGTTAAACCATATCTTAGTCCCGAAATGACCTAGTTTGTGTCGAGTGGATTTTCCGACGCAGTTTCCCCTTGTCAGTGGTGCAGAACGGGGGGCCTGACAAGGACAGCTGTCTAGTCCTTCGGATGAGACGAAAAACCGAGGTCCCGTGTATACATTGGAATGCACGTAAAAGATCCCTTGGCAGTTGGAATTCGATATAAGAGAAGGCGATAGTGTTGCTGCCCGGGCAAAATTTCCCTCATAGCACACTGTATGACACATGCCCATCTGCATTAGCCCAGCATAGGAGCAGAACAGTAGGACATAAAACCCCATTTCATTTCATTTCTGTTAATGGCCCATATAATTTGCTCATTATAGTTATGTGTCTTGAGCTTAGACTGGTACAAGAGCCATTTCCCTCTCAAGATCTCTAAGTAATAAAAATAAAATAGAAACCTTGAATCTAAATTATCCTAGTATTTCTCGATTTCTTTCCAGCTAGCTAAGCAAAAAGAAGAGACAAGTGAATCAAGACAGATGATTACGCCAGTATTAAGAGCATCACTGGAGAAACAGGGCTATAAATTAATTGGATCCCATTCTGGTGTAAAACTTTGTCGTTGGACTAAAGTAAGTTGAGAGTACTGGCAGGGTTTATCTTTGATTGGTGTATCAGGTGCTGCAGTGGCTAAGTGGTTCAATATTCAGGAGATACTGGGTTCGATCCTGATGTTGGCCTAAAATGTTATTCAAGAATTATCATCTGGGTTTCCTCTTGCTAATGGTACTGAACAGAAAGCAGCTGTTTTAAGTCGAGCTATCTCCGTCTTTCCTCTAATTTAGGGGGTTGGGTGGCCGAATGATTAACGTGTGTGCTTGCATCATTAGGTCTGTTATTGAGTCAAGTGGCTTGGTTTTGATTGCCCGTTGTATGTGACAACCTCTTGATTTTCTCCTCCCACTGCTAAAGATCCCCTACGCTCAAGCGAATTAATGCAATAAAATTGTACCATATGTTAGTCCCAAAATATTAGTTTGTGTCAAGTGGACATTAAACCCCATTTCTCTCTCTCGGTCGATAAAATTTACTAAGTTTGCTATGTTTTACTGCTAGTATATATGCTGTCCAGGCAAAATTCCCCCAATGACATTTACTGTATGTTACGCTCAGAATGACATGAGTCAACAACATTTCTAACATTTAACATATGTTTAGGAGGGCTGGGGTGACCAAATGGTTAGCAACTGGCATGGTTTTGATTCCCCGGTTGTACATGACAAGGAGTAGGGTCGCCTGTCCAACCTCATGGATTTTCTCTGAGTCCTCCGGTTTCCTCCCACTGCTAAAGACCTCTACGCACAAGCGAATTATTGAAATAAAATTGAACCATGTGTTAGTCCGAACTGCCCTAGTTTGTTCAGTAAACTCTCTCTCTCTCTCTCTCCCCCCCACCCCCATATTTTAGTATACACTATAACCTGGATGTCATTTAATCTTGTGTATTTAGCATAAATTTCTTTCATGTTCATTCAAAACAAAACTTTGTTTTAAATCTCGAAAAAGTCATTTAAAATACCAGAAATTTGTAAAAACTGTTTAAAATCACCAGAAATCATCTAATTTGTACTTTTGTTCAGTTTAAAGTTGACCATTCAATTTTGATAATGAGTTTTCCAATTAACAAGTGTTTAATTTCTCAATCACTGTTAAAGTCAATTGGTTATTGATGTATAATGATTAATTTTTAAACGGTGGTCAGGAAATTAAATACTTGTAAATTGGACACTCATTATCAAAATTAATCAGTCAGCTTCAAACTGGACAGAAGTACAAATTAGATGATTTTGGGTGATTTTAAATGATTTTTTCGAATTTTTGACAAAGATTTGATATGAAACAATTGAGAAAGAAATTAGTGCTACACAAAATTAAATGATACCTGGATTACAGTGACAGCTGCCTGGGCAAAATTCTCCTTTTGATATTTACCACATGTTAGTCTCAGTCTGAACGTTTACTATGTTGATTATTTTCAGTCGATGTTACGGGGTAGGGGAGGATGTTATAAACACACGTTTTATGGTATTGAAAGTCATCGCTGTATGGAGACAACTCCAAGTTTAGCTTGTGCTAATAAATGTGTCTTCTGTTGGAGGTTCGTAACTTAATTATATCAGATAATAATTTAAAGATACTATTTCTCTCTATACATAACTTCGGAAACTGCGAGAAATTCAAATTCTTTCATTTCAGAATTTACTCAACTTTCAATCACTGTTTATGAATAATACCTTTAATCCAGAAGTTTCTTATTGATGTATTTGATACATTAAAACAACAAAAGTTTTTTTAAAGGGCTATATTTTAGTAGTTAAAATAAGGCGAACAATTTGAGTTAATTCTTAACTAAAGTCTGAGAATGCTTTGTGAACTCGAGGCCAGCTTGTGTAGAAATTGCATTCTGTCAGACAGAACTAGCGTGAGGTGGTCGTGGGTTTAATCATTGAGACATTTTACCCTTGGACCTTTGGACGGCTGAATGGTTAAAGCGTGCTTGTTGTGTCTTAAGGTCTGTCATTGAGTCAACTGGTGTGGTTTCAATTCCCCGATTGTACATGACAAGGGGTAGGGTTGCCTGTCCAACCTCGTGGGTTTTCTCCGGGTCCTCCCGTTTCCACCCACTGCTAAACACCGCTACGTGTAAGCAAATTATTGAAATAAAATTAAACCATGTGTTAGTCCCCGAAATGACCTGGTTTGTATCGAGTGGACTTTAAACCCCATTTTAGGCTAGCCTTGATTGTCGTTACTACTGTTGTTACAATAATAAACAAAATCACGAAAATTCATTTTTACGGTTATTTCACATACCACAAAAAGTATTCAAATTTACTAAACATCGCAGGGATCCGATGGCATGAAGACTTGATTATGGTCTGAATAAATTAATTAATGTCTAATTAATAGTTTAGATAACATTTCAGGCCTAAAGAAAGACCTACAATAGGCAGATTTAGCATTTGTATAATGCATGTTTAATGAATAACTGTTTTTTTAGGCATCATACAAACCCAGTTGGTACAGAATGGAAGTGGGAAATGGATGATCCAGAAACACTTATTCAGGGTGCTCTACGAAATCATACAAAGATGATAAACGAATTTAAAGGTATATCCATGAGGATATTGACATTTGTTATCCTGTTTTTGTTTCTGGATCATATCTCATTAAGCAATCAAAATATCTTTATGGAATAGGGGGTTGGATGGCCGAATTGTTAGCATGTGCACGTTGTATCATAAGGTCTTTGGGGAGTAGATGGCGGAATGGTTAGTGCGTGTGTTGTATCATAAAGTCTGTCATTGAATCAACTGGCATGGTTTCGATTCCCCGGTTGTGTGACAAGGAGTAGAGTTGCCTGTCAAACCTCATGTTTCTCCCGGTTTCCTCCCACTGACCCCAACGCGCAAGCGAAGTATTGAAATAAAATTTAACCATATGTTAGTCCTGAAATGACCTAGTTTGTGTCGGGTGGATGTTAGACCAATTCTCTGTCTCTTTCTCTCTCTCTCTCTGGAACTGTAGTAGATATACAATGATAAATGATGTTAATTTATTGCGCCACTGACAAAGTGGGAACCACGGCTGAAAATCCCAAAGAACTTTCTCAATCAACACGGATGGAAACAAGGGACCTCCAGGTCAGCAAGCCAACTTCTTACTCACTGAGTTTTTTTATGTATCTAAATTTTGCATACTGTATGTTTTAGTTCCTATTGTTATTTATTTAATTCAATCCCTGCATTAGCCAAGAGAGTTCATCAGGATTTTCCGGCCGGGTTTCCGCTTGTCAGTTGTCCAGAATGGAGGGCCTGACAGGGACAGCTGACTAGTTGTTTGGATGGGATAAAAACCGAGGACCTGCGTATACATTGGCGTGTACGTAAAAGATCCCTTGGCAGTTGGAATTCGATATAAGTGTAGACCGTAGTACTGCTGCCCGGGCAAAATTTCCCTCATAGCACACTGTATGGCGTATGCCCGTCTTCATTAGCCCAGTAGGAGCAGAACAGTAGGACGTTATACCCCATTTCATTTTATTTTTGTTTATTTAATTACAGGTGTACCAGGTGTTATACCAGAAAGATTTGCTGAAGGTATGACACCTCAACATTGTGCCTTATCTCTAGTAGGTGAACCCATCATGTATCCAGAGATAAATAAATTTATAGATCTACTCCACGATAAACAAATATCAACGTTCCTCGTTACCAACGCACAATTCCCAGATGCCATCAGGTAAAATATTCATTAAGTATTGTTTAATGGTCGAGAGCGTGACATTAAGTAATATATTGTAACAACAAGAGGACCGTATTTCTCTGGACATAACTGATTTGAAATTGGAATAGAAATGAAAAGGATTGAATGGAAATCAGTTTATATACAATCAGATTGCATTATTACATGTGTTGTGACCCATTTGTGTCCATTTCTAGGTCCTGAATATTAGCAATTTAGCTCCTTTAAAAAGACAAGTTTTTGCTTTAAAGATACATTATGGGAGATTGTAATAGAGAGTTTGCCATTCTTGCTATAACAGTTCAAAAATAGATGATGAAAGAAGAATATATTGAAAATTTCAGTCAAATTACTTTATTCTGAACAAAGTTATCACCGTTGTAAATTTTCACTAGAAATAGGAGTCTTCGAGAATGGCCGATCGTTTGATTGACAGGCGTTAACTCCACCTACATAATCTTGATTATCAAGTAACGTTTTCAATGGTGTGGTACCGTTAGCCTATTCGGTTTGAGACGGGGTTGCAATTCAATTGGTATCACATTTATTTTTACTACAAATTAAAAATAAGACTTTTAATATATAGATAAGAAGCGAAAGTTTGAAAGGAATCGACCAAATCAATGAGGCAGTATTGTACATAATTATAGCCGACTTCTTATTAACCTGCTTGTACTCTTGTACTGTAACTGGTAGGCCTACGTGACTCCCGAAGCAGACAAATAGGAAACAGTGATCCAATGGGACTTCAATTCAACTAGGGTGATGTTAGCTGCGATGTTCATCAATTTCCATAATTTTTCTGAAAACGCAAGTGACAAAAGAGCGTATTATACGGACATCCAAACTCTCATTTTAACCACAAACATAATATCAAGGCCGTATATTGAACTTTCAATCAAATTGACTGACATTGAGTGTTGAGCAGCAGATTGAATTCAAATCCAGTGAAAATTGAACACATAAGATGACATCTAGAGTTGTTTATGGTCTGTATAGGTTAATAAATGTTTAATTAATAATTTAGATAACATTTCAGGCCTAAAGAAAGACCTGCAATAGACAGATTTAGCTCTTGTTTAAAAGTTTGTATAAAGTTTTAAAACAGTTTGTGTTTTTTTTTTAATATTACAGAGATTTGTCACCAATTACTCAGTTATATGTTAGTGTTGATGCTAGCACGAAGGAAAGTTTAAAAAAGATTGATCGTCCACTGTTTAAAGATTTCTGGACAAGATTTACGGATAGTTTAACGGAACTGTCTAATAAAGGGCAGAGAACTGTGTATAGATTAACCTTAGTTAAAGAATGGAATACAGAAGAAATTGAAAATTATGCTAAACTCGTAGACTTGGGTAAACCTGATTTTATAGAGGTCAAAGTAAGTGTCGCTGTTAAATGTTTGGGGGTGGGGAGGATGGGGGGGTCGGAGAAGGGTGGGGTCTGATCTGAGTCCTGCACTGTAGGTCGTAAGGTCTATCATTGAGACAGCATGGTTTCGATTTCACAAAGGTGAATTTAGCAAGTTTACATTTTTGTTGAAAGAGAGATTACTTTCGATCATTTTCAGCATGTTTTCATGATACAAGAATGGCTGTGCATTCACTTTCAGTTCAAATGACTTTATTTGACCTTTGACCACAAAGATCTCGAAAACGCCCTAAAAGCGGATTGATTACCACTCGGCAACATATTCTACTCTAAATTTTACTATAGAAAAGATGTGCCTGGTTTTGGGCCCATTTGATGCCACATACTTAATTGTAGAATAGTTGCCATATCCCTAACTATAGAACAGCTGCCATATGCATAATTGTAGAATAGTTGCCTTATCCTTAATTGTTGAACAGCTGCCATATCCTTAATTGTAGAGTACCTGCCATATTCATAATTGTAGAATAGTTGCCATATCCTTAATTGTAGAATAGTAGCCATATCTTTAATCGTAGAACAGCTGCCATATCCTTAATTGTAGAACAGCTGTCATATCCTTAATTGTAGAATAGCTGCCATATCCTTAATTGTAGAGTAGCTGCCATATCCATAATTGTAGAATAGCTGCCATATTCATAATTTTAGAGTAGCTGCCATATCCATAATTGTAGAGTAGCTGCCATATCCTTAATTGTAGAACAGCTGCCATATCCTTAATTGTAGAACAGCTGCCATATCCTTAATTGTAGAGTAGCTGCCATATTCATAATTGTAGAGTAGCTGCCATATCCATAATTGTAGAATAGCTGCCATATTCATAATTGTAGAACAGCTGCCATATCCATAATTGTAGAACAGCTGCCATATCCATAATTGTAGAACAGCTGCCATATCCATAATTGTAGAACAGCTGCCATATCCTTAATTGTAGAGTAGCTGCCATATCCATAATTGTAGAATAGCTGCCATATTCATAATTGTAGAACAGCTGCCATATCCATAATTGTAGAGTAGCTGCCATATCCATAATTGTAGAGTAGCTGCCATATCCATAATTGTAGAATAGCTGCCATATTCATAATTGTAGAACAACTGCCATATCCATAATTGTAGAACAGCTGCCATATCCATAATTGTAGAAGAGCTGCCATATCCATAATTGTAGAACAGCTGCCATATCCATAATTGTAGAACAGCTGCCATATCCTTAATTGTAGAACAGCTGCCATATCCTTAATTGTAGAACAACTGCCATATCCTTAATTGTAGAACAGCTGCCATATTTTTAATATCCATAATTGTACAATAGCTGGGCTATATCCATAATTTTTAAATTGTTGCAACATGGCTGCCACATCCTTAATCTGATATGTACGTTTGTTTGTGATTTCTGCGTATTGTGTTTTGTCCGCAGATTTGTTTTGTATAATTGTGTGTGGTGCAGTCCCCCTGTAAAATTGTTTTATATTTTCAGGGTGTAACATATTGTGGTGAATCTAAAGCATCTAGTTTAACTATGCAGAATGTACCGTGGCATGAAGAAGTTATATACTTTGTCAATAAATTAACGGATCTGTTAAAAGATTACGAGATAGCTTCAGAACATGAACATTCAAACTGTCTACTTCTAGCACATAAAAAGGTAAATATATATTTCAGTTTGATGAACCTTAAAAATCAAATCAAATGGGGTTTGCAGTCATTGTTTTTTAAGGCGAGCGATCGCTCTCTAGCGCCTGCCGCTCACCTGAATGTTGACTGAGAGGAGGTTTTTTTCGCTCTCCTTAAAATCGAAAATCGCTCTCCTTTACAAAGTCATAGGGGGGTTTATTATCATTTATGAATGCAGAAATGACCCCCTAACATGCAGTTATTGATCTTCAGAACCATTTTCCATACTCACAAGTAATCACTCTCCTTAATATCAGATCACTCTCCTTAATTTCTAAATCACTCTTCTTATCGAAGGGGATCACGTGGCTAAGTGGGTAAGACGCTAGCTCGCTAGCCTGGAGTCGGGTGTTCGATCCCTGCATTGGCCGAGAAAGTTCATCCAGATTTTCCGGCGTGGTTCTCCCTTGTCAGTGATGCAGGACGGAGGGGCTGACAAGGAAAGCTGTCTAGTCGTTCGGATGGGACGAAAAACCGAGGTCCCGTGTACACATTGGCGTGGACGTAAAAGATCCCTTGGCAGTTGGAATTCGATATAAGAGTAGGCCGTAGTGCCGCTGTCCGGGCAAAATTTCCCTCATAGCACACTGTATGGCGTATGCCCGTCTTCATTAGCCCAGGTTAGGAGCAGAACAGTAGGACGTTAAACTCCATTTCATTTCATTTTCTTCTTATCGAAACTCGAGCTTTTTTAGGGGAGCAATTTTTTCAATTTGTTGATTAAGGGGAGCTATTTTCGCCTCTCCTCTAAAATACAAACAACAACGACTGGGTTCAAAGTTCAACCCCTGCACATTAGATCATAAGGTCTAATCAAGTGGCATGGTTTCAGTTCCCCCCGCTAGTAGACGACAGGGAAAAAGTTGAACCTGTCCAACCTTGGGAGTTTCCTCCCACATCTATGACCACATGAACGCAAGAGAATTATTGCAATAGAACTGAGCCATATGTTAGTCCCAAAAATGACCTAGTTTGTGTCAATTCTCTCTCTTGTGCATGTGGTACGTTTCTGACTGTCCAATCACAAAAGGGTTAATATTTGTAATACTTTATTTATTCCGTTTCACGATTATTGACATGACTCGCTCCGTTTGTAAATATTTATATTTTATTAATTACAGTTGAAGGTTGACGGAGAATGGTGGACATGGATAGATTACCCCAAGTTTCATCAACTCATGTCAGAATATCGCAACTCGAACGGAAAAAAGACTTTTACAACAAATGATTATATGGCCAGGACCCCATCATGGGCTGTATTCGGAGCGAAGGAGAGAGGTTTCGATCCAATAGAAACCAGGTATCATCGCAAAAAACAGAAAGACATCAGTGGGTGTTGATTATATAGACTGATAGATAGAAGGATGAATGAAGCATGAATGAAAGAAGAGTGATTGAATGGCGAATGAATGAATGTGTATATGGCCAGAATCCCATCATTGGCTGTATTCGGACCCAAGGGGAGAGGTTTTGATCCAATAGAAACCAGATATGATAAAAAAAACCAAAAAGACAACAGTTTGTGTTGATGATTTAGACTGAAGAGTGAATGAATGGTGAATGAAAGAAGGATGAATGAAAAGTATTTTATTTATGGGATAAAAAGTATGAATGTCACATAATGAAATTATTAATTTTTTTTTATATACTAAATGAGTAATTATTGTCCAATTTCCAAATTGAGGAGAGACATGTGTGTCCAATTTTCAAATGTTATTTGTAAAAGAGAGCCATTATTTATTCCAGAAAACTTCAGCTAAGATACTTTAGTTACTCATCTTTGTCGATGTGACTGTTTGAATTTGTATGTTACTTATATCGTAGATCATCATATCTGAATTGACAGAGTTTTGGACCTTTTATCGAAGAACATTGCCCCCTCTCCCTCCCAGAAATAAAATGAAATGGGGTGCAATGTCCTTCTGTTCTCGGCTAATGAAGACAGGACTGCCAGGACGAAAAAAAAAACGACAAGATGAGTGGGGTTGGGGCAGTTCCTGGTCCAAAACAGTTTTGATTTTAAAATAATGTATTGTTACTTGTTTGTATTTTAGGGGGGCTGGATGGCGTATCATAAGGTATGTCATTGAGTCAACTGGCGTGGTTTCGAATACTCGGTTGTACGTGACAAGCACTAAGGTCGCCTGTCCATCTTCATGGGTTTTCTCCGGGTCCTCCGGTTTTTCTCCCACTGGTAAAGACCCCTACGTGCAAGCGAATTATTGAAATGAAATTGAACCATATGTTAGCCCCGAAATGACCTAGGTTGTGTTGAGTGGAGCTAAACCCCATTTCTCTCTCTCTCTCTCTCTCTCTCTCCAACCTATACTATCACCTACCACTGGCCCGTTATACAAGTTTCTCAAGATATATTTCCTCACCAATTTCAGTCAACATGGAAGTGGAGGTTAAACTCGAAAGTCAACAATTCCTTCAACTATTAATTATCAGTTATGGTATTCCTTAATGTGAAATGTATTGTTTTAAGCAATCTGATCAAAATACACATCTATATTTCATTTCGGTTTAGTTTCATTTTTTTATACTTTTGATGGCCTACACTACATGAAGATCTGACCGGTTGTACTGGCAGGTCGCGTCAGGTGTCGTACGACCAGCTTTTGAACCTATGACATCAGACATTTGATTAATCAATCAGCGTTAACGTTTCTAGTGGTTTACCCACAGTTCCATGCATTGCACGCCAAGAACTCGCCGTTTCATTGGCTAACCCCTCACTTCAACCAGAACATTGGTAACAACTTTTCCAGATCCTAGTCATTAAAGACAAGTAAAACAAAATTTTGAACTATAAAAAACAAAACGAAATAGGATCTGTGTTTTAATCAAATTGATATATAAAGTTAAATGTAAATATGTATATTTTTAAGCTGATGTTTTGTTGCCAAATATTTCGTATTCCCAACTTTTAATAGAAGGTTGTTAATTTAGCTGGGGACAATTCTGTGGAATACTGTTAATGTTTAATACTTGGAGTGACTTGAGCTAGAATTATCCAGTCCTACACAGAATTATATATGAATTCAACAATTAAACTTGTAACATGGACGGGAAATCTTCCTTTGTTTTTTTCGTTGAATAAGCAGATTGTTTTCCCTCTAGTAGATTGGTTGGAGCTTAACCGTGCAATAACTAGACATGTTCAATGTTATTGCACACTTTTGCTGGTTTACACTAGTTTTAGTAGAAATCATATAGAGAAGTGGGGTGGGTTTTCTGTACAATAACAAGTCATTTATAGCATGCTTTATTCGTTAACAGGTTTAACATCTCGGCCTACGGCCTCGATGTTTAAACCTGTTAACTCATGAAAGTCGTGCTATAAATATAACATGATCCAAACAATGTAGTTATATTTTCTCTTGAGAGACTGGGGCTTGAGTGGTTTAACATGTAGGCCTGAAATCATAAAGTCTGTCATTGGGTCAATTGTCTTGGTTTTCGATTCCCTGATGTAGTGACCGGGAGTAGGGTTGCCTGGCCAACCTCATGGGTTTACTCCGGGTCATCTAGTTTCCTCCCACTGCTAAAGATCCCGTCATGCATGCCAATTGTTGAAAAAGTTGGACCATTATGTTAGCCCCGGAATTACCTAGTTTGTGTGGAGTGGAAATTAAACCCAATTTTTAAATAAAGTTGGACCATTATGTTAGTCCAGGAATTGCCTAGTTTGTATCGAGTGGACGTTAAACCCCATTTCTCTCTTTTGAGAGACTATAGAACAATTTGTTTGATTGGCTAAAGGTAAAAGGAAATGAAATGGGGTTTAAGGTCCTACTGTTCTGCTCCGAACTGGTGTAGTACTATCCAACTACACATCTTAGTTTTTGGCCAGATCGTCTAATGGGGGGTTGGTTGGCTCTGGACTGCTACTGTTGTATCTTTCTTCTTTAAGGACTTCACCATTGTGTTTTCTCACGATACCGACTCAAATAAGTAACAGGAACAACGATAGTGTTTTTGCTAAACATTTTATGTCACAACAGTTACACAGTAGTCTACATTACAATATTTAAAATTAACATCTTTTTCTCTCCAACCCCAGTCCTGTAAAAATCTAGCCAGCATGACTAGACCCAGGAAAACGCTACCGCATGAAATAGTCGTCTAAAGAATCCACATGATCTCACTCAATTATTCTATCCCCGCTCCCTTATATAGGTGCATATTCTTTTGTCCCTGTTTATTCTTTTGTCTCTGTTAATTACGTAAACAACTGATAACAGCTAAATTACAAATATGGAATGGACATTCACCCCAAACCTGTATATCGACAGGGATTGTTACCTTATTTGGTCAACAAATATGATATATGTTTTATAACAAAGAAACATGTAAATGACCAACATGTTCATTAATCTATAGCTCAGTTAACGTATCAAAATAACCGTCATATACTTTCTATATTTGTGGTTATGAAGTTAGAATCAATAATATGAAAGATAACGCTATTGTTCTAGCCATCATATTTCTGCATTCTTGTTTTTAGACCCCATGTCTTGTTATTGTCACAATATTCATAGCCAATTTTAATTTGCGTTTCAGAATTTAACTTATACCATAACTAATATATTGACAATTGAGAATAATTAATCAAAACCCTAATATTATTTTACATAGATGTTTCAAAGCACAAATTCTTTCCCTCCATATTACTACATTACCTCCCCTGCTTTAGGATTTGTGCTACTTATTAGTTAGGAGACTCCTTGAAAACTTCCCATTTTCTGATCCAACATCCATACAATTATATAATTATTCATATAACATGTAAATATATACGATTACTAAACGATTCCCATCCAATAACATCCAAGAACAAAGATATCATATTAAAAACACAAATAATCGAAAATCGCATGCAAACGCTCTCCAACAGTTCATCACCGCAATTACAAAGTCCTATAATAAAGTACTTTAACAAAATGTAGATAAACGTATTTAAAATGTTCCTTGATGCTTTTGAAGTGTCCTATAGTATTTATAACGTTCAATTTTCACTTTAATTTCTGCAATTCATCATCTTTGATTTCCATTGGTCTGTTTTCAGCTATCACAATTCTCAACATTGAATCTTTTCTTTTCTTGAAGCAGAGATTATCTCGTTAGTCAGAAGTCTACGGACTTCCAAGAACTTTCTTCACTCTTCTGTGATGATTGGTTGGGTGGACATTTCATCCGTCAAATCAAAACATATCATTGCCATATCAGACCAAGAATTAACTATTCTTAATTTAAAACTTTATTTTAATATTAGTCTGACATTATTATATCCTAACCCTTACTCTTATTTAAACTAAAATTAAACCTTCATTTAATTATTAATAAACCTTGATGTATATCTTTAAAACAATTACAATACTCTAAAACAGTAGCTCAACCTTTTGACCTAAACTATCGGCCAATATCTTTTTTAGAAAAATGAATGAAAATTAAAGCTAATATGATAACATTGATTTGGTAATAATTCAGATATATAATATTTTTGCAAGGAATATCTGGATAATTTATCTTTATTCCTATGTGTAATTATCTGTGGCATTTATAAGGTTTTTATGGATTCAAACAATAAAAATGTCAATACACCCATATAGAAATGGGGGGTTATTGCCCCCTCTGTCAAAACTTTCCTGGCCAAAGATTAATTAACAGAAATTAATTTCTTTGGCTACTGTCCCAGTGAGAACATGTAGGGGGTGGCTTCAGGAGAACGGTGTAACTTGATTGGAAGGGGTGACTTCAGTAGAATTGTGCAACTTGAAGGGAAGGGGGTGGCTTCAGGAGAACGGTGTAGCTTGCGGTGAAGGGTCGCTTCAGGAGAACGGTGTAACTTGACGGGAAAGGGTCACTTCAGGAGAACGATGTAACTTGAGGGGAAGAGGTGGCTTCAGGAGAACTGTGTAACTTGAAGGGAAAGGGTGGCTTCAGGAGAACGGTGTAACTTGAAGGAAGGGGTGGCTTCAGGAAAACGGTGTAACTTGAATGGAAGGGGTGGCTTTAGGAGAACGGTGTAACTTGAGGGGATGGGTGGCTTCAGGAGAACGGTGTAGCTTACGGGGAAGGGGTGGCTTCAGGAGTACGGCATAACTTGCGGGAAAGGGGTGGCTTTAGGAGAATGGTGTAACTTGAGGGAAAGGGTGGCATCATTCATTGATCACCTGTCACAGTTTCTAATCCTTGACTTAATGTTGGACTTCACGTTGTGTTCTTGTAATAATGACACGGGGGGGGGGGGGGGGTGTTCAAAATACGCGTGTCTATAATAGTGAAACGCAGCCAATACACAATTCAGAACAATACAATACTATTGCATAAATGTACGCTATAGGCTGTAGTTTCTACTCTAGCCGCTCTGAATGTACGCTATAGGCTGTTGTCTCTAGCAACTCTAAATGACGTCTCGTAATGGTCGGCCGATGTGGAAACCCAATTTAAAGAACACACCTTTCTTTTGTTAAAAACTGTCTAGTCTTTAGGATGGGACGAAAAAATGGTGTCCCGTGTACACATTGGTGCGCACGTAAAATATCCCTTGGCAGTTGGAATTCGCTATAAGAGAATAGTAGGACGTTAACCCCCATTTTTTATTTGTTGACTGATCCTATGGGATTAACACAATATGTCCTGATGTGGAAATCGCGTAAGCATAAAAATGTTTTAATTTTTAAAACTAGATGTTTGACGTCCCTGACTGGTAAATTTACATTTGTTAATATGAAAAGCAACATGGAAGCTTTCTGGAACAAGCGCCTTGGTGTGTTGGTCAACAGCATTGTTAGGGCTAAACAACATAGATCTAATAAGAATCAAAAACATGGGACGGGGGTTAAGTAAAGTAGCACCCCATTTCCAGTCAGAGTGCCTTTAAATTTTATGTGACCTTTTTATGCCGTGGTCTCAACCCCCACTCCAAAACAATTTTAACATGCGCTCTGGGTAGTGATTTCATTCGAGATGCACCACTTGTACTGATTTTTAATGCGTGCCTTGAAGTCTATATGACCTTTTTATGCCGCGCCCACACTCCATCAACCCATCTCATCTCTTCATTTTAAATTTTACTTTCTGCAAATTGTAGACTAAATCCGCCTGTCATTCCATGCTAGGATATTTTCCAGGATTGACCGATTTTCCCCGATTGACATACACAAACATTTTTAATAAGTCAAACTTCAAGCTTCTTTAATCAAAATTCATACAATATATTAAACAAAGAATGTACAAGATATAAAAAACAAATTGATGAATTTTATAAATTTAAAATTTCATATACTTGTTAACATCTAATCAAACTGATTAAAATACACATCTATATTTCGTTTCGTTTTGTTTATACTTTCCATGGTCTACACTACATGAATATATGACCAGTTGTGGTGGGAGGTCGCGTCAGAGGTCATACAAGCGGCTTTTGACCTTATGACGTCAGGAATTGATAAATCAATCCGCGTTCTTGTTTCTAAGAGGTTTACCCAAACTTCCGTGCACCTCACGTCAAGAACTCGCCGTAACAGACCGTTTCATTGGCTAATCCCTCACATCATCCAGAACGCGGGTTTTATAACAACTCTTCAAGATCCCGGTGCACTAAACACAAGTAAAACGAAATTTTGAACTATTAAAAACGAAACGAAATAGGATCTGTGTTTCAATCAGACTGAGATGTAATGTTTTTTTGTTATTTCGATATGGTAAAAAGCAGATAATTGAATCTATGTAGTCACCAATAGAAGTACACGAATAAACCGGGCAGAAATATAATATTTATAAAACAATACCAAAGCAATCGTTACCCTCAATAGATTATACAAATGACGAACGAATAAATAATAAAAATATACAAAGTGAAATAAAATACATATTTACATCTAAAAAAAACTCCTTATTTAAAAACAAATCATACAAACAGAATATTTTTGAAGCATGCTTGCCATATCAGTTTGTTTTATATATCAAAATATATTATGCGAATGTTTATTGTCTACGTGTATATTTACCTAGAAAGCTCCATTAGATTTAAAATTAATAAATGTTGTATAGAAAACGAAAGTAGACCTCACAATTTACTTTTCATGAAGAGTGCTAATTTTAAGTTGTATTCCGTTGACAGAATGATTAATAAAAACGGAATAAATTTTGCATTTAAAACAAAAGTTGACTACTGTGTTTAATTTAATGTATTCCTTTGACAAGGGGGCCAACTCCACTGATTAAATGTTCTATATAAAACGAAAGTAGACTAGACTATTAACTTTTACCACATAATGTTAATTTAAATATGGAAACTAAAGGGGGCGTGATTTCATTAATTACTCTTATGTTTCGATATATTGTTTAAATGTCCTTATCATCATCAAAGGACTATATCTTTAAGTGTGAGTACCAACTGTTGACCTTATTATTATCAAATGAATACATCTTTAAGTGTGAGTTCTTTAAGTTAACAGGAAAAACTCCCTTCAAAAGAACCGAAAAACTGGTCTAATATTAGTTAGAATTTACTTTTGGCGCAAAACAAAATAAAGGTGGATTTTATGATCCTTACACACGAAATATTTATGCACTAAACAAAACCTAATAATTAACAGCTTTCACACAGAACACAAGTTCACACAATATAAAACATCATTTTACAGAAAACTTTACAAATTATTGAATTTCGAGATTACGACGAGGGGATGCTCGATTATCAGTCCGGAGTCTCCCGAATTACAATCGAGTGGCGTGGAATTCGGTCCTGTCACAGTTCTGACAACTGAGGTGGCGTGAGTAGAATCGCGACGTAATCAAACACAAACGAATATGTTTCGGTTGTCATGGTTGGTCGAGATATTTTCTTATGCAGTCGGGGCATGCTTTGTAGACCGAAATCCCACTTTTCACTCGATTGTCACTTTTTTAGGGGGATTTAGAGAATTCATTTCCGGAATGTTGAATCGAGTATCCCCTGAATGATTAAAGTTCATTCCGTCTTGCTGCTGAAAATTACCGATGACTAGAGTTTTTTTCTGTCTTATTGATAAATGTTCAGGGGGGTCTATTCTTGGGCCGCTCGGGGAGGTGGCGTAACACTACCATCATTCCAGGTAGATGAATTAATGTTCCGAATGTCCCCAACACCCGGCCTAAGGTAGACCTTGTCGTTGATTATTGATTAATGAACCTTAAGCAACAATTTCATATATTTTCAAATACGTTATAAAGAACTTTATAAAAGAACGGCAATAACAATTAATATCCTTGAACACTTATGGGTGTAGTTTTCTAGCTTGACACATGTCAATCAATGTCAATGGGTGTAGTTTTCTAGCTTGTCACATGTCAATCAATGTCAATGGGCGTATTGATATTGACATGGTGACATCTTTATTTATGTACAGATGCTCGCTGTCAGCCATGATAACGATTTAGTTACTTCTTATAAATTTTACAAATTATCGGAACTCTTGTATTTTCCTTTCTCAATAATTTATAACTGCCATCGATCAAGAACTGATTTTTTTTGTCCAATAAATTATTATAATTGTGTCGGTAAACCGAGTTGTTGCTGTAATTGGTAAGCTAAACACAAGTTGTCCTGCGACTGTTCTTCACACTGCATTGTGAACGGATCGAATGCTGTCGTTGCCCCCGAACAAAACTCGCGTACTAAATTACCATCGGAACACCGGTAATATCCCTGGCAGTTAAAACTATCCCAATCAGCATAACGGAACGATGATACGGTGTCGGGACATGGATAAGCTGGACATGGCGTTTGAACTGAAAAAAATATAAAAAAATATCATTGTTAAACGTCCTACTGTTCTCCACGGACTGGGATAATGAGAGAGAGAGAGAGAGAGAGAGAGAGGGGGGGGGGGAAATGGGGTTTAACGTCCACTCGACACAAACTAGGTCTTTGGCAGTGGGAGGAAACCGGAGGACCCGGAAAAAACCCGACGAGGTTGGACAGGCGACCCTACTCCTTGTCACGTTGATTCGTATGGACCAAGACAGGATAATATTGAGTTAGAGGTTTACGAGTTTGCAGTGATAAATGTGACAAAGTACTCTGTAACTTTCATCAAATTCAACGAGCATTTAGGTGCATAGAACTTATTGATCTAAGCTACTTTATATAATATATTATATTGACTTTTCAACTCTGTATACTTCTGTTAAGGCACGAACTGGCTATGATCTATCTGGAAGGTTTTATTTCTACCACACTTCCACAACAACGCGTGAATAGTCAAAGAAGTGATGATGAAACCATATCAAATATGCAAATTAGGCTTCTCCGCAGTCTACTTCGTGGACACTTAAATAGTCTCACTTCTTCAACATTTTCGTTGGGAGTAAAAATGCCACTTCTGCTTTTTCGTCATTGATTTCTGCAACACTTAGTTAAACAAAGTTGTTAACCACGCGTCGTGATCACTTTTACTTACTTGAAGTACAACTGAAGTGTGTTTGGTTATTTTAAAATGAAATGAAATGAAATGGGGTTTAACGTCCTACTGTTCTGCTCCTATACTGGGCTAATGAAGACGGCCATAAAGTGTGCTGTGAGGGAAATTTTGCCCGGGCAGCTTCACTTTCGCCTACTCTTATATCGAATTCCAACTGCCAAGGGATCTTTTACGTGCATTCCAATGTATACACGGGACCTCGGTTTTTCGTCTCATCCGAAGGACTAGACAGATGTCCTTGTCAGGCCCCCCTTTCTGCACCACTGACAAGGGGAAACCACGTCGGAAAATCGGGATGAACTTTCTCGGCCAATGCAGGGATCGAACACCCGACCTCCAGGCTAGCGATCCAGTGCCTTAACCACCTAGCCACCGTGGCTCCTTGGTTATTTTATCCTCACTTCGGTACAGGGTGTTTCACTCTTACCTTCACAGGCCTTTCCCACGTAACCTTCTGGACAGGTACAATTAAAGTTTACATCGGAACTAGCACAAACACCGCCATTTTTACAGGGAGCACTTCCACATGGATCTTTGGCTAAAACACAAACAGTAAGATTTTATTCATAACTCTTTAAAATAAAATAAAATCGAATAGTTCTAAATATCCCTGATGATAATTTGTTGTTTAAAAGAGGTTTTAATTGTGAGTGGAGCTCGGTTTCTCTCAGAACCCTGTAAAACGTTTTCAAATAGATAGGCCTTCAAACGAGCTTCGTGACCACCAATCACCTCGTTTTGAGATAAACTTGTCCATAACGTCGACGTGTGCGCAGTTAACAACTCCCGGCATTACATCTGGTTATTGTAAAGGCATCGAATAGTCACGTTTCTCAGGTCGGCCAATAGTCTCGAACACCCAGAACACCGTTTTTAAACGTACGGAGCTATATTTAACTGAATGGTGGCGACTAGTCATCCATTGGAAATTAGGAGGCGAGCGCTCACAATATTTTGAACTGAAAATGTGTTCACATTACGTCTTTGGTATGCACAAATAAACGAGCTTTTGTCAGAGGAATCAATGAAAACTAGGATTTCTCATTCATAATTAGTATTTTAGAAAAAAAGTATATATGTTGTAATAAAATAAAATGAAAAATATAATGTGGGATTAAGAGAAATGAACATAGTATTGTACTCACGTTCTACAGCACTCTAACATATACAACCTACCATAGTCACGATTGACAATATTACAGATAATAAAACAAAATATATCGTCACATATTCCGATACACGGCGGTCTTCGCGTGATTATATACAACATTCAATAATCAGATTGTCACATTTTCCAATACAGAAGGAAGTTGACAATATTACGCTCGACGTACAACGGTCAGATTGTCACATAGTCCAATACACGTGAGATTTGACATTTTTACATAAAACGTACAATGGTCAGTTTGTCACACTTTCCAATACACGTGACGTGAGATTTGACAATATTACGCTCGACGTAAAACGGTCAGATTGTCACATATTCCAATACACGTGAGATCATTTGACAAAATTAAATTTGACGTACTATGGTCAGATTAACACAGAAATATGGAAGACCAAACAGCTCTTTATTCCATGTTCTTAGTCCGTATTTCTTAATTCATAGTCCTTAATTCTTATTTCTTCATTTGTTGTCGTATTTGGACATGTGTACACTAAAATTAACATTTGTATCTTAAAATCAATATTTGTTTTACAAATCAGTCATTTGTCATATCAGATTTGTAAAATGTATTTTAATTGTATTTCAATATAAATTTATTTTAGTAAATCAAAAAATAATCTACATTTACATTTCAAATCTCGAACAACAAATTTACAAATACAAATCTTGCAAAACATTTCTCCAAAAACATTTCTTCAATAACATGTTTGGTCTTCCATACAGAAAGGCGTTGGCAATAATTTTAAGATAACAAAGTGTCGTACAATATAAAACAAACTGTAAATCCATGGGAAATGTCTTTATTCTTTGATAAATGAATCCATACAAAAATATATCTGTTATTATGAAATCCTAAAATATTTGAATATTATGCTTATAAAACCATTGGCAACAAGGGCAAGATATAGACAAATAAATTAATATTATTACTGTGAAGTTTAACAGTTTATCGGGGAAGTTTTTGGTATTATTCCAATACGCAGAAATTATTTCTATGGTTACATTTGAAAGAATAAGTTCTTATTTATATACGAGAAAATTAACATATAACTACTAAGAGCTATGGATTATCCCGTAAAGTTGTTGGCTTGATACACAACGCATAGATTTTGAGCCTGGGTTGCAGAATTACCTGCTACACATAAAGCTAGGAATGGATCGAAGAGTTGACCATTTGGGCAAGACCTATTACGGAGATTTCCACGTGCACATTCGTAGTATGAATTACAACTGTTGTCATTCCAATTTGGGAATCTGTACAGGGTAACATCGTCTGGACACGGGAATGCTTCACAAGGAACTGTAATACAATACAATGGTATACTGTAATATATTGAGTGAGAGAGAGAGAGAGAGAGAGAGAGGGGGGGGGGGGGGTCCCTACTTTGTCCGAAACCACGCCGTCTGAGTCAATGACAGACCTTGTGATCTTAAACCGACGCTTTAGACGACCCCCCCCCCCCCCGCTCCCCAACGATGACAGACAAGTACTACTAGATCTGGGGTGTATATAAACGTAAGATGCTTCTACACGAATACAGAATACATATTATAATTAGATATTTCCTATAGATGGAGGTCACCTTTCATTATATTCAGACTACGTGTTACAATGGTCGACTGTGCGCTGCCGGGGCAGAATCGTTTACATGTACTACAGCTTTGTAAAATAATAAATAAGCAGTTGAGCAATACGGTTAATGTTATATAAAACCAAAAGCTTTAAGAACTATGTGAAAGATGGAAAGTACGGTAGCTTAATATTTAGGTGAAATGGAATGGGGTTTAACGCCCTACTGTTCGGCTCCGACTGGGCTAATGACGACGGGCATACGCCATACAGATGAGTGTGCTATGAGAGAAATTTTGCCCGGGGCAGCGGCATTATGGCCTACTCTTATATCGAATTCCAACTGCCAGGGGATCCCGTGTACACACTGGCGTGCACATAAAAGATCCCTTGGCAGTTGGAATTCGATATAAGAGTAGGCCGTAGCGCCGCAAAATTTCCCTCATAGTACACTGTATGGCGTATGCCCGTCGTCATTTGCCAACCGGAGCCGAACAGTAAGACGTTAAACCCCATTTCGTTTCATTTATATCATTATGTGTTACCTGTGGTTTGACAGAATATACCAGTAAATCCCAGAGGACAGCTACAAGAATATCCTATACCTGATGGATTGTTTACTACACAGGTAGCACCGTTAGTACACTGGTTATCAAAACATGGATCTGAAACTAAATAAACGCACAGCTCATCAATAACTTAATATGTCAAAATATTAGAGTCTGGCTGATTGGGTCTAGTTTTGTTTTCCTGAGTTTTATGCCGAGTATAAAATACTAAAGAACAATTTTAAATGTGAAGATCAATGTCGCTTTGACCCAGGAACTGACACCCCAAGAGCTAACCATCTTATTATTCTTGGAATGATGCACTTCGACATGGCGTCCATGACGTCATGCTCGATCCCATTACTAGTTTTTTTTATCTTGTCCACAGAATGTGTTAGCCGTGTGAAAACCCGACTAAGAGAGAGAGAGAGAGAGAGAGAGAGAGAGAGAGAGAGGGGCGGGCGAGAGAGAGAGAGAGAGAGAGAGAGAGAGAGACTAACATATTGTTCAATTTTATTTCAGTAATTCGACCCAGAAAACCCATGGGGTTGGACAGGCGACCCCACACCGCGCCATTTGCCTCAATGACAGACCTTGTGATACAACGCACACGCGCTAACCATTAAACCATCCAAATGAGAAGTGGCATGAGATGGTGATATAGAAAGAGTAAGCATATGGCAACATTCACTGCTCGTAGGCAAATTTGCATATACGCATTTATGTCTCTATCTCACTATATAACTCTGGCCTCTCTCTCTCTCCCTCTCTCTCTCACAAACTCTCTCTCTCTCTCTCTCTCTCTCTCTCTCGATAGAGTTTTACATAGTCTCACCTGTACCACAGCGGAGACCTGAATAACCAGTTGGACAATTACATTCAAAAGTTGTTGTGTTGACATTCACACATATGCCCCCATTCAAACACTGGTTCGTTGAACATGGCAAATTAACTATAAAAAATAAGTCAACAATTGAAGCAGACACATTGACCATATTTTAACTTATATAGAGTAACAAATGAAATACAAACGGATTAAAATACAGATCTATATTTCGTTTCGTTTTTTATACTTTAGATGGCGTCCACTGACCGGTTGTAGTGGAAAGTCGAGCCAGGGATCATACGAGCTGCTTTTAACCTTATGACGTCAGACATTTGATTAACCAATCAGCGTTGATGTTTCAAGTGGGTTACCGACTGTTGCGTTCACCCCACGCCCAAAACTCGCCGTAACTAGAGAATGGGCTTCTCTAGTCATTATCAATTTTCATTATCCCGGGCAGTGAATTAAAGTATGCAGCTAAACCCAATTGTTAAGAATACGTACAGGTTTCACATCTTGTACCAGAGAAACCGAGAGAACAGATACACTGGGCAGTACCAAAAGCTGTCAACTGGCAGTTTCCACCATTCTGACATGGATTATTGGTACAAGCTGTTGTTAAAGCTGTATAAATAAACCAATATATAAATAAACAATAAAAGATAGCCATGCGCCATACAATAGAGATGTCACAACAATCGCTAATCCGAAAGAAAACATGGATGTTATCCAAATTTGGTAAAGCATACGAATTTACATACTCCTCGCAGTGTTCCGTTTGATTAGACCTAATCCCACTTAGCACTGCTGTAAAGGAAGCAAATTTCTGTTTCAAAATTATGAATGGTCAATAGTCCGATTAACAACCAATAGCTAACTGCGTAACAATATGATTACGCTTTAAACGGAGCTCCAAATTGGACCAAATGTGTTTACATAACGTTACGTCGTGGCAACCGTTAAAAGCTTTGATCGCGTGTAGAGGGTTTTCGGAAACAGGTTGGGAGTGGGGGTGGGGGTGGGGGGGGGGGGGGAGGATGGTACAGATAACTCCCTTAAAACTATAATATAGCCGTTTTCGAGTTTACCAAGATTTTGTCAAAGGGGGGTAACTCCAGAATGGAAAGATGGAGAACGTTGAATATTGCTAGAGTTCATTCTCTCATGACCCTAATGTTTTCCACTAAATTTGAAAAAAAAAATCCGTTAAAAACTGTAACCTCCCTCGCTTTCACAAGGTTTTTGACAAAGGGGAAATAACTCCGGATTGCTGAAAATAGGGCTTATGCACTCAAAACCCCAATGCTTCCCACCAAATTTGACAAAATATCCCTTCAAAACTACAGCCCCTATTGCGTTCAAAATGTTGTCTGTAAGGGGGATAGCTCATGAACGAAATGCGCGCAAACTTGAAAATAAATAGGGTTCATCCTTCTATGATCCCAATATTTCCCACCAAATTTGAAAACACCCGTAAAAGACTACAGTGTCTATCGTGTTCACAAGGTTTCGGCAAAGGCGGAATAACGCCGGAACGGAAAGTTGTGGACCACATTGCTTCACATCATGAAACACGTTAAAAACTGTAGCTTCTATCGCATTCAAAAGCCAATCGAAAGAGTGTCGGTATAACACCCCTACATTGACACGCAATAAAATTCTTGGTATGCATTATTGGTGTTTACGGTATTATAAGGAACGATATTATAAAAGTGAAATTCAACATGTGAGTTGTCTTACCTGTGCCACAGTTTACACCTGTAAAACCAGCTTGACAATCACATCGATATGTTGTAGAGCTGGTATCTACACATGTACCACCATTAAAACACAGGTTCGTGTTCGTTGTACACCGCGTGTTACCTATAAAATAACATTTAAAAATAGAGAGAGAGAGAGGGTGAGAGAGAGAGAGAGAGAGAGAGAGAGAGAGTTAATGTCCACTCGACACAAACTAGGTCATATGGTTCAATTTCATTTCAGTAATTCGCTTGCGCGCATGGGTCTTTAGCAGTGGGGGGAAACCGGAGGACCAGGAGAAAACCCTCGTACAACCGGGGAATCGAAACCACGCCATGACAGACCTTATGATTCAACGCGCACGCGCTAACCATTCGGCCATCCAACCCGCCATTAACAATCCGACATATTTCAATTGATGGATTATAAAACGTAGAAAGAGAAGTCATACCACGGTACTATGGACCAGGAATTGACCATGACGTCAGTGAAGCCATCGAAGCACAATTGCACGTTTCATGTCCTTTTTTTTTAAATTACGTCGCCCCAGGACCAACAGGAAGAAAACGCTGACTGCAAACATCTTTGGTCTGTAGTACTCTGTACAGACATCGGCTTATTAGTCTCCAAAACTCTATGGTACAGATTCTTAGTCTCCGATTGTATGACGTTACGAATTGTTTACGTATGGTGGCCTCATCAAAAGCTTAGACAAACCATAGGGAGCCACGGTGGACCTGCGAGTAAGGCGCTTGGCTCGCTAAGCAGGGATCAAAGGGAGCCACGGTGGACCTGCGAGTAAGGCGCTTGGCTCGCTAAGCAGGGGTCGATCGCATTATTTGTCGAGAAAGAACATCGGGATTCGTCATCGTGGTTTTCCTTCCGAGATGTGCAGTGTCTAGTCGTTCGGATAGGACCAAAAACTAAGGTACCACGTACACGTTAAAACGTGTAAGCAAAAGAAGTCTTGAAATAAGAGCAGGCCAAAAAGACGCTGTTCCTGTATGACGTAAGCGCGTCTAAGCAGTACAGAAAAGAAGAACGTGAACCACAATTTCATCTGATATTTAAGAATACGTACGGATTTCACATCTAGTACCAGAGTAACCGAGAGGACAGGTACACTGGGCAGTACCAAAACTTGTCAACTGGCAGTTTCCACCATTCTGACATGGATTGTTGGTACATGCTGTTGTTATTGCTGTATAAATATATAAATAAATAAATAAACAATAAGATAGCCACACATTGCTTCAAGAATCGTCAAAACCTCGCGTTCTCAAGCCAATCTATCAAAAACTGTTTTCGACAAAGGGTGAAAACTCCGGAACGTAAAGCAGTGGAAAGCTACAAATCGCTGTGATTCGTCTTCTCATGGATGGCCACAATGCTAACAACCATATTTAAAGACCAAAGGTTGCCAGGCAACATACGCCCACATTTAGCAAAAGATAGAGAACAAGCTAAAAAAAACCCCACAAAAAACGCGAATTTTCGTACAACCAGGGTCCATAATCCAGGCAGTTATAGTCTGAAATGTATGAATATTGAAAGGGACTGAGTTCTTTGGGATATAAACATATATGTTACGTTTCTTCAAAATGGGACAAAAATTGTGACTTCTCTAGAGGGTCTACAACCTTCGTATTACATACAACAACCATAGTCAGAGAAGCATAACTTACGGATATTACAGAGAGTTCCACTAAATCCTGCTGTACACACACAACCAAATCCTGGGTTTGTTTCAATACATTGGGCGCCATTAGCGCATGGGTTGTTGAAGCAAGCAGAAGCTTAAAAAATAAAAAAATAAAAAAAAAACGTGCAGTTACAATGTTGCACTTTACTAATACACATACAGTCCGGTAGATATATGGCCGAACCTGGAAATTGTACACACAGTTTTTTTATGATTGATTTTAGTAGCCTATGGTGTCATCTTTCAGAATCCGCCATGTGAACCTCGATCACGCTTGAGCGTTTTGAGAAATTCAAGATGGCGTCCACGACAGCCGCCAGTTGAAATAATCCCCTATAACTCCCATAGTATTTAGTCTAGGTTCACTAGATATATTGGGTTTGGCGACCGGACTGATGCATTAGTATACAGAGACACCTATGTAGCAGCAGTAGTATTGCGGTATATTAACGAACTGGAACACATTATACTAGTGTTTACTGAGGCACGTGGTACACAAAGATCTCGACAGGGTGCATCCACTCATGATCATACATTTTACAGTAGATGTTGAAATATTCCGTTAAAAAATACAGTCCCTATTGCGTTCACAAGGTTGTGAACTCGATGGAACGCTCCATATCAATAGGTATTGTCCCCGCGTGGCCACAATGCTTCCTACCAAATTTGAAAAGAATTCGTTGAAAAGTGTAGCCTCTATCGTGTACACCAGTCAACTATTTGTTAAACACTGTAGTTTATATCGCTTTCACACGGTTTTCGACAGTCGACAGCGCCCTCTCGTAACAATGATGCACACCCAATCTGAAAAAAATCGGTCCAAAACTATTCCGTTTACAGGGTTTTCGACAAAGCGGCGATAACTACAGAACAGAGCTTCAGTTGGAGTCAAAAGCCAATTGTTGCCGACTATCCAAAGGAAAGTGTTACAATATAATACTCCTATAAAATTTAATGTTCTATTTATCTATGTGAATATCCGAAATTAGAAGTTCTCTTACCTGTGCCACAGTTCACGCCTGTATATCCAGTTGGACAATTACATTGATAAGTTGTAAAGCTGGTATCTACACATGTCCCACCATTCAAACACAGGTTCGTGTTCGTTGTACACAGCAGTTCACCTATAAAATTACAGTCAAAAAATGAAGTAAACAGATCGGCCAAAGAGTGAAACTTTATTGTCAACTAGATGCCTCAGACAAAATGTTTTAATTCATAGTCAATTCAGTACGAATTCGCGGTACTCAATAAACTATGGCGACTGATTGGTATCATGTCATAAGGCGACAACCCGACATCACGACATTTTAACCCGACATCACTACAACTCATGATGTCGTAATGGAGAGTGGGTCTAGAGGCTTCTATATGTTCTCCGATCCAAATTCTGTGAATAAATATTGATTGTTAAAAAGAAAACATGTCGTGTAAAAGTGTCGTATTGTCAGGATGTCGGGTTAAACGTTCGTGATGTCGTGGTGACGGGTTGTCGGCCGTTTTCCCCTCAGTACACTGATGTGTTTAAGAAAGATCCCTGGGATTTTGCAGGGTGATTTCTCCCTGTCGATAGTACAAGACGAAGGGGTTGGAAAAGAACAGTGCCTAGTTGTGTAGATAGGACAAAAACACAAGCGCCATGTGTGCACATACAAGAGCCCCTCACAGTTGGAATCCGATGAAGAAATGCCACGGTACATCGAAAATTCCCGTCATATCTTCAATAGTCCGAATGGTGCTGAAAAGTAGAAAAATGAAATGAAATGAAATGGGATTTAACGTCCCACTGTTCTACTTTCGGAGCCACGGTGGGTTCGGTCTTGGCGTTGGCCGAGATAATTTTTCGGATTTTTCGATGTGGTTTCCCCTTATTAGGGTTGGGGGAAGGAGGGTCTGTCACAAGGGTAGCTCTCTAGTCGTTCGGATAGGACGAAAAAACGAGGTTCTGTGTACCCATTAGCGTGCACGTAAATATCCCTTGATAGTTGGAATTCGATATAACAGTAGGACCCTAGCGCCGCTGTCTAGGTACAATTTCCCTCATAGCACACTGTATGGCGTATGCCCGTCTTCATTAGCCCAGTCGGAGCAGAACAGTAGGACGTTAAACCCCATTTCATTCTGCTCTGACTGAGCTAATAACATACGAACATACGCTATACTTTGAGGGAAACTTTGTGAAATCCTTATCGTGCTGCAGACAACGTGCATTAAATAAACCTTTTACTCACGTGTTTCACAGTTGGTTCCTGTATATCCAGACGTACAGGTGCATTGGTAACTTGTAAAACTCGTATCTCGACAAATTCCTCCGTTTCGGCACGGGCTATTTGTGCAGGGTAAAACTTGAACTGAAGGTGGAAAAAAATAACTGAAAATATAAACTATTTCTCAACCAATAATTAATCCGTCGAGATGGTGATACGTGCATTTTTGTGTCCCCTTAATTTCTTGGACGAAAAACAAGGGCTCCGTATAAACATTGGCGTGGAGGTAAAAGCACCCATTGCTGTTGTACTGCGATATAAGAATAGGCCGTCTCGCCGTTGTCCGGGAAATATTGCCCTCATAGCACAGTGTATAGTATATGTCTGTATCCATTCTACCAGTCGGGGCAGAACAGTTGGACGTTAAACCTTATCTGATTCTCATTTTCATCATTTAATAGGCAGAAACTGATTACCTGTTTCACAGTTAGTTCCGGTATAACCAGCTGTACAGGAACATGTATAAGTAAGCGTACCGGTATTGGTGCAGGTTCCACGGTTTCCGCAAGGTGAAGTGGAGCACGGTTCAACCCCTGCATCGACAAAAAGTGAGAAATTAGTTATAAAATACACTTGACACAAAGTAGGTTATTTCGGGACTAACATATGGTCCAATTTTCTTTCAATTGTGGGTAGGGTGGACCGGAGGACACGGCAAAATTATCCTCATAGCACAATGTATGGCGTAAGCCTGTCGTCATTAGCCCAGTAGCAGCAGACCAGTAGGCCGTTAAACCCCCATTTCATTTCACTTCATTTCTTGCGCAACGTACTCAAAAAAGCTTAAGACTCAGCCAACTCATTTTACGATCGATTTTACACTTCGCATGCGCGTTCCTTAGCCAATTGCGAATTGATTGGCAGACGTCATAATTCCCTGATAACTATGATGACGTCATTCTTTTAAAGTCCAAACATTCAAAACTTTTAACTTTCAGTCAAAGATCGTTTAGTTACCAGACACACGTGATTTATGGAATAAGTTCCCATATGACATCCGGTCCTGTAATAATGTTAATACCTTTAAGAAAAAAACTAAAACCCCATCTATTTCTCCATATATATATATTGATTTGTTATTATTCAATCTTGTGAGTATTTTTAATTATTAGTATTGTTTTGTTTAATATTTATGATTTCATAATTCGATAATTGTTCCATTGTAAAGCACCCCTGAACAGTATATGTGAAGGGATGGGAGGGGGCTATAACAATAACCAATATTTGTAATAATAATAATAACAATAATAGAATCCCCAATCCCTGATCCATATTCCTGTGGAGCATGTTTTCATTGAACCTTATATTTCATTTTTTTTTCACTAAGCCTAATACATCATTTGTTTCGATGAACCTAATATTTCATTTTTTTTTTCAATAAACCTAATATATCATTTGTTTCGATGAACCTAATATTTCTTTTTTTTTTCACTAAGCCTAATACATCATTTGTTTCGATGAACCTAATATTTCATTTTTTTTTTTCAATAAACCTAATATATCATTTGTTTCGATGAACCTAATATTTCATTTTTTTTTTCACTAAGCCTAATACATCATTTGTTTCGATGAACCTAATATTTCATTTTTTTTTTCAATAAACCTAATATATCATTTGTTTCGATGAACCTAATATTTGTTGTTTTTTTTTTTAATTTACTTATGATTAAAATGTTTTATAAATGGGGTAGGTTGGGGCTTATATATTTAAGGGGGCGTATCTTCGCGGGTACTTGATCAATCTACAGCATACTATTGGAAGTGAACTGGGAACTATTGACGACATGGTAACTCCCTTATGTATTCCTATTGCAAGTGCCCCCCCCCCACACACACACACCTTTGGGTAAAAAAAATTAAAACCAAAAAAAAGCTTTACATCTTTAAGTTTTGTATGCCTATTACATACTTAAATTCACCGACCGTAAAGACCTACATATTATAATATTATTGGTTGTTAGCTAATATGGAAATACACTGAATTAAATTTAAATCAATATTTAGCTTACTAGTATCACATCTTTGTCCAGTGTATCCTGTGCTAGTACAGTCGCAGTTGAAGGTTGAGGTTCCTGAATCGCTACACACTCCATTATTAAAACATGGCGATGAATCACATCCGGTAGTACCTGAAATAATATATATAAATATATGAGAGAGAGGGAGAGAGAACGAGAGAGGGAGAGAGAACGCGAGAGAGAGAGATCGTTGATTTGGTAATCGTTATTAGCTTGTAAATAAATCTCATACTGGCTATTTATTTTATCTGCGGACTATTGGTTTATGTAAGCAAGTACAGTCAGGTGTCTCACATTATGTATGGCTCCCTTGTTCCTACCCAGTGTACCGCACACCTCCACAGTTAGTCTAGCCTGATAGTGGATGTTTGATGTCCACAACATGATCCAACTGTGCACATATACCTAACAAAAGCTACAGTGATATTAAGCTAAGTTAAGTTTGTTAGTTTGCGCCAGATAAAATTGCTAGAAATCCTCAATATGTTAAACTTAAAGATGGATTATGTAAGATTTAAATCTGGCTGGTGCAGATCTTTCGTTTGGCCTCTAATGTTACATAAATCTTTACTTTCGACATTTATTCACATGACAAGTCCAAAAACAATTCTAAATTTATCTGGTGGTTTTGATTTTAAACGGATTTAAAACGGCTGTCAGTTAATAATTCAATTAAAACTTGAATAATATAGACTTTGCTTATTATCTGAACAACGGTAGCAATGACAACCAAGACTACATTATTCTTCAAAGGAACATAACTCTGTTCAGAATGAAGAAATGTCACTGAAATTTCCAATGTAATCTCTGTTTAATTTCCATCATCTATTTCTGAACTATTATTGCGAGAACTGTTAGTTCTTTATCGAAATCTTACATAACGCATCTTTTGTAGCGGATGTAAATAGCAGATTATTATGAAGACCTACTTAATTGGCACAGGAAGCCGCTATAACCGAAAGGACAAGTACAGGTGTAGCCATTGGTACTGATATTTGGCACACATGTGGCACCATTCTGGCAAAAGTTATTCGTACATGGTGAAGCTGTAAAATATAAACATGAACTTTAGAACACCATGATATAAATATTGGGATGATACGCAAACCTGAAAATTAAAAGGAGCTATGTTTTCTATTTCACTGGGCAGGACTCTCTTAAACGATGTCTCTCATTCCTTGATGAGTTGCGCCCCTTCCCGCAATATATCCCATAATTCTTGCATTAATATAAACAAACATCAATCGTGACGACGAATTAGAATTAATTTTAAAAACATAGATATGGAAATTTTACAATAAAAAAATTAAGAGTGTTGGATATTGAACTGGCATGCAATCAAATGGACTATTTGAAATGGCATTCTTAAATTAATTTCATGGGCTTCAACATCTTGTTTTAGGACTAGTTACCTACCTCCCTTAGACGCTGTTTATGATAATGTAAAAGACGGGATAATCTAGCCAATGGCCTATTATTCTCAAATGTTGACTAATATTCGTAGGGGTATTTAGCAGTGGGAGGAAACCGGAGGACCCGGAGAAAACCACGCGGTTGGGCAGGCGACCCTACTCCTTGTCACGTACAACCGGGGAGGCGAAACCAGGCCAGTTGCCTCAATGACAGACCTTATGATACAGCGCGCGCACGCTCTAATCATAAAGCGCCTAGTACAAAAACCAAAATATTATCCTATTGGATACAGTACAGAATATTTTAGCTGAATCATAACCAGCACGGCGTGGCACGGTGCTTACAGTAAATCTTTAATTCAACATTTATAACTGTTCAAGAAGGGGAATAATTTCAAACTTACTAGAACCACAAAACGTTCCCGAATACCCCGCATCGCATGTGCAGCCATATCCTAAACTGGATGTACTAGATGGAAAGCATGTGGCGCCATTTTGACACTGATTGTTGTTGCATGGATCACCTGAAAGGAACACAATAGTTAAGCACATGCTACTCATTAATTAACAGATAAAACTGACAATCGCTTTGCACCTGTACATAATATATATTGTATTGAGCTATTTCAAAATCAGTATTATTCGGTTAGCGCTATCGCTATGCGCATGTGCATAATATAAATATATTGTATAGCTATTTCTAAATCGCTTCCACCTTGCTTTACATAAGTTCAGTACATAATATATATTGTGTTGAGCTATTTCAAAATCAGTACTACTCGGTTAGCGCTATCGCTATGCGCACGTACATGATATAAATATATTGTATAGCTATTTCTAAATCGCTTCCACCTTGCTTTACATAAGCAAATCTCGTAAAACATTGAAAAAATGTTATCTTTATCAATAATAATGTTTTTTGTAAAATTTAAATTCAGGGTTTATGACGTGTTAAAGTAGAACTAATTCCAAACTTACTAGTACTACAAAACGTTCCTGAATAGCCTACATCGCATGCGCAGCCATATCCGAAACCGGATGTACTAGATGGAAAGCATGTGGCGCCATTTTGACACTGATTGTTGTTGCATGGATCACCTGAAAGGAACACAATAGTTAAGCACGCGCTACACATGTACACACCTGTACATAATATATATTGTGTTGAGTTATTTCAAAATCAGTACTACTCGGTAAGCGCTATCGCTATGCGCATGTGCACAATATAAATCGCATTACACCTGTACATAATATATATTGTGTTGAGCTATTTTAAAATCAGTACTACTCGGTTAACGCTATCGCTTTGCGCATGTGCACAATATAAATATATTGTATAGCTATTTCTAAATCGCTTCCACCTTGCTTTACATAAGTTCAGTGTATAATGCTTGATTTAAAAAAAAGATATCCATTAGTTCATGATAAAAAAAATCTCGTAAAATATTGAAAAAATGTTATAATCATCAATAATAATGTTGTTTTTTTTTGTAAAATTTAAATTTAGCGTTTATGGCGTGTTAAATTAGGTGAACTAATTTCAAACTTACTAATACTACAAAACGTTCCTGAATACCCTACATCGCATGAGCAGCCATATCCGAAACTGGATGTACTAGATGGAAAGCATGTGGCGCCATTTTGACATTGATTGCTACTGCATGGATCACCTGAAAGCATTAAAATAGTTAAGCACGTGATGCTCATATCTGATCCACCCGCTCAGCGCCATCTGCGTTTGCACGGGATAAGGTATAGCTCAGGTGGGACGAAACACAGAGGTTCCGTGCAGCCATTCGCGTGCACTTAAATGTCCGTCGTAGTGCGCTGTCTGGGTAGAATTTCCCTCATAGCACAGTGTATGGCGTATTCCCATATCTATCGGAGCAGAAAATTTCATTTCATAATCAGAGCAGTTAAACTGAAAGCTATTCAGTGTACAATATATGCTGAAGAGATTGTTATATACAGTGTTGCTGCATGGAGCACCTGTAAGCAATAAAATACTTGACCAAGTCATACTCATTAACAAACATATAAAACTGACTATCATAATATATATATTCGTTGAGCTATTTCAAAATCGTTCCACTAAAATAGCGCTTCCATTATTCACAAATATATATTTGGAAATCGGTTCCACTCGCTTGCATCGACGCTTAGCTTGGGCATACTGCCAAAAGCAGTCATATACATTAGTGCAGTAATATGTCGCCTCGTTTTAATATTGATTTGTTGCACAGAGATCACATAAAAAAAATGTTGTGCTGTTGTATTTAACCCATAGGTTATTTAGGGTAAGTTTTGCTTATTACAATACAGATAGGGCCCTTTCGCAGACATGTGGGGAAACGTTTGTTAATATTAAGTATCGTAGCTATGTATCGAGAAACAATCGTTTAACAGCAATAATCTCAAGACTAAAAAACGAAATTTCACTGTACATGTTACACATCCCGCCCTCATGGTAACTGGAGAATTTATTTAATCTAATTTAAACGACTTGTATATTACTAGTCAATACGGAGTAATTTACATAACATCGGTTTCTAATGCTTGATCAAAAGATATCCATTCCTTCATTAGTAACAGATCTCGTAAAACATTGAAAAAAATGTTATCTTTATCAATAATAATGTTTTTTTGTAAAATTTAAATTCAGCGTTTATGACGTGTTAAAGTAGAACTAATTCCAAACTTACTAGTACTACAAAACGTTCCTGAATAGCCTACATCGCATGCGCAGCCATATCCGAAACCGGATGTACTAGATGGAAAGCATGTGGCGCCATTTTGACACTGATTGTTGTTGCATGGATCACCTGAAAGGAACACAATAGTTAAGCACGCGCTACACATTAATTAACATATAAAACTGACAATCGCATTACACCTGTACATAATATATATTGTGTTGAGTTATTTTAAAATCAGTACTACTCGGTTAGCGCTATCGCTATGCGGATGTGCACAATATAAATATATTGTGTAGCTATTTCTAAATCGCTTCCACCTTGCTTTACATAAGTTCAGTGTATAATGCTTGATTTAAAAAAAAGATATCCATTAGTTCATGATAAAAAAAATCTCGTAAAATATTGAAAAAATGTTATAATCATCAATAATAATGATGGTTTTTTTTGTAAAATTTAAATTTAGCGTTTATGGCGTGTTAAATTAGGTGAACTAATTTCAAACTTACTAATACTACAAAACGTTCCTGAATACCCTACATCGCATGAGCAGCCATATCCAAAACTGGATGTACTAGATGGAAAGCATGTGGCGCCATTTTGACATTGATTGCTACTGCATGGATCACCTGAAAGCATTAAAATAGTTAAGCACGTGATGCTCATATCTGATCCACCCGCTCAGCGCCATCTGCGTTTGCACGGGATAAGGTATAGCTCAGGTGGGACGAAACACAGAGGTTCCGTGCAGCCATACGCGTGCACTTAAAAGTCCGTCGTAGTGCGCTGTCTGGGTAGAATTTCCCTCATAGCACAGTGTATGGCGTATTCCCATCTCTATCGGAGCAGAAAATTTCATTTCATAATCAGAGCAGTTAAACTGAAAGCTATTCAGTGTACAATATATGCTGAAGAGATTGTTATATACAGTGTTGCTGCATGGAGCACCTGTAAGCAATAAAATACTTGACCAAGTCATACTCATTAACAAACATATAAAACTGACTATCATAATATATATATTCGTTGAGCTATTTCAAAATCGTTCCACTAAAATAGCGCTTCCATTATTCACAAATATATATTTGGAAATCGGTTCCACTCGCTTGCATCGACGCTTAGCTTGGGCATACTGCCAAAAGCAGTCATATACATTAGTGCAGTAATATGTCGCCTCGTTTTAATATTGATTTGTTGCACAGAGATCACATAAAAAAAATGTTGTGCTGTTGTATTTAACCCATAGGTTATTTAGGGTAAGTTTTGCTTATTACAATACAGATAGGGCCCTTTCGCAGACATGTGGGGAAACGTTTGTTAATATTAAGTATCGTAGCTATGTATCGAGAAACAATCGTTTAACAGCAATAATCTCAAGACTAAAAAACGAAATTTCACTGTACATGTTACACATCCCGCCCTCATGGTAACTGGAGAATTTATTTAATCTAATTTAAACGACTTGTATATTACTAGTCAATACGGAGTAATTTACATAACATCGGTTTCTAATGCTTGATCAAAAGATATCCATTCCTTCATTAGTAACAGATCTCGTAAAACATTGAAAAAAATGTTATCTTTATCAATAATAATGTTTTTTTGTAAAATTTAAATTCAGCGTTTATGACGTGTTAAAGTAGAACTAATTCCAAACTTACTAGTACTACAAAACGTTCCTGAATAGCCTACATCGCATGCGCAGCCATATCCGAAACCGGATGTACTAGATGGAAAGCATGTGGCGCCATTTTGACACTGATTGTTGTTGCATGGATCACCTGAAAGGAACACAATAGTTAAGCACGCGCTACACATTAATTAACATATAAAACTGACAATCGCATTACACCTGTACATAATATATATTGTGTTGAGTTATTTTAAAATCAGTACTACTCGGTTAGCGCTATCGATATGCGGATGTGCACAATATAAATATATTGTGTAGCTATTTCTAAATCGCTTCCACCTTGCTTTACATAAGTTCAGTGTATAATGCTTGATTTAAAAAAAAGATATCCATTAGTTCATGATAAAAAAAATCTCGTAAAATATTGAAAAAATGTTATAATCATCAATAATAATGATGGTTTTTTTTTGTAAAATTTAAATTTAGCGTTTATGACGTGTTAAATTAGGTGAACTAATTTCAAACTTACTAATACTACAAAACGTTCCTGAATACCCTACATCGCATGAGCAGCCATATCCGAAACTGGATGTACTAGATGGAAAGCATGTGGCGCCATTTTGACATTGATTTCTACTGCATGGATCACCTGAAAGCATTAAAATAGTTAAGCACGTGATGCTCATATCTGATCCACCCGCTCAGCGCCATCTGCGTTTGCCAAAAAGGTTAACCAAGATTCTACGGCGTGGTTCCTCCGTGTCAGAGGTGGGGGGCTGGCACGGGATAAGGTATAGCTTAGGTGGGACGAAACACAGAGGTTCCGTACAGCCATTCGCGTGCACTTAAGAGTCCGTCGTAGTGCGCTGTCTGGGTAGAATTTCCCTCATAGCACAGTGTATGGCGTATTCCCATCTCTATCGGAGCAGAAAATTTCATTTCATAATCAGAGCAGTTAAACTGAAAGCTTTTCAGTGTACAATATATGCTGAAGAGATTGTTATATACAGTGTTGCTGCATGGAGCACCTGTAAGCAATAAAATACTTGACCAAGTCATACTCATTAACAAACATATAAAACTGACTATCATAATATATATATTCGTTGGGCTATTTCAAAATCGTTCCACTAAAATAGCGCTTCCATTATTCACAAATATATATTTGGAAATCGGTTCCACTCGCTTGCATCGACGCTTAGCTTGGGCATACTGCCAAAAGCAGTCATATACATTAGTGCAGTAATATGTCGCCTCGTTTTAATATTGATTTGTTGCACAGAGATCACCTAAAAACATGTTGTGCTGTTGTATTTAACCCATAGGTTATTTAGGGTAAGTTTTGCTTATTACAATACAGATAGGGCCTTTTCGCAGACATGTGGGGAAACGTTTGTTAATATTAAGTATCGTAGCTATGTATCGAGAAACAATCGTTTAACAGCAATAATCTCAAGACTAAAAAACGAAATTTCACTGTACATGTTACACATCCCGCCCTCATGGTAACTGGAGAATTTATTTAATCTAATTCAAACGACTTGTATATTACTAGTCAATACGGAATAATTTACATAACATCGGTTTCTAATGCTTGATCAAAAGATATCCATTCCTTCATTAGTAACAGATCTCGTAAAACATTGAAAAAATGTTACCTTTATCAATAATAATGTTTTTTTGTAAAATTTAAATTCAGCGTTTATGACGTGTTAAAGTAGAACTAATTCCAAACTTACTAGTACTACAAAACGTTCCTGAATAGCCTACATCGCATGCGCAGCCATATCCGAAACCGGATGTACTAGATGGAAAGCATGTGGCGCCATTTTGACACTGATTGTTGTTGCATGGATCACCTGAAAGGAACACAATAGTTAAGCACGCGCTACACATTAATTAACATATAAAACTGACAATCGCATTACACCTGTACATAATATATATTGTGTTGAGCTATTTTAAAATCAGTACTACTCGGTTAACGCTATCGCTATGCGCATGTGCACAATATAAATATATTGTATAGCTAATTCTAAATCGCTTCCACCTTGCTTTACATGAGTTCAGTGTATAATGCTTGATTTAAAAAAAGATATCCATTAGTTCATGATAAAAAAATCTAGTAAAACATTGAAAAAATGTTATAATCATCAATAATAATGTTTTTTTGTTTTTGTTTGTAAAATTTAAATTTAGCGTTTATGACGTGTTAAATTAGGTGAAGTAATTTCAAACTTACTAATACTACAAAACGTTCCTGAATACCCCACATCGCATGCGCAGCCATATCCGAAATTGGATGTACTAGATGGAAAGCATGTGGCGCCATTTTGACATTGATTGCTACTGCATGGGTCACCTGAAAGCATTAAAATAGTTAAGCACGTGATACTCATAAACTCACACACAAAACTGATATGTGCATTCGAAATCTGATCCACCCGCTTAGCGCCATCGAGATTCTACGGCGTGGTTCCTCCGTGTCAGTGGTGGGGGCCTGGCAAGGGATAAGGTATAGTTCAGGTGGGACGAAACGCAGAGGTTCCGTGCAGCCATTGGCGTGCACTTAAGAGTAGGTCGCAGTGCCGCTGTATGGCGTATTTCCATCTCTATCGGAGCAGAAAATTTTATTTCATAATCAGCGCAGTTAAAATGAAAGCTATTCAGTGTACAATATATGCTGTAGAGATTGTTATATAAAAGGTTGCTGCATGGAGCACCTGTAAGCAATAAAATAGTTGACCACGTCATACTCATTAACAAACATATAAAACTGACTTTCATACTATATATATATTCAAAGTCGTTCCACTAACATAGCGCTTCCATTATTCACAAATATATATTTGGAAATCGGTTCCACTCGCTTGCATCGACGCTTAGCTTGGGCATACTGCCAAAAGCAGTCATATACATTAGTGCAGTAATATGTCGCCTCGTTTTAATATTGATTTGTTGCACAGAGATCACATAAAAAAAATGTTGTGCTGTTGTATTTAACCCATAGGTTATTTAGGGTAAGTTTTGCTTATTACAATACAGATAGGGCCCTTTCGCAGACATGTGGGGAAACGTTTGTTAATATTAAGTATCGTAGCTATGTATCGAGAAACAATCGTTTAACAGCAATAATCTCAAGACTAAAAAACGAAATTTCACTGTACATGTTACACATCCCGCCCTCATGGTAACTGGAGAATTTATTTAATCTAATTTAAACGACTTGTATATTACTAGTCAATACGGAGTAATTTACATAACATCGGTTTCTAATGCTTGATCAAAAGATATCCATTCCTTTATTAGTAACAGATCTCGTAAAACATTGAAAAAAATGTTATCTTTATCAATAATAATGTTTTTTTGTAAAATTTAAATTCAGCGTTTATGACGTGTTAAAGTAGAACTAATTCCAAACTTACTAGTACTACAAAACGTTCCTGAATAGCCTACATCGCATGCGCAGCCATATCCGAAACCGGATGTACTAGATGGAAAGCATGTGGCGCCATTTTGACACTGATTGTTGTTGCATGGATCACCTGAAAGGAACACAATAGTTAAGCACGCGCTACACATTAATTAACATATAAAACTGACAATCGCATTACACCTGTACATAATATATATTGTGTTGAGTTATTTTAAAATCAGTACTACTCGGTTAGCGCTATCGCTATGCGGATGTGCACAATATAAATATATTGTGTAGCTATTTCTAAATCGCTTCCACCTTGCTTTACATAAGTTCAGTGTATAATGCTTGATTTAAAAAAAAGATATCCATTAGTTCATGATAAAAAAAATCTCGTAAAATATTGAAAAAATGTTATAATCATCAATAATAATGATGGTTTTTTTTGTAAAATTTAAATTTAGCGTTTATGGCGTGTTAAATTAGGTGAACTAATTTCAAACTTACTAATACTACAAAACGTTCCTGAATACCCTACATCGCATGAGCAGCCATATCCAAAACTGGATGTACTAGATGGAAAGCATGTGGCGCCATTTTGACATTGATTGCTACTGCATGGATCACCTGAAAGCATTAAAATAGTTAAGCACGTGATGCTCATATCTGATCCACCCGCTCAGCGCCATCTGCGTTTGCACGGGATAAGGTATAGCTCAGGTGGGACGAAACACAGAGGTTCCGTGCAGCCATACGCGTGCACTTAAAAGTCCGTCGTAGTGCGCTGTCTGGGTAGAATTTCCCTCATAGCACAGTGTATGGCGTATTCCCATCTCTATCGGAGCAGAAAATTTCATTTCATAATCAGAGCAGTTAAACTGAAAGCTATTCAGTGTACAATATATGCTGAAGAGATTGTTATATACAGTGTTGCTGCATGGAGCACCTGTAAGCAATAAAATACTTGACCAAGTCATACTCATTAACAAACATATAAAACTGACTATCATAATATATATATTCGTTGAGCTATTTCAAAATCGTTCCACTAAAATAGCGCTTCCATTATTCACATACTGTCAGAAGCAGTCATATCCATTAGCGCAGTAATATGTAGCCTCCTTTTAATATTGATTTGTTGCACAGGGATCTACTTTGAAAAATGTTGTACTGTTGTATTTATCCCATAGGTTATTTAGGGTTAGTTTTGCTTATTACAATACAGTTAGGGCCTTTTCGCAGTCATGAGGGAAAAGTTTGTTGAAATTAAGTAGGGTAACTATATATCTTGAAACAAATATTAACAGCAATAATCTTGGATGTACTAGATGGAAAGCATGTGGCGCCATTTTGACACTGATTGTTGTTGCATGGATCACCTGAAAGGAACACAATTTTTAAGCACGCGCTACTCATTAATTAACATATAAAACTGACAATCGCTTTGCACCTGTACATAATATATATTGTATTGAGCTATTTCAAAATCAATCCTACTTGGTTAGCGCCATCGCTTTGCGCATGTACATAATATAAATATATTGTATAGCTATTTCAGTGTCTAATGCTTGATTTAAAAAAAATATACTGAGCGCCATGGAAAACGCATCACTTTTTTTCCCAAATATTTTATTACTAGGTGGTTTTGTATATATAATATTATGCAATACTATGAACTATTGTTTCACACAATGCTCCCAAACGCAAAAAATATCGGCCCGTGTCCACAAAAAAAATTGCACGAGATGCACATGAAAAACCCAATATTCACGTGCAGAATTGTGTGTGAGCCCTTTAAAAGCATGTTTTCAACTTAATGTACAGTACATGTACTGTGAAACGTCAATCTGTCGTAATTTGTTGTTGGACGTGTGAAGGAATCGAGCTAGAGATGCCGAGACTTACTGAAAATCAACGGAATGAAGCCATTGCAATGTCCCGGGCTGGCATGTCTACACGTGTTATTGCCAGACACTTTAATTGTCATCAGTCCACTATTGTAAGGTTGGTGGAACGTGTTCGTGTTACTATCCTCAGGGATCATCGCCGTCAGCGGCGTTTGATATGGGCTCAAGGACAAAGTGTGCTCTTCAGTGATGAGAGTCGCTTTCATCTTTATCACGCTGATGGCCGTCAACGTGTGTGGAGACGTCTTGGGGAACGTCTTGCATACTGCTGCTTCTTCGAAACGAGTCGATGTGGTGGAGGAAGTGTAATGGTGCGGGGAGGCTTCACATTTCATCACCGGACCGCCCTACACATTTGCAGGGGTCGCGTTAATGCTGTAGCCTACCGTGATGATGTCTTGCAACGAATTGTTGTTCCGATGTTTCGCGCTCACCCACAACTTCAGCACTTCCAACAGGATAATGCACGTTCGCATACCGCCCGTTTTAATATAAACTACCTGGCTGCTAACAACATCAATGTCTTGGACTGGCCAGCCATGTCTCCGGGCATGGCACCGATAGAACATGTCTGGGATGTGATTGGATGCCGTCTGTATCGGAGACCACAGATGCACACCATTGCTGCTTTAGAAGCTGCTCTTGTCCAAGAATAGAACAATTTTCCCCAGGCCTTCTTTCAAACATTGGTTAATTCCATGCGACGTCGATGCACAGCGTGCGTAAGAGCCCGTGGAGGACACACGCGCTACTGACATCTGTGTCGTACTTTTGGTTTTGACCCCTCTGCCTTTGTACCGTTGATTACAGATTAAACATCCATAAGTGTACAAATGTGTTGTTATTGATGTGTTCCCATTTGAATATTGTTCACAATACGAAGCAAATAAATAAGATATGTTTACAGGATCATTTTGTTATACGAAAGACTAAGTGATGCGTTTTCCATGGCGCTCAGTATATATCCGTTAGTTCATGATATAAAAAAATCTCGTAAAACATTGAAAAAATGTTATAATCATCTATAATAATGTGTAAAATTTAAATTTAGCGTTTATGACGTGTTAATTTAGGGAACTAATTTCAAACTTACTAATACTACAAAATGTTCCTGAATACCCTGCGCCGCATGTGCAGCCATATCCGAAATTGGATGTACTAGATGGAAAGCATGTTGCGCCATTTTGACACTGATTGTTGTTGCATGGATCACCTGAAAGGAACACAATTTTTAAGCACGTGCTACTCATTAATTAACATATAAAACTGACAATCGCTTTGCACCTGTACATAATATATATTGTATTGAGCTATTTCAAAATCAATCCTACTTGGTTAGCGCCATCGCTTTGCGCATGTACATAATATAAATATATTGTATAGCTATTTCAGTGTCTAATGCTTGATTTAAAAAAAATATACCGAGCGCCATGGAAAACGCATCACTTTTTTTCCCAAATATTTTATTACTAGGTGGTTTTGTATGTATAATATTATGCAATACTATGAACTATTGTTTCGCACAATGATCCCAAACGCAAAAAAATATCGGCCCGTGTGCACGAAAAAAAATTGCACGAGATGCACATGAAAAACCCAATATTCACGTGCAGAATTGTGTGTGAGCCCTTTAAAAGCATGTTTTCAACTTAATGTACAGTACATGTACTGTGAAACGTCAATCTGTCGTTATTTGTTGTTGGACGTGTGAAGGAATCGAGCTAGAGATGCCGAGACTTACTGAAAATCAACGGAATGAAGCCATTGCAATGTCCCGGGCTGGCATGTCTACACGTGTTATTGCCAGACACTTTAATTGTCATCAGTCCACTATTATAAGGTTGGTGGAACGTGTTCGTGTTACTATCCTCAGGGATCATCGCCGTCAGCGGCGTTTGATATCGGCTCAAGGACAAAGTGTGCTCTTCAGTGATGAGAGTCGCTTTCATCTTTATCACGCTGATGGCCGTCAACGTGTGTGGAGACGTCTTGGGGAACGTCTTGCATACTGCTGCTTCTTCGAAACGAGTCGATGTGGTGGAGGAAGTGTAATGGTGTGGGGAGGCTTCACATTTCATCACCGGACCGCCCTACACATTTGCAGGGGTTGCGTTAATGCTGTAGCCTACCGTGATGATGTCTTGCAACGAATTGTTGTTCCGATGTTTCGCGCTCACCCACAACTTCAGCACTTCCAACAGGATAATGCACGTCCGCATACCGCCCGTTTTAATATAAACTACCTGGCTGCTAACAACATCAATGTCTTGGACTGGCCAGCCATGTCTCCGGACATGGCACCGATAGAACATGTCTGGGATGTGATTGGATGCCGTCTGTATCGGAGACCACAGATGCACACCATTGCTGCTTTAGAAGCTGCTCTTGTCCAAGAATGAAACAATTTTCCCCAGGCCTTCTTTCAAACATTGGTTAATTCCATGCGACGTCGATGCACAGCGTGCGTAAGAGCCCGTGGAGGATACACGCGCTACTGACATCTGTGTCGTACTTTTGGTTTTGACCCCTCTGACTTTGTACCGTTGATTACAGATTAAACATCCATAAGTGTACAAATGTGTTGTTATTGATGTGTTCCCATTTGAATATTGTTCACAATATGAAGCAAATAAATAAGATATGTTTACAGGATCATTTTGTTATACGAAAAACTAAGTGATGCGTTTTCCATGGCGCTCAGTATATATCCGTTAGTTCATGATAAAAAAAAATCTCGTAAAACATTGAAAAAATGTTATAATCATCAATAATAATGTGTAAAATTTAAATTTAGCGTTTATGACGTGTTGATTTAGGGAACTAATTTCAAACTTACTAATACTACAAAACGTTCCTGAATACCCTGCGCCGCATGTGCAACCATATCCGAAATTGGATGTACTAGATGGAAAGCATGTTGCGCCATTTTGACACTGATTGCTGTTGCATGGATCACCTGAAAGGAACACAATAGTTAAGCACATGCTACTCATTAATTAACATATAAAACTGACAATCGCTTTGCACCTGTACATAATATATATTGTGTTGAGCAATTTCAAAATCAATCCTACTTGGTTAGCGCCATCGATTTGTGCATGTACATAATATAAATATATTGTATTGCTATTTCAGTGTCTAATGCTTGATTTAAAAAACATATATCCATTAGTTCATGATAAAAAAATCTCGTAACACATTGAAAAAATGTTATAATCATCAATAATGTTGTTTTTATTTTTTGTAAAATTTAAATTTAGCGTTTATGACGTGTTGATTTAGGGGAACTAATTTCAAACTTACTAATACTACAAAACGTTCCTGAATACCCTGCGCCGCATGTGCAGCCATATCCGAAATTGGATGTACTAGATTGAAAGCATGTGGCGCCATTTTGACACTGATTGTTGTTGCATGGATCACCTGAAAGCAATAAAATAGTTAAGCACGTGATGCACATAAACTAACACACAAAACTGATCCACCTGCTTAGCGCCATCTGGCTCGCTAGTCTGGAGGTCGCGTGTTCGGTCCCTGCATTGGCCGATAAAGTTCATCGGGATTTTCCGACGTGGTTTCCCCTTGTCAGTGGTGCAGGACGGGGGACCTGACAGCTGTCTAGTCATTTGGATGAGACGGAAAACGAGAGAGAGAGAGAGAGAGGGGGAGGGAGAAATGGGGTTTAACGTCCACTCGACACAAACCAGGTTTAATTTTTTTTTGTTTCAATAATTCGCTTGCGTGTAGGGGTCTTTAGCAGTGGGAGGAAACCGGAGGACCCGGAGAAAACCCACAAGGTTGGACAGGCGACCCTACTCCTTGTCACGTACCACCGGGAAATCGAAACCCCGCCAGTTGACTCAATGACAGACCGTATGATACAGCGCGCGCGTGCTAACCATTCGGCCATGAAATCCCCCCCCCCCCGAGACCGAAAACCGAGGTCCCGTGAATTCATTGGCATGCCTATGGCAGTTGGAATGCGATATAAGAGTAGGCCATAGTACCGCTGCCCAGTCACAATTACTCACATAGCACACTGTATGGCGTACGCCCGTCTTTATTTGCCAAGTCGATTTACTTAGGGTATATAGCTTGTGAAGCTATGTCGAAATCGGTTTAAACCGCTTAGTGACATCGCTTAGCTTGGGCATTTTGTTCGACCGGATGTCAAATACTGATAACTGCAGATAAACACGGGTATCTAAACAAGATCATAGTCAACAATATTTGAACTATCAATTTTTGTTGTGCGTTTGAATTTCCCCCATATAGTGTTCAAAACAAGTTTTAATTATAACCATAGCTTTTCTATAGCCGTAAACTATAAGCAATGTCAGAAGCTGTTGTCTGTCGATTATTTGAAGCTTTAGCAATTTCACTTGTTCACCTTTAAAAATATAATTTCCAGTAACGTTTAGTGTAGAGTTAACTGTCGGCTTTCATAGCTAGGCATCCTTAAATGGCACAAACGAACTAATGGCTGATTGTCATTCTAAAATAAAAACCCTCATATTTACTTGTTTGACAGAGAAAACCGGAATAACCAGGTAGACAAACACAGGTGTAGAAATCACCGTTTGGATTACAAGTAGCGCCATTCTGGCATTGGTTGTTCGTACATGGCGAAACAATAGCTTTAAAATAGAAGCATGAAGTTTAGATAACTATGATATAAGTATTGCGATGATACGCTAACCTGAAAATTAAAAGGAGCCATGTTTTCTTTTTTTCCGAAAAAATAAAAAATCGTTGGAGAATATATACCCAAAGCATGTAAATATGTCTTGATAACTAAAGACACATTATGTCAGATTTAGATAAAGAGCTGGTCATTCTTGCTATCATAGTTTCGATTTTCTATTTTGACGTTAACCCATTAAATGACGTAGATGGCCTAATCAACTTAATATCAATTCAATGGGAATTGATTGTGGGCATCCAAATAATAATTGTTATAGTACTTGAATCAAGAAAATAGAAATGCAACATGCAGATCTATCTTTTACATAATGTATATTTTACTGTATATTGGTTGTATAGTATTGTCCCAAATCACTCACCAGCCCTTTTTAAAATGTCAAATATCAGCATATAACACCTACGATTGATAAACTATTTACTGTCTATCAAGGTGAAATGAGGTTTAATGTCCTCTTAATCACACATAATAATATATTTATTCGTAATATTATTAATTCAGTATTCATAACGTGTTTATTAAGTAGATTCATAAAAGGTCCCGAATAGAGTATCGCGCATGCGCTTCTATAAAAAGGACTATAGAGTAAAGCAAATAAAAATAGTTAGGGAGAGCGAGAGAGAAATGGGGTTTAACGTCAACTCGACACAAACTAGGTCATTTCCGGACTAAAATATGGTTCAACTTTATTTCAATAATTCGCTTGCGCGTATAAATAGACCTTCTCATAAATAGACTTTCTCATAAATAGATTTCTCATAAATAGACTTTCTCATAAATAGACTTTATTATAAATAGACTTTATCATAAATAGACTTTATCACAAATAGACTTTATTATAAATAGACTTTATCATAAATAGACTTTATTATAAATAGACTTTATTATAAGTAGACTTTATCATAAATAGACTTAATTATTGGCGTTATTTGGTAAAAGATATAATTCTTGCCTTGTTCACAGAATGTTCCGGTATATCCTGCTGGACAGTTACATTGATAACCTTGTTGAGTAGCTGTTGAGGTCTGACACACGGCGCCATTTCTACACTGATTATTTGAACAGGCATTTATTGCTGGAAATACAAATATATATCTATAGAGAGAGAAATGGGGTTTAACGTCCACTCGACACAAACTAGGTCATTTCGGGACTAACATGCGTTTTAATTTTATTTCAATAATTCGCTTGTGCGTAGGAGTCATTAGCAGTGGGAGAAAACCGGAGGACCCGGAGAAAACCCACGAGGTTGGACAGATGACCTACTCCTTGTCACGTACAGCCGGAGAAGGGAATCGAAATTGGAAATATAAATATTAAGATTTGGTATAATTGACACAAACGCTGGTCTTATTGGTGGTCGCAGAAAGCAATTTATATTATTTCATTTATTGTAGTTATACATTTTGTACCACAACGAAAGGTCATATTATATCAGAAGGTTATATTATATCAAAAGGTCATATTCGTACGATGAACAACAAAACTAAAACAACATTTACTACATGAAAAAGTTATAAAGCACTAGATGAGGTGCAAAGGATGGAGAAGACGGGGCAGTCTGATTAAAACACCGATCTATATTTCGTTTCGTTTTTTAAACTTTCATTGACCTGTACTACATGAAGACCTAACTGGTCATACGAGCGGCTTGTAACCCCAATCATTTGATTAACCAATCAGCGTCGGGGTTTCGGAAATAAAACGTTTGCTTTGATTTGTGTTCGATCGCTGAAAATATCTACCCACAGTTCCCTGTGCCAGATGAAAACAACACGACTCAATAGACGATTTAATTGGCTAATCCCTCACATCAACCAGAACGCGGGTTATTTAATAACTGTTCCAGATCCTACCGCAGTGAAGACCAGTAGAACGATATTCTAAACTACAACAAAACAAACAAAATAGGATCTGTGTTTTAATTACATTTAGAGTGAAGGGTTTGAGGGGAGGTGCAGAGATCAATCTAAAAGAGAGGGCATGTTGGTGAAACGGTAGAAACCAAGACTCGAATCTACAAGATTTTTGTTATAGACGAAAAAAATAGCCGACGAAGAAGGTGCAGAGTAATAAAGTTAATAAAATCCCGACAGCCTGTAAAAGGTGTTTTTAACAGAAGGAAACGCAGCTGGTGAAGAAACACTTGGTGTGCGGCACAGACAAAAGAATACAGAATCCCTGAGATCATAGAATACAATATGTAGAGATTGTTAGCCATAGTCCGTATCACCAGTGAACGATTATAACTTATCTTACCAAATTGACATTGTGAACCAGTATACCCTGCTGGACACTGACAGAAGACGCCTCCAGTAACTAGAGGGAAACATTGGGCCCCATTAAAACATGACGTCGAGGTACAAACACCTACAAGTTATAACAAAACAAACTTTAAATACTTTTATTAATGGCAGATTTACCTTCACACTTGACCTTGTCTGTCGCTGCAACCTCCATTTTCCTGAAAACAACTGCTTCAGACGTTTTGGACAGTAACTGAACACAAAGGTGTTACCCATCTTCTTCTTGTTTAGGTTGCTATACTTCTACCGGAAGCGGCGCTCTTCGAAACGTGAAACTTAAACAATTGAGAACCAATTTGTGATATGACGTGACAATTACAAGAAGGCGGCGATGACGTCATGGTACATCGAACATTATAAAAACCAGAAAACTGTGGAATACCCGAAGAACTGCACGCAAATAGTTCTACTCTGTTAGTAAAGACCTCGCTAGCGATTCTCGTTAAACAACGGTTTACCGTCAATCGGTGATTACACGTCGCGAAACAAAACAAAACGCAATAAAGGTTTACAAACGCACACGCATTCTCCGGTTTAGTAAAAGCGCTGTGTTATTAAAGATGTTGGTTGTTATACACTTACAAGTCGGATAACAAAACCAAACGCACAATACATCAAAGATTCCGTAAAAGCGCAACGATTTAAGAGACGGGGTTTGAAAATGGTGCAATGATGAATATGAAAGGAGTGCTGTGAATCGTTAGTACAGAATAACAATAAAAGAAATAATATTAAAAAACGTTATATATCTCTTACTCCCACATTGAACTTATTTTACATCCCCACTTCAAACTTACTTATAACCTGATTGCACAGTGTGCCAGTAAACCCAGCAGGGCAAACACACGTGTAACCCTTTACACGTGATGTAAATGTACACGTAGATCCAAACGAGCAATCATTGACGAAACAAGGATCTGTAAAAATAAGATGACATATTTCATTCCTTTTCGGAGGTAAGTAGAGTATGATGGCTGTCAATGATTAACAGATAACTTGAAATGTTGACATCATTTAAATTTCCTAGAACTACTGACTGTAACCACTTATAATCTTACAATAATAAATACTGACTTGAGCAAAAAACTCACACTCGGTAAAAACTTAGACTAACTTGGCCAGAAGATAAAAGAGTGTCTGGTAGGGGATTTAAATGATTGAAAATATATATCCGAACCTGTACAGTACTAGAAGTACACTGTCCACAGACTAACTGACTTAACTTTCTATTTTCTACATTATAAATTAATATAAAATAATCCATTTTTACCTACGTTCTCATTGTACGAGATAAAGCAAGACTCTCTGATCTAATGTATACGGAATCATAATACTAACAAAATAACCTGGAGGTAACCGGGGAATAAGATTTATTCTAAAGGTTTACGTGGATTTCTTGGTACTTGAGGGTAAGGGTTTTACTAGAAATTAGATTGTTGACAAGGTTTTTACTAGAAATCAGATTGATGGCAAAGATTTTACTAGAAATTAGCTTCGTGATAAGGTTGTTACTAGATATTTGATTAATGATAAGGTTGTTACTAGATATTTGATTGATGGTAAGGTTTTTACCAGAAATTAGACTGATGGTAAGGGTTTTACTAGAAATTAGATTCATGATAAGGGTCTTACTAAAATTAGATTGATGGCAAGAGATTTACTAGAAATTAGATTGATGATAAGGTTTATACTAGAAAATTAGATTGATGGTAAGGTTTTTACTAGAAATTATATTGATGGCAAGGATTGTGCTAGACATTTGATTGACGCTGAGGTTTTTGCTAGAAATCATAATGATGGCAAGGGTTTTACTAGAAATTATATCGATGATAAGGGTTTTACTAGGAATTAGATTGATGGTAAGGTTTTTACTACCATTAGCTTGATGATAAGATATGTATTAGAAATTAATCAAACATTTGTCGTTAATCTTAAAACATATGCCACGATATTAAAGTGTTAAAATGATAATGAAGCCATTATTTTAAGTTAAGCGAATGTGATAGTTAAGCTGGGAAAGGATAAAAGGTTAGATTGTGCAGGGTATAGATATATAGATATATAGATATATGATTGGTATACAATTAAAGCCACTAGAAGCCTCGAAATATACTTACCTTGCTCAAATTCAAATTTTCATGCAACACTGATTAAGATCTGAATATTTACTTACCACGGATAAATATATATTTATTTAGTTTTTTTATATATATATATATAAGATTATTATTTTACTTTTTATTCTGTACTTACTTACTTACCTTTAGTTTATAAGGCAATAACAAATATCAATCAACCTGATTGACATACAGGTCTATATTTCGTTTCGTTTTTTATACTTTCGATGGCCTACACTACATGAAGATCTGGCCGGTTATAGTGGAAGGTCGCATCAGAGGTCGTACAAGCGGATTTTGACCTTATGACGTCAGACATTGATTAATCAATCAGCGTTGACGTTTCTAGTGGTTTACCCACCCACAGTTCCGTGCATTGCACACCAAGAACTCGCCGTAACAGACCGTTTCATTGGCTAATCCCTCACTTCAACCAGAACGCCAGTAATATAACAACTCTTCCCGATCCTAGTGTAGTAAAGACAAGTAATACGAAATTTTGAACTATAAAAAACGAAACGAAATGGGATCTGTGTTTTAATCAGATTGAATTTCAATGTTTTAGTGATTTTAATATATGTTTTGATATAAGCCAAACTGTGCATATTTGTTATGTTGCCTTGTAAACTAACTTACCTTATAAAATTATATAGTGAAAGCATACAACATTGATAACAGCCTGGAGTGATTATACTTTCATATACTAGCATATTACATCTAACAAATAACAAAGTCCGCCATACCTTAATCCGGGCAGGGTGTTGGGAATAGGGTAGGTTTATAAGCATGCGGGTTCACAATAAATAACACAGCCGCCAGGAATAAATATCAGGCTGATGTATTGAAGAAGAATACATTATTAATATACAGTTCATGTAAAATGGCAAAAAAGGAACATGCTAGTTATTATGATAAGAAGATGACATGGGGAAATATACAAAAAAAAAAAAAAAAAAAAAAATGCCCTACTAAAAAAAAAATGACTAAAAATATTTAAAAGTACCAAAAAGCGTGAAAATGTAAAATAGAGGAAAATGAAGAACAATAGAAATGTGAATGAGACGAAGAGAGGGAATATTGATAGACATGCAAAAAGAAAAGAGAGTAAATATCTAACTATATTTTAAAAAAATATAGAAAAATATTTTTAAAAAGTATGTTAAAACAAAGGCTAAATATAACATAAAAAAAACTAAATTAAATACCCACACCACAGCCCCAAGAATAAAAATATAATTGAAAAATGAGAAAAAAGGATCAAATTAATTGTGGGGAAAATTTCAATAATTGGAAACACGCTTCAATTAGTACTTTTTTAGAAATGTGTTTCGGTACTACAAGCTAATGTGCCATATTGAAATTTCCCCCATCAATGTAAACAAGCAAAAAGCTAAAAGGTATCAATTTGAAATTTAAGCAAATATAGGAAACTACTCTAAAGAAATATTGAGTATGGAAAAAGACACCGAAAAAGAAACACATACTGATTGAAGTTTACATATTTAAATCATTACCAATCATCGAAGAAAAATGAATGGTTCTATACAAATTTCTGATTGAAAAACCAATATGTGTTTCTTAGCGATGCAAAGGGTTATATGAAATATTTTTGAAATCGTATTTATTTTTAATTGAAATATGACTTTCAAAATAAATAAATACGTGTGATTATATAACAGGAGATTTAGTTGTAGTTTCCCTTGTGTTTGAATCTTACCAAACTGGCAATAAGTTCCGGTATATCCTGCAGGGCATTTACAATCATACCCACCAAGTATGTTAGCCGCACATTCACCGTTATTTTGACAGTTATTATTGTCACAAGGATCCGTGCCTAGAAATAGTAGGAAGAAAAAGATGGGCTACTAAAGGCTAAATAAAGCAAAAGTAGAGAGAAAGAGAGAGATAGTTTTATTAAAGATACATTATGTAAGATTTAGATAAAGAGCTAGGCATTCTTGCTATAATAGTTCGAAAATAGATAATGTAAAATGAATAATTTGAAATTTTCATTCAAATTACTCTATTGCGAGCGAAGATATTAGCCTTTGTAGGTTTGACAAGACGTATGCAATAATTTCAACCACCGTACTGGTTGTTCGAAGCTAAGTCTCGCTCCTCCATTTTTAGCTTAAATAAAAATATGGCTGAACTGTTCTAATCTATTTAATATCGGAGAAATCCGACACCATCGAGTGTTGATTATGGCCTGGATAAGTTAATTAATGTCTAATTAATAATTTAGAAACGTTTCAGGCCTAAAGAAAGGCCTGTAATAGGCAGATTTAGCTCTTGCATAATGTATATCTAAGTTAACGACGATTATCAAGAACATAATGATAGAAGTAAGTGGAATTATATTAATATTTCAGACACTAAGCTTCTTGTAACATATAAAAACTTAAATAAACAATTTACGTCAGCGAAGGCTTTCCAACAATATGATCTAGTTAGTTATAGAATGCTTAGCATAACATATCGAATACTTAATACAATAATTTCGTTAGTGGAGGTTTTCAAGGAAATAGGATATGCGTCATATAACATACCGAATAATTAAAGCCTCATTGCGTAATTGGAGAGAGAGAGAGAGAGAGAGAGAGAGAGAGAGAGAGAGAGCGAGAGGGAGAGAGAGATGGGTTTAACACCCACTCGACACAAACTAGGCCATTTCGGGACTAACACATGGTTCAATTTTATTTCAAAAATTCCCTTGCACGTAGCGGTCTTTAGCAGTGGGAGGAAACCGGAGGACCCGGAGAAAACCCACAAGGTTGGACAGGCGACCCTACTCCTTGTCACATACAACCGTGGAATCGAAACCACGACAGTTGATTCAATGACAGACCTTATGATACGGCGCTCACGTGCTAACCAACCATTCGGCCATCCAACCCCCGCTATTGTGAAGGATGAATCTCAAATAGGAATATCAGTCCAATAGTGTTTCAACCCCGTTCAGTATGTACATCGATCTATGTACATGTAATAAGCACGCCGCCATTTTATTGATCGCGAACATAATTGATGGACCTGTTCTAAATCAGATTGAATCCAAGAAGGGAGGTAATCTAGCGTTGGTATCTTGATTTTGTTTTCTTAATTAAATGTTAAATAATCAATCTGAGTACACATATTAGCGTGGGTTAAATCGTGAAACATTTGATATATTAGTAAACACAGGATATGACGCAATGGGACTTTAATTAAACAATTACTGATTTTTCAATAACATTTACCCTTCTGACAGTAGTCTCCAGTAAAGCCTGTTCGACATGCGCAGTAATAGCCTACTGTTTGTCTATAACAAGTGGCGCCATTAGTACACTGGTTTCCCGCGCAATTATCTGAAATCAAGTGATATGTTGGTTTGTATATATATTTATTATTTCAGGGTATTTCTAGACGTGAAAATATTTTGACTTCCTGATTTCTTTGGGGTTTTTTTTTAGTTTAAACAGTACTTTTTGGAATGATTGATCAAATATATTGTAAAAGAATCAAAATAAAAAAAGCTTTAAATAAGATTAATATTTGCAGTTTATCGCCATTTATCTTTAAATGGAGATTACTTTTAACATATTTTATCCATTTAAAAATGTTTTTATATTTCATGTGTAAAAGGAATAAGTATGATTAAAATATATAAATTTATCTTCAAATAAGGACCATTTTAGACACATTTTATCTATCTAAGAATGTGGTTTTAGACCTTAACGTAAATTCTGTTGTTTTTTTACCTAATTCACACAATGTTCCCGTAAAACCAAACGGACACGAACAGGTATAATTGGTTTCAGTGTTGATACATGTGGAGCCTGATTTACAGTCGTTGTTAACACAATAATCTATCTCACCGTCTAGATATAGATAGAAAAAGAGAGAAGATTTCGTGAGGAAATGTTAAAATGATAAATAGGTGCTGCATCTGTACATACCAGTAGATGACGTCATATTACCAACAGGCTAAAAGCTAATGATAGAGTCAAAGCAATGGCGTGCAGAGAGGTGGAAGGGCGGGGGTGGGGGCATCTAATTCAGGGGTGACGGGGAGGGGGGTCTTTCTCGGGAGGAGGGAGGGGGTATCTATCTCGGGGCGGGGAGGTCTATCTCAGGTGACGGAGGGCGGGGGCGGGGTTAGGTTGGGCTAATGTATCTCGGAGCCGGGAGCATCTATCTAAAGGGACGGGGGTGGGGGGTCAATATGTGCGGGGGGGGGGGATCTATCTCGGTGTGGGTCGGGTGGGGTGGTAAGTCAATCAAGGAATGGAATTAAATCAAGTTTTTTAAAATCATCTTTGTTAACTTTGTTGTACAAGCTGTCCTTTTTAATTTAAATAACTGGTTTATTTCATCTGTTTTGGCATATTAAAAATAAAATCAGGGAGTTTGCCCAGGTAATCCCCGAATCTCTGCACGTCATTCAGTAAAAGAGAATATAGGTAAAAGTAAAAAGCTAGGAGTTATTGGAATATTTAAAGCAAAGAAGTATTAAAACTGTATAATGATGATGCTGGGAGAAGAATTGATGATGCTGGGCGAGAGATAAAAGATACAAACAAATCGCATGCAACAAGACACAATTCACGCAACGTTTCCGTCGATACAACGCGTAAACGGTGTTGGTTTCAATCTGAAAATGAAACTTTAAACAAAACATACATTATATTCATATTTCAAATGAACATGAACCTTGCTAAATTTAAAAAGTTGATTTATTTTTAGTTCATTGTTCTCTCTAGTTATTCAACATTTTCGGGGATTGGGCCATGAATGCTATGTCTGTTCCTTGGTCTGTTTCGAATATCTGAATAAAATATCTGTTATGTTTAAAGGGGGTGGACAATGGCAGGCTTTGCACTTGTCTAGACTTCCTGATAAATGTATTTTCTGTATGGCATGACCCCCCCCCCCCAATATGCCTATAAATAAACAACACCGGGCAATACGAGTGGGGTCTAATGAATTTGAATACAATATTACATTAGTGAATGCATGTTTGAAGTAAATATTCAAATTCCAGTTTTACCCACCATAGACAAACCATCCCACTTTTACCCATCATAGACAACCCATCTCAGTTTTACACTTTATAGACAACCCATCCCAGCTTTACCCATCATAGAAAACCCATCCAGGTATGCCCATAATAGTCAACCTATCCTAGTTTTACACTTTATAGACAACCCATCCCAGTTTTAACCATCATAGACAACCCATCCCAGTTTTAACCTTAAAAACAACCCGTCCCAGCTTTACCCATCATAGAAAACCCATCCAGGTATACCCATAATAGTCAGTAAATCCCAGTTTTACCCATCATAGACAACAAAATCATCATATTTACAACAATCAAATAAGACAACTTACTATTTTCACAGAATTGACCGGAAAATCCAACAGGACAGGTGCATGTGTAATCATTATTTATTCCACTAACACAGGTAGCACCGTTCTGACAAGCATTATTCTGGCAACTCTGTATACCTGTTGATAAAGGGAGATAAATTGGGTTAGACGTCTACAAGACAGATTACTTCATGGGCGAATTTCTAATCACTAATAATTCCTTCGTAGACCAAAAGTTGTTGCGTGAGACTGTCAGATATCCTCTTACAGTCTCATATAACAACTTTTGGTCTTCGAATAAGTTATAATTGAGCAGAAATTCGCTCATGTATCTGTTATCACTCGTCACTTCAGTCAGTTATATAGAGGGATAACTCGTGTTTTCCTTTTGCGTTCGTCACTTCCAATTGTTGAAACATTGATTCGACATCTATTGTAGCAATGATCTCTGTGTTAAAATTATATTTGGAACGTGTTTAACCAGTTCTATCATATATGTGATAATGACTGACGTCTGACACCAAATATTGTCCTTTAATATTCTACGAATAGTCAGGGAGGGGGGGCGAATGGTTAGCACGTGCGCGCTGTATCATAAAGCCTGTCATTGAGTCAACTGGCGGGGTTTAGAATCCCCGGTTGTACGTGGCAAGGAGTAGGGCCGCCTGTCCAACCTCGTGGGTTTTCTCCGGGTCCTCCGGTTTCCTCCCACTGCTAAAGACCCCTACGCGCAAGCGAATTATTGAAATAAAATTAAACCATATGTTAGTACCGAAATGACCTAGTTTGTGTCGAGTGGGCGTTAAACCCCATTTCTCTTTATATCTCTCGAATAGTCAGGATGGGTTCTCAATATCTACATCATTGGCTAGAATATCAGATCTTTTATGTTACTCTTCAAGTATTATTGTCTTATTCCCAGTTCGTCGTCACCATTCATTTCCACTCGGCAAACCTCAACAGATTCCAGTACCCTATATCTAATCTCGGCTGTATGATAAAGCATTAGAACTACTTTCAAGTTCCCGGATTACAATGACGTTGTCCATGAAGACCAATGACGTCATTGATGACGACGTATTTGAAGAATGTTTTATCTTACAAACTTTTCAAAGTTTGAAGCTGTTTTTCTTTCAAATTTATCCGATTTTCTTTAGACAAGGACAAATTTGCACTGAAAATTCTACACACTCTTCGAACGACGCAATTTTGAGAACTTCTTTCTAAACGCGGGCAATTTTCCCTTATAAGTAAACCGGTGCCGCATGGCAAATGTATAGGCGTAGGTACATATCACTTACTGTCATACAGCCGAGGCTAGATGTAGGGTACCGGAATCTTCCGAGGTTTGCCGAATGAATTCATTTCTAATAACAATTTATGAATTATGGGATTGATTTCTGGAAGGGGAGCAACTCTGTCCATTGGCCATGCGTAAGCGGTAGTTTGGTAATTTATATGGTAGATTATCCAGTAATATAATTTTGTCAAATGTGGACAACTGGCCGAGACTCTCCGTGTGTTGAAGACAAGTAAAAATAAATTTTAATTTTGAACTAGACAAAACGAAACGACGCGAAATAGAATTTTTCTTAATCAGATTGCAAAACGTCATGCATGTGATAAAGTGACATGCGAAACAATCTTACGTGTTTGGCAGAAATCGCCTGTAAATCCCACTGGGCATTGACAGACATAATTAGTAGTAGATTGTCGAATACAGGTAGCACCATTTCTACATCCATTATTCTCGCAAACATCTAAAAATAGTATCAAACATCTAAAAAGTTTATCCAACATCTAAAAAGTGTATCCAACATCTAAAAATAGTGTTAAATATCTACAAATAGTATCAAACATCTCAAAATGGTATCCAACATCTAAAAATAGTGTTAAATATCTACAAATATCTCAAAATAGTGTTAAACATCTAAAAATAGTGTTAAACATCTAAAAATAGTATCTAGGATCTACAAATAGAGCCAAGCTTCTAAGGATAGTTTTAAAAATCTAAATATAGAAACAAATTAATGATTTATAGCTCAAAACAAAAACACATACTTATGGAAAACAGCTACTAATATATTTAAGGCGACTTTTCGAAGAGTATTCTTGCAACATTGTCTTCGAAATGTCGCCTTAAATACACTAGTAGCTGTTTTCCATGTGTTTTTGTTTTAATTCTATCCAGTTACTAAATGCCATTTAAAGATTAATCTATAACTAGTTATCTTGCATACGCTTTAATCATATAAAACATAAATAATAACATGTCTATTTGTTTATAAAGTAAATCAAAAACTAATCAACTATAACATGTGCTTATAGACAACAGTTACTAATATATTTATAAACTGGATTGAGTAATACGTGCTTATGGACAACAGCTACTACTATATTTAGTAACTAGATACAGTAATACATTATAACATATACTGATGGAAACCGGCCATGGATACGCTTGGGTGACTGAGATAATGAAGACGTGCATACGCCAGACAGCTCCACTACGACCTACTCTTATATCGAATTCCAACTGCCAAGGGATCTTTTACGTGTACACGGGACCTCAGTTTTTGCCCCATCTGAACGACTAGACAGCTGTCATTACCAGGTCTTCCGTTCTGCAACACTGGCAAAGGGAAACCACGCCGGAAAACCCACGCCGGTAGCGAGCCCGCAACATCCAGGGTTTCGAACAGTATTCTCTCCGCAATATCAAGCTAAATATATGATTTGACTGGTTCGTACCTATTTGACAGAGGTCTCCTCTGAAACCAACAGTACAAGTACAAACATAACCAAAACCTTCTGGTACACAGACAGCACCATTCGTACATTGGTTGTCAAGACAGAAATCTATCGGTTGACCAAATTGACAGAAGTTGCCGAAGAAACCAGGTTGACATCGGCATTGGAATTGTCCTTGTCCGTTTTCACATGTACCGCCATTATTACATGGGTTAGTGCTTCCACAGTAATCTAGTGTACCTGAAAGCAAATATTAAGCATGATTATGATAATGATGATTGCAACTATTGCCATTGTTTATATACCTAGCATGATAGTGACGTCGAGTATGATGATGACGTCGAGTATGATGATAATTATTAGTGACGTTGAGAGTGATGGTGCCGTTGTGTATGATAAAGATGTCGAGTATGATGACGCGGTACCTAATATGGTGACAGTGAAATGATGATTTAAATGTGGTACTTATTGTGTTAATAATGATACAACTAACGATGATAAAGTTGATGATAGTAACGATGATGATGGCGATGATTTTCTGATTTTACTTATCTATCTATCTATCTATCTATCTATCTATCTATCTATCTATCTATCTATACTAATATTTGTGACTGTCGTTTGTCTGTCTGTTTGTCTGTCTGTCTGTCTGTATGTCTGTTCGGGGTTGGCGGCTACACTAGGTCTGCCCCGAGTCTGAAATTTGGGGTATAGGGGTAGCTCGGACCGGGGAGTAACATAGGCCAGGTGGCGTTAGTCTACCACTTCCGGTTTCGGGGTTATGACCCCCGAGCGAAGCCGGGCATTCTTCTAGTGTATTATAAATGTTAAATATATATTATATAGAATACAGAGAGATAATTATGGGAAACAGATCCATACACGGAAACACAAAACCTTCTTCATGCATTAGTAAGTAGGGGTTGATTAAAGGGCTACAGACTTAGAACTATTTCTAAATATCGGACACAGCACACCATCAGACAAGATACTATGATGTAGCGAGCGAATGTCACGTTCGAGGATGAGACGGCGGGTTCGCAAACCGCACCACTTGGCTCAATGACATAATAGCGCTAATAACATCTTGCAATCGTTTTGTAAATGACTCAAATTCAACAGACTATGCTAGAAAAATAGATTCAATACTAAATGATTGAGATACGAGAATACGGAATATCGAATTAGCAGTGTCATATAAAGGGAAATAACTCTTGTTTGCCTCTACGGATTCGGACTAGTAATTTGATCCACATTGACGTCAATGTCAAATTCATGATTGCTTCGGTCTATAGCAATATTAGTAACATTCCGATAACCTTAAAATATATAATCACAAAGGGCCCAACATGTCACAGTGAAATGAAATGAACTAAGGGAAATAATTAGTAGTCTTAATACATTCTATAAATAGTTTATTAATAGACAAGTCTGGTTGTTAGAAGATAAAATCGGAAATACGTTAATTGCTATAAATAATTAGCATTGTTAATCCATACACATGATATAAACTATTCTGGTTGCTACCAAAAGCTAAATTAAGAAATGTGTTAATTACAATAAATATTTAGTAGTCTTAATCCATACCCATGATATACACAGTTTATTAATAGATAAAGTCCGTTTGTCAGAAAATATAACCGGAAATGTGTTAATGTGTTAAAAGTTTAAAAGAATGTAAACTATATTATAATCTGCAAGAGTGTGTTATGTGAGATAATTAACGAATGTATACCGAATTGACACGTGTTCCCGAATGTTCCCGGGGGACAGGAACAATTATAGGTGTTGGTTCCGGTTACTGTACAGAATCCAGTCTGTTGACACGGATTAGGTTGACATGGTGTTCCTAATAACAAATCAACATAACAAAAAATAACTCGGTTTAATTTATAAACATTTACATTGGACATTTAAAGAGTAAAGGGGAAGAACGATCTAAGTCACCTTTTCCATGAACCCCAGTTTTAATAGCGTCAAGTGGTAGTAAATTGTATAAGCTTTCTGTGGAACAATTGATTTCAGGTAAAAACGATCGGAGTCACACCAAACGATCTAAAACGGACCCTTTAATTTGAATCTCAATTTGATTAAAAAGTTGAAGTCAGTTGTTGTACTGGTAATTATGATTCGTATAAAAAAAATCATAATCAGGCCTCAAAGTCTATTTCGTAAAGACGAAAATGTGACTTAAATCTTTCTTCCCCTGGGCTCTTTATTTAAAATCTATGATTGATCTATAATAACTGATCAATAATCTATGATTGATCTATAATAACTGATCAATAATCTATGAATGATCGATAATGGCTGATCAATAATCACTGTTCTATAATATATTTTATTACTCTATTTTGCCGATTGATTACTGCACATTGCTCTGTTGGACCACTGCACAGTTATTTTAAACACTGTCATGTTTCGTCTGGTTAGTACATAATTCTAAACTCACCATTTATTGCCTGCGTAGGTGAGAGAGAAAGAGACAAATGAGGTTTAACGTCCACTCGACACAAACTAGGTCATTTCGGGACTAACATATGGTTCAATTTTATTTCCATAATTCGCTTGCACGTAGGGGTCTTTAGCAGTGGGAGGAAACCGGAGGTCCCGGAGAAAACATACGAGGTCGGACAGGCGAGCCTAATCCTTGTCACGTACAACCAGGGAATCGAAACCACGCCAGTTGACTCAATGACAGACTTTATGATACAGCGCGCACGTGATAACCATTCTGTCATCCAACCCCCGCCTGCGTAGGTATATATGACGATAGGTAAGTTATCCGACTTACATACCTGAGCATATGTTGGTTGTCGGATTTACATACATCACCTTAATGTGAATTGGCGAAAGTATATTGATGACCATATGCAGGTGGACAGACTTACCGTCATGATCATATGTAGAAATATAAATGATTAGCAAGTTATATATGTGTGTATTATTGTTGTAATAAGTTGTAATAAGTTTCTTGTTGTAATAAGTTTTGCTGTTTATTGATTTAATGAGTTTGGCTGTTTATTGCTGTAATGTGTTTGAGATAACAACTTATTCCCGAGATGGTTTCAACTAACTAATAATGACCAATATGTATAGAACATAGATTATTACAGGAAGATTCATAACAATCAAATTGTGCATGGAAGAATTCACGGTATATGTTGTTCGTTGGCATTATAGAGACAGAGTGAGAGTGGGATGGGGGGGGGGGGGTCGAGACGGTGTGGGCGTTGGATATCTAGTGGTTGTCTGGAAGATGTAGAGGATGTCTGGGGGATCTGGTGGATGTCTGAGAGATATAGTGGATGGATGCCATGAAAGATCTGGTGGATGTCTAGGGGGATCTAGATCTGGCGGATGTCTGGGAGATCTGGCAAATGTCTGGGAGATTTGGTGGATATCTGAGAGATCTGATGGATGTCTGACAGATCTGGCGGATGTCAGGGAGATCTAGTGGATGTCTAAGAGATCTGACTAACGTCTGAGAGATCGGGTGAATGTAGTAGAAAGAAAGCAAAAAATGAAACGTGATATTTACCTGATGAAAATTGACATCGGTCACCGAAGAAATTAACAGGGCAGGTGCAGACTGGTCCGCTAGGAAAGTCATTACAAGACCCACCGTTTTCACAAGGCTGAGAGAAACAGAAATCGGGGACAACTGGAAAAAGAAATAGGGATTTATTGGCGGTTAAAGATGACTGAAATGAAATAGGGTTCGACGTCCTACTTTTCTGCACCGATCGCACTAATTATAATGGGTATAGCCCACTCTTCTACTCTTCGTCGAATTCCAATGGTCAAGGGTTCTTTTACGTACACGACAACGTGTACGCGGGACCTCGGTTTTTCGTCCCATCCCAACGACTAGACACTATGCCTTGCCAGTTCATCCGTCCTATACAACTGACATGGAGAAACCATGACCGGAAATCCTGAAGAACTTTCTAAAACATCGACGGGGTCGAACCCACAGGGTCGAACCCCGGACGTCCTGGTTGGTGCGCAAATACCTTACTCACTGGGCCACTAGGGCTCATAAAAGTGAATGATCAAAAGCATTTTAGATACTAATGGCAGTTGGGCGAATTGTCAAAACAGCAGTACGTGACTCTTGCTCGATAACCTGGAGGTCGGGTGTTCGATCACTGCATTACGTGCACACCAATGTGTACACGGGACCTCGGTTTTTCGTCTCATCCGAATGACTAGACAACTGTCCTTCTCAGACCCTGCGTCCTGCATCACTGACAAGGGAGAACCACGCCGGAAAATCTGGATGAACAAATCCATAAGCCCCTGCCAATGCAAGCACAATCTACATGAAACTTGGCATGCCTTTTCTTTGGACAAAAACTTACATGTCTGACACTGGTCACCTGTGAATTGATCTGGACAAGCACACATATATCCGAATGGTGCTGTTAATGATATACTACATACTCCATTATTCTGACAGGGATTAGGAGAACAGTTATCCGGTACACCTGTAATAAATAACTCAACATAGAGAGAGAGGGGGAGAGAGAGAGAGAGAGAGAGAGAGTGAGGGGAGAGAGAGAGAGGGAGAGAGAGAGAGAGAGAGAGAGAGGAGAGAGAGAGAGGGGGAGAGAGAGAGGGAGAGAGAGAGAGAGGGGGAGAGAGAGAGAGAGAGAGAGAGAGGGAGAGAGGGGGAGAGGGAGGGACGGAGGGGGTAACGTCCACTCGGCACAAACAAGGTCATTTCGGGACTAACATATGGTTTAATTTTCTTTCAATAATTCGCTTGCGCGTAGTGGTCTTTAGCAATGGGAGGTAACAAAGAACTAACCTTCTTAAAGATACATTATGTAGGATTTGAACAAAATCTGGCTGTTCTGATATAATAGTTCATGGAAAAGGAATATATTAAAAATTTCTTACAAATTACTTTATTCCAAACGAATAGCGTACATTTTTTTATTATCGTAGCAAATGTATAAGACAATCTAGACTAAGCCTTAATTATCAATTTCATTTTTTATGTTTCGTGGGTTTCAAATCCATTTAAATCTCGGCCATTGGATGGTCTAGCGAATTCATTATAGGCTTGACATCAATGTCTGACTTCAGACGGTCAAAAGCCTCTTGTATGACCCCTGACGCGACCTTCCAGTACAACCCGTCAGATCTTTATGTAGTGTAGGCCATCGAAAGTATAAAAAAAAAAACGAAACGAAATATAGATCTGTGTTTTAATCAGACTAAATAACACCCTACCTTGTTCACATAAACTTCCAAATGTGGGGGCGATACAGGAACACGTGAAACCTGTTTCGCCATTTACGTTACAGGTACCGCCGTTCTGGCATGGGTTAGAGCTGCACTGTGTTGGACGTGCTGCAAGATAAAAAATTATATTTAAGTAATACGGCTGTCATCTTTTATCCCAAAGATCTGCAATGAAAAGCAGGAATAACATTCTGGATCAGGTCCAGTAGGGGATCTTAGCACCCGCCCCGATTTTTTTTTTCTTTTTTTTTTTGAAAATCTCTATAAATAAAACTAACAGAAGAGGGGTCCCCTGTCTAATGTCGCGGGGTTCTTCGTCAGGGGAGCCACGCTCTTCGAAAAAAGTGTAAGGCCAGGTCTAGTAGGATCAACATGAAACTTCCTGGAAAATTGAACAACGAAATATGTGAAAGTAAAATTATTGGTTTTATTTTTTCTAATACTGTGACAGTTTTCTGGTCACAGACTTTGGCACTATGGTGGCGCTTATCTAATTAGGACTTCCACGCTGTGTATTCTTTTACTCAATGCTGAATTGACTCCGGAACAATGTGTTGCTATAACTATGTTTATATAACTTTATAACATCCATAATACAAAGGTTATATATAGGAAACTACACACACAGTTGTGACATTAAATATAAGCTAAATATAAGTTCCCTATCACTTATGCCTCCGTCAGACCGAGGTGGCGTCCTTACTACGCTGCTGCGACCGTACGGCGACCAGAAAATGCACAAGGTCGCCGGCAAACGTGAACACAACACACGAAAATGTCCTCAAAAATGACTAACTTGAAAAAAGCTGCGTTCTCAAAGCTTTCCAGGCCAGATCGCAAAACTTTGCCGTTTGTTTTGAACAAACGCCGTGACTCGGCGATCATTTGCAACCATGGAGACCGCAGAACGATATCTGACGTTTCAACCACGCTTTTACCACGCTTATGGCGATGTTGAGGTGTCCGGGGACTATTTTCCATCGGCGTAGCAGCGTAGTAAGGACGCTCTCCTGTCTGATAGGGGTATTAGCGTGTGTTCTGTGGCGAAAGTTACAATCTTCTTTCTAAATCTACATGGGGGTCTCTATCTCAACCTCTAAGTAAGAACCTGCATCATGTCTGTATCCTGGCCTCTAAGGGGTGGGAACGTCCTTCTGAGAACACCAAATTATGTCTGAAGCAAATTTTATCGCGCTCTTTGATTTATATAAAAACGTTTAGATACGTCATCTATTAGGACGGGCCATTACCATATGTAGGCAAGTGTTTCATTTGGGCACCCTTTCATGGCAATGTTATTCTATTCAACTGGACCGATCCGTGCACCAGATGGATGGACAACAGTAACATGCTTCCAGAAAAATATGGCGGCAGAACTGTCAGTAAGTCAGCTCAAGAAAGTTGTAGAATAATGCAAGGTACTTCAATAGCCTAAAGCTACCCGTCATCCATTTGTTTAACGACTTCTATACATTAAACAGAGCACCTTTCATAGAACTAAAATAACCCTCTATAGTTTATATAGTACATGTATTACAATACAAACGAGAAAAGACTTACCGCTGCAGTCGACTAGCAAGGGGTAATTGCAATTGTTCGTAAACACATCAAACACCAGTTCAGTAGGGCACTGGAACTCGTACGTCGTACCACCTACACACCGCGTAAACTTTGAACAATCGTTCGCAACTGGTGCATAGTCTAGACATTGAGAAGATACCATAGGGGTTGTCAGTAAACCTGAAAGAAAAACGAATAAGTAAATATTATACCGGTATCTATGATGATGATGTTACTTTATCAAACATACATTATGCAAGAGCTAAATCTGCCTATTGCAGGTCTTTCCTTAGGTCTGAAATGTTATCTAAATTATTAATCAGACAATAATTAACAACTCTCGATGGCATCGGATTTCTCCGATATTAAATAGATTAGAACAGTCAGCCATATTTTGATTTAAGCTAAAAATGGAGGAGCGATGCTTAGCTTCGAACAACCAGTACGGTGGTTGAAATTATTGCACACGTCTTGTCAAACTTTCAAAGGCTAATATTTTCGCTCACAATAGAGTAATTTGAATGAAATTGTCAAATTATTCATTTCACATTATTTATTTTCGAACTATTATAGCAAGAATGACCAGCTCTTTATCTAAATCTTACATAATGTATCTTTAATGCTTTAAATTATGTTTTATCGGCAATCGCGAGCCGTGGTGACTCAGTGGGAAAGAGGGTGGGGGTTGTTGTCATATGTGGATCCCGATTTGCCGGTCGGTGCCAAGACAATAACCTATTTCACCGTCTAGATATAGATAGAAAGGAGAGAGAGAGAGAGAGAGAGAGAGAGAGAGAGAGAGGGGGGATTTGTGAATGGATGGGTTGTAAATAAAAAGAGAGTTTTAATATCCTCTCGACACAAACTAGGTCAGTTCGGGACTAACTTATGGTTCAATAATATTTCAATAATTCGCTTGCGCATATGGTCTTCAGCTGTGGAAGGAAACCGGAGGACCCGGAGAGAAACCCACGAAGCTGCAATGGCGACCCTACACGCATACACGCGGGGATTCAAAACCACGCTACTAGACTCAGTGAAATTTCGGCGCAGATTAGAATGATGAGCACAGGCTCCAAATATTTATTACTAGAAGAATGCCCGGGGCAAACCTAGTGTAGCCGCCAACCCCGAACAGACAGACAAACAGACAGACAAACGACAGTCACAAATATTAGTATAGATTATAAAATTGTATATTTGGCGTATTTATTGAAACGTTTGCTATGGTGTGTGTGTGTGTGGGGGGGGGGGGGGTTCACTTATCCCAAAGCCTCTATCCCACTGCTCATGTCCAGATTTATAAGTAGACATTTATATCGTAATAGAACCATATGTTAGTCCCGAAATGACATAGTTTGTGTCGAGTTGACGTTAAACTCCATTTCTCTCACTGTTTTCACTCACTGCTAAAGACCCCTACGCGCCAGCAGTTTATTGAAATAAAATTGAACCATATGTTAGTCCCAAACTGGCCCTAACCGTATCTAAAGGCCCCGACGCACAAGCGTCTCTCTCTCTCTCTACCCCTCTCTCTCTCTCTCTGTTAGTAATCCCTCAGACATAAAACAAACACAACGAAAGATGCCAAATCATAAAATAACCGGATCTATGCAAACTTGAACTCAACTACGCATTTATTCATGAAAAGCATTTATGTTTTTGTCTTGAAAGAAATAAAATCAATGTCATTTTCGTCCTTTAGCAAATATTTTAATTTTCTCACAAAACATGTCTAGTAATACTTGAGATACGTACAGGATAATAGGCCTAGATTAAATATACTAGAGTAGAAGCAATTTGTTTTCTAGTCCAAATGTATAACTTTGAATCTTTACTCCGCTTAGTACCAAGTGTCGTCGTCCTTTAAATCTGACAAATATTGGTGTTTGTTCACTGATGTCTTCAACATATTCAACGTTAGTTAGATGTAAAATTGATGTATAATTATTGGTGGAATGTAAACAGGGTGTAGACCAAGGTAGTTTTATAAAAGGTTTATATTTATATGTTAAATAACCACCATGATTCACCTACTTATAGTATACCTGATACTTTATTTAATTCTTTATTCTACATAATTAAATGTTAATTCAGCGATACGACGACATAGCGGATATCAACTATGGCCGTTGAATGGGCGATGTTTCGATAAATTTATAACTAAAATGGTGAGAGAGAGAGAGAGAGAGAGAGAGAGAGAGAGAGGGGGGGGGGGGGGTAACGTCCACTCGAAACAAAATAGGTCATTTATTTAAATTATTCGCTTGCGCGTAGGGATCTTTAGATTCCTCGGTTGTACGTGACAAGGGGAGAGACTATATGACACAACGCGCACGCGGTGACCATTCAGCCATCTAACCCCCTGGATTGGAGAGAGAGAGAGAGAGAAGTCTAGATGTGAATGAGAGAGAGAGAGGGGGAGAGATAGACTCCGATTTCTTCTCACTGCTAGAGACCCCTATGCACAAACGAATTATTTAAATCAAAATGTACCATAATATGTAAGTCCCTAATGTTTGTGCTGAGTGGACATTACCCCCCCCCCCCTTTCTCTCTCCCTCTCTGTCTCTGTCTCTCTCTCTCTCTCTGTCTCTCTCTCTCTCAGGTCAATAAATAGAGAACAGTGCGAGAAAGTGGTAGCCGTCGAGATTGTTCTGTACGGCAATGTTATTCGTTTCAACACTTCAATATATCTACCTAGTCACTTGAATTAAAACACCCAGTCTTCTAATCGTCATTATATTTTCATGTGTACATATGTATATATTTGGGCTAGGCTATAAAGATATATTTAAAAAGCCTCTCCTACGCGTAGACGTCTTAAAGTGTTAATAAGGTTTTGCAGGTATTCGTTGGTTGGTAAAATGTTTTCAATTTAATGTGGTTTGACTATAGTTACATGCTTATGCCGTTTATGTTCAATTACATTGAATCCAAAATTGTAGACAATTCTGCTTTTTTGAGGGGTGGGGGATGAATGGTTTGCGCGTACGCGTTGTTTCATAAGATCTGTCATTGAGTGAACTGGCGTGGTTTCGATTACCCGGTTGTTCGTGACAAGGAGTAGGGTCGCCTTTCCTCTAGTTTTCTCCCACAGTTAAAGACCCCTACGCACAAGCAAATTATTGAAATATATTTGAACCATATGTTAGTAACGAAATGACCTAGTTTGTATTGAGTGGATGTTCACCTCTCTCTCTCTCTCTCTCTCTCTCTCTCTCTCGTAGTCATCTATAAAAGAATTATGGAGATTTATATGACATGTCCAGATGACCTTTCATTCCTAATCTAACAAGCTGTTTTAAGTAGATCCCATGTCTTAACCGGGTGTTAAGGTATATCTGTTCATCCGCTGAGACTTGTGTCGTTTATTCATTTAGCGTGGCAGTATTTCATTCATCCTAGACCCCGATATGTCTTCACTGATCGGGTCGGGATGTAAGAATTTTATTAAATTTTGTTATATCAGTTATATAGATATTAACACTGGATAACCAAAGCTTTTCGTCACCGATATCCAGCCTCTCTCGCTCTCTCTCTCTCCCTCTCTCTCTCTTCAAAATAGCTTTTGTACTTAACCCGTATGCGACGCGGCTGATTAAGTTTGACATTTTTAAGAGAAAGTTTCATTCTATTGGTTGGTGATTGTGGATAGGTCTGGTGTTGTTGTATACGAGGCGTATTTCATTCTATTGGTTGGAGATTGTGGATAGTTTGTTTAGGTCTGGTGTTGTTGTATACGAGGCGTGTATTCGCACCTATTTAATGTCTACATATCGTTAAAGGATAACAATATTACCAGGTAAATCTCCACATGCACTGCAAATATCATCTCGATAGAAACGTTTTCTATAGTACAATGACATCCAAACAAAATGTACTTTTCTTATTTTCAAACCTTACTTACTGTTTGTTTAAGCATCTTTCCATTTGAACATTTGTAATGTAATCTTTCCATTTGAACATTTAACGTCAACTCGAGACAAACTAGGATATTTCGGGACTAACATATGGTTTAATTTTTTATTTCAATAATTCGCTTGCGCGTAGGGGTCTTTAGCAGTGGGGTGAAACCGGAGGACCCGGAGAAAAGTATCTACAACAGTATTTATTATATATATATATATATAACTGATAAAACAAAATTTAATATAATTCTTATATTCCGACCCGATCAGTGAAGACATATCGGGGTCTGGGATGAGAGAAGTCGAATCGAGTTTAACGTCTACTCGACACAAACTAGGTCATTTCGGGACTAACTTATGGTTGAATTTTATTTCAATAATTCGCTTGCGCGTAGGGGTCTTTAGCAGTGGGGTGAAACCGGAGGACCCGGAGAAAAGTATCTACAACAGTATTTATATATATATATATATATATATATATATATAACTGATAAAACAAAATTTAATATAATTCTTATATTCCGACCCGATCAGTGAAGACATATCGGGGTCTGGGATGAGAGAAGTCGAATCGAGTTTAACGTCTACTCGACACAAACTAGGTCATTTCGGGACTAACTTATGGTTGAATTTTATTTCAATAATTCGCTTGCACGTAGGGGTCTTTAGCAGTGGAAGTTAACCGGAGGACCGAGAGAAAACGCACGAGGTTGGATATGCGACCCTACTCCTTGTCACGTACAGCCGAGGAATCTAAAGATCCCTACGCGCAAGCGAATTATTTAAATAAAATTGAACCATATGTTAGTCCCGAAATGACCTATTTTGTTTCGAGTGGACGTTAACACCCCCCTCTCTCTCTCTCTCTCTCTCTCTCTCTCTCTCTGCCTATAATCCATACTAGTCTTATCTTATCTTGTATCTGGGGGGTTGGATGGCTGAATGGTTAGCACGCGCGCGCTGTATCATAAAGTCTGTCATTGAGTCAACTGGCGTGGTTTCGATTCCCCGGTTGTATGTGGCAAGGAGTAGGGTCGTCTGTCCAACCTCGTGGGTTTTCTCCGGGTCCTCCGGTTTCCTCCCACTTCTAAAGACCCCTACGCGCAAGCGAATTATTGAAATAAAATTAAACCATATGTTAGTCCCGAAATGACCTAGTTTGTGTCGAGTGGACGTTAAACTCCATTTCTTTCTCTCTCTCTTTATCTTGTATCTGTATTTGTTTAGTTTTAAATTAAACATTCTGTACTTGACACAATATATTGAAAG